GCTCACTCTGCTATTTAATAATGATCTTTGTGCTAAGATGCTTTCGGGATCTGTGAGTGAGTGTCACGCTGGCACTCTGTGGCACATGGAAAACACCATTTTTTGAGCTTTGTTATAGGCTAATATTTGTACATCGAAAGGTCTTTTCACATTAAGTAGCTTTTGAAGTTGTCCAATTTTCTCCCCAATTTAGTCGTCTCCAATTCCACCCGCTACTTAGGACCTAATCACACAATACCACCAGCGCTAGGTGGGTGAAGCTAGCACAGGCTTCCTCTGAGACCTGTGAAGCGCCACCACATCTTTTCAAACTGCCGCTCACGCAATGTCACTGGACATTCGCCAGTTCTGTTACGTCACCTAACAGATGCCTGTGCTGACTAGCACTGTGCTGAGCGATGGGGAGACAGGGGGCCGTCCTACCCACCCAGAGAGAGCGAGGCCAGTTGTGCTCTCTTGGACTCCCGGCCACGGATGGCTGTAGTGTCAACAGGGAGTGAACTCGTGATCTCCTGATGATAGGGCCAACACTTAAGTGGTTGCACTGTTCAGGAGCCCCTTAAGTACTTTTTGAATAGTTCCCGAAACAGTCACATCAAGTTAAGTGCGCTTTTTTACTAAACACTAAACACAGGAAGAAAATGCAAAAGAAGTAGATCTGTTAGTAACAGCAATGAAGTTACTGTTAGCATTGGGAAACAAATACTTAGACACTGCATAACAGCCCATTCTGTTAAAGAAGACTTAATAAGCAGCGCGATTCACAAGAGCTGAAGCTCTACACTGTGATTGTGTGTGTGTGTGTGTGTGTGTGTGTGTGTGTGTGTGTGGTAGGGCTTTGAGCTCTGCTCAAGCAAACAATGACTCAACAAACAAGACCAACCATGAGCTCTGATAAAAGCCCTTGTGGCCTTTCTCCCCTCCTCTGGTGCAAACGGAAACTGCCTTACATATACCGAATATACAGTCGTACGCAAAAGTTTGGGCTCCCTGGTCAAATTATGTGTTTTATTGATTTACCAAATAAAAAAAAAACATTTTAATGACTCGTTCTCTACTGTTTAAAAGCTTCATTTGCTGAATTTAACAAGTTGGAGGAAAAAAGAAGACATAAAACTTGGCCTGTGCAGAAGTTATAGCACATTTCAAATTTTATACATTATTTTTTCCAACATGTTAAACTCAACATAGAAATTCTACACTAAAATTCAAAGAAAAATGCCATAATTAAATTTCTTTTCATTTAGGAAATCAACAAAACGTGATTTGACTAGGGATGTTTAAATACAGGGTGATTCAAAAAGATTCATCTGATTTCAAACTGATTTATTTCACTTGTAAATCATTACAGAACAATGCATAGTCAAATTCATCCCATACTGGATTGAGCATGTCGGGTGTCTCTACACTCACGGCTCTTTCAGTGCGATTTTGGAGATCATCCAGCGCTGTGGAACCAATGACGAACGCTCTGAGCTGTTCGAGGTTCACTGCCCACGAAAATCACTCTGCACAGTGATGACGGGTTCACTCTTATTGAAGTGCTTTCTGCTCAGGGGTCTCCATCTCCTCGCAGATTGAAGGGAGCCATCTTCTAGTGAGTCAGAAATTCTATGACCCCCTTCTTTCAGTTGGTATGTGATTGGTTCCTAGGCGCCTCACAGCTGTAAAATATGGCGCTTTGAAATCGGGTGAATCTTTTTGAATCACCCTGTATTTGCACGTGACTGAATACCCATGGTATTAAATAATGAAAAAAAATTAAATAATTTTGTCCTGATTTATCTGTTGTTTAAAAAATTGCCTATCGTCACAGCTCTAGTCATAAGCTTCCATTACTTGTGTGTTACTTTAGCTTTGTAGCCTCGGTGCAAAACCTAAAAAGCAAACTAAAGACACCAAACATGCCTTGGCTGACCAATTAAGTTAAGAGGAAACTACCACTTAAGGTTTTTATGAAGACATTCAATGTGATGTGTTTATTCATTGATTCATTGATTTAGTAATGCACTGATTGTTAAAGCCATTTTCATGATTCATGATTCATTCATGAAGTGATGTTTCAGTGCTTGGAGAATATGACTATAGTGAAAGTGTATAACATCATCAGTGTCTCCTAACAGTTATAGGGACTCACATGGGGTATTGATGCTTTTTTTTAATATATGGTAAACGCAGCTGCTCATGTCACTGTTGTTCTGCGGTTCATGTGGCCTCCAACCTGCCAGAGAGACGAGATCGTGAGTGACACTCCAGCACACGCACTGCCTACCACATAAAAATAACCACCATTCCATTGCGGAGCCGAGTGGCTACCTGGAAACAGCTGGAATGGAGGACAAAAAGCCTCTGGTAAACATATGAATTATTAATATTTTCACAGCATGGCTTGCTTCCGCTTGCACTTGTCGGAATCTTTCAGCAGCTTTTTCAGAGCTCCAGTTCTGTGCACACAAAGGAGACAGCCGGTCAAAGGATTTTTCCTTTCATTACACTGACACTGACAGACCGGCGAGCTGCTCACATACAGCTTTACGCTTGCAGCTGTGACCTCATCCACCACCAGTGTCCAACCACGCTTCCTTTCTCTTATCACCACCTTCTGAAACCTCTCTGATCTACGTTTCTCAGACTAGCTTCTTCTACGTCGCACCTTGTTGAGTCACATCACCACTGACTCAAAAACAGAAGATTTCCGCTGGGAGACAAAAGGATGTACGTTTTCGGAGAAATCTGAGATTAACCAACAGACAAAATGATTCAGCAGCGCTTTTTGGTCGTAATCAATGCCATCATTTTAAAAATGACCAATTATTCTTTAGGTTTTTCAAAGCAAATGACGCTTTATTTTCCAGGTCGGCCTTTGGTTTGTCATTGCATACTTGTGGGTGGCTGGTGGTTTTTACCTGCCCTGACTGAGTTCCAGCCTCGGACTGTAGAAAACAAGAAACAGCTTCCTGAAACTTAGGCAGGAAAAGAAATACTTCAGCTCCTTCAAGCTGTAGTAAACACTATCGCTCACATCATTCGGGGAAATCCTCAAACCAGTCGAGCAGCTTCACACGTTGGAGCTGTTGGATCAAAACCTTTGTTTTCTTACACCATTTAGTCCGAAATTACACTGTATTCTCTCTGTTTGCTAACTCCACCTGCCAGCTAGGTCACCTCTTATCACAAGATGGTACCAAGCTGGGAGAGCGAGGGCCAGCACACTCCAAGACACGTGAAACACCACCACGTCAGTATTTTTTTTAAAATCTGCAAGGCTGTTTTTTCACACCTCCAAAGTTCAGTCTGAGAAGTTGGCTGCATTTTTTGCTTCTCACAATCCCAAACACATTCGGTGATGTTGAGGTCTGGACTCTGGGGTGGACAGTCCATAGTTCTCAGAACACCAGCAGCTTCTTTGTTTGATTTGCACATTTCCGGCTTCTTGACAGCTACACATCCTTTCAGACTCTTAGCATTGAGTTGGCTTTTCACAGTTTTTTTTTCTTTTCTCAGTATCCAGTTCTCAATGGACACCATCCAATGCACAAGTTTATTGTTTTCAAATGTTGAAAATAAGTCAACACGTCTTCTACAGAGAACACACTTCTGCACAGTTTAGTGCACAATTACTGTTTATTTGCTGAATTTAACCCTTGTGTGGTGTTCAGGTCTGTGGGACCCATTTTCAATGTTTAGCAAAAGAAAAAACGATGCGATTTATTATTATTTCAACCTCAGATTCTTGTCCTTTGCTCATTTTCTGTGAAGAACATATAAAATAACCCATTTTCAGTTACTTCACTCTGTTCACCCCCCACACATTTATATTACACATGTGGTGTTGGGTGAACCTGTGGGGAATAAAAGTGTGGAGGTGCTGTGTCCTTCACTCTGTTCTCCTCCTACACGGCCTGCTGTTAGTGTGTGTGTGTGTCTGTGTGTGTGTTTGTGAGGGTGGACAACATGGACAGGCTGCTGACTGGCTACAGCTGCTAAAGGAGAACCCTACACTGGACACTTGTGATATTTTAAACATCTGGTATTTTTATGTAAATTGTTTTGGCTGTATTGATTTAAAAAATCAATAATGTGGTGGGTCCACCAGACCACTGAGTAACAGACACACCAACACCACACAAGGGTTTAATATATTGGAAGAAAAAACATAAAATGTGGCCCATGCAGGACTTACGCCACATTTTATGTTTTATGTTTCTATTTGTTCCAATATGTTAAACTTTTTAAGTGTGTCCCAATGTAGAAGATGTGTTAACTTATTTTCAGCCAGTTTTGGTGGTCTACCAGGTCTAGCGTGGCTGTTCAGAGTGTCATTTCTCTCCATCTTTTAATCATTTTTGAACTCCAGTTTTGTAAACTCCTGTGTTTCTAATATCTCATCTACCCAGAAATATCTTCTGAAATGAAGGACTTTTTAAAGTTAAGAATGCTTAAGTTAAGACGTTACCATGTTGGACATATGAGATTTTGTAATGATGCCAACAGTATACTTTAAACTGTAAACTCAAACATTCAGAACGTGTTAATTTCCTCGCTACCAGTTCGCTGATGAGGAACCCATACAAGTCAAACAGCCACTGGGTTATAGCCTTTCAGTCATAAACTCAAACCTTCAGCATGTGTTAATTTCCTCGCTACCAGTTTGCTTATCTTTAGATGAGGAACCCATACAAGTCAAATGGCCACTGGGTTATAGCCTTTCAGTCATAAACTGACAGGCGCTAAAAGCAAACACCAATTTGATGTCCTCTTTTATTTTCCGCTATCTATAAAATACCCAGAACTAATTGTGTTTGCTTTTATAAACTGCCATCTGTGATCAGCCACTACGTGGTGGTTAATTATCATTCCCTTTCTTTTTTTTTACGCTGCTAAAACCATAAACATAACAATCCTTTGTGTTGGTTCTGGCAGTTGCCGTGCTCACTTCTCACTTTCAAGCATCAAAGAAAAAACAAGTCATTTAAAGCAGACAAGGATGACCAGTCTGATTGTTACCACACACTTTGAAAAGGCTTACATTATTTATTTCACTGTACAGGTCACATGATTTAGCAGTAAGCTACTATAAACAGTCTCTGGCAAAAACTACTTGTACACAGCATAATAAATTCATCTTAGAAAAACAGTAAAGTTGTCTGCCTAAAAGGAGTTTATGGCTTGCAGTGCTTGCTCTTGTGTGTTTGACCTTTCCTTGCTCAGGATTTCACCGCCTGCTTTAGTAATAGCCGCGATTTTATGAGCACACTCTTAAGTAACACTCCAAAGCACACATTTTAACACCATTTAGGAGCTCCTTGAGTGCAGTGGTGCGAAATATCAGAAACATCAGAAATAATTGGGTAATTTCTGGGTCATTTGTACAGATGTATATTAGGAAATTTATACAGTTTATACAGTTTTTGTATGTAAACTCTGTAAATGTTGCAAAAAATACACCAATTTAATTGGTACGTTTTGGTTGGAAACAAAAGGATAACATTCTTGAAACAGCCAACAGAAAATGATCCAATCAGGATTTTTCTCTCTGTCATATCTAGGCAGATACAAGCAAGCCAGCTCCACCATTGGTTAGGACTTCAGGAGCTGAACTGAAAGCCTAATGCATCAGATTAACCACCAACATAATTAGAAACTGAGAGTGGATACAACCAACCCAACCAACCCGGTATAAATAAAAATAATGCATGGCCCTGATGCATGACCACAGCTTAATAAAGCATGATCTCGTTCCCATATCTTACTAAGTAGTGGCCACGACTTAATTATCTCATTCCCACATCTTATTAGGTTATGGCCACGCCGTATTACCGCAGTATTAATGACAAGGCCACGCATTACGATATCATTCCCACATGTTAATGTAAGGTGTGGAAACGAGATAATTAAGTCATGGCCACGAGTTAGTAAGGTGTGGGAGCAAGATCCTGCCTTGTTAAGCTGTGGTCATGCATTAGAGCCATGCATCTCATTCCCACACTTTATTAAGTTGTGGCTATGCATTAGGATCTCGTTTCCACGCCTTACTAAGTCGTGGCCACGCATTGTTTTTATTTATACTGGTTGCCACCAGCAGGGCTCTGTAGTTTGTGACTTAAAACGTTGCTCTTGGTCTCCTGGAAGTCCCAGATACATCACTGGGTGTGAGTCTGACCACAAACAGAGGTCAGAAATTAAAAAGAGCAGCAGCTTTACGCTGGCGTGTCTGTTCAACTAAAACCTGGAATGTCTTTTACAAACATCAAATGTCTCCTATTACTAGAATTCCATAAGGATGTTTCCATAAAAGATTCCTCAGTGTGGCACAGCGATCCTAATTATTCTCACACTTTTCACGCTGCTCAAAGTCCCGTGGGAACGCGGACGCTGCTAAGTTCTTATTTACTGTGGGTAGGGATTAGCAGATGTTTTACAGCGTACGCAGCTAGTGTGTCCAGGTTGCTGACAAGCAGTATGTTGGTGCTGAGAACTGTAGGAAAAACACAGACCAGCAGACCACACACCAGTCCTGTCATTAGGTCTCCTCTGAGGCAGGGACTTTCCCTCTGAGGCTCCAAAAGCCGCCTCTCGTGGGGGTGCAGGGTCTGTCCCATGCGTCTGGCTACCGTGGTGCCCTTTAGGGAAAGTTCAGTCTGTGGCAGTGAGACAAGCAGCGTGCTCTTGCTTTGTAATTTACAGCTGTCAGCCAAACCTCTTTGGCCAGACAATGGCACCGGGTTGCCGTGAGACCATTGCCGTCCATTGTATCCAAACTGTGAGCTCTGAGCGGCGCAGCTGTTGGCTTTTTTCCTCAAGTCAACACTGGCATTGTGGATTGGGGTCCTCTCTAGCGTTTTCATTTGCCAGAGGGCTGCAGTATTCCTTTTTTCTTTTCTGTTTACGCTACTTCTTTGTACTTTAACCCATTTGCAAAGAGTTCTTAAATGTAAACTAGAAGTAGCATCTCTTTCTCTGGATATGTGGAGCTGATTTGTTTGGGAAATCAGCAAAGGGAGCTGGGCTAGCTTTGCCAGGAGCAAGCCTGAGATTCCGGTCAAGCCCAGCAGGAGCAATATGGCACCGAGAAACCAGAACAGTTGACCTCTAATTGGCGAAGAGGTGGTCAACAGACAGGGCAGGCAGGCCGAGAGAGAACCGCCCCTGTCCAGGCACTCTCTGACCACTGGCTGATCCTGCCTCCAACTGGATTCTGCGTAGGTTCCACTCATGCCCCACAGTAGAAGACAGCCAAGGAAGCCCACAGCTTTCAAGAATTTCAGGAATACGCCTCTGTTCTCTCCCTCCTCTACGTTCTGCAGAGTTTCTGTCTCCCACACTTCTCCATCTCTATCCATCAGCAGCACCGTTGGACCCAACTCACTTTCTCTGGTCTCTTTTGAGCTCTCTTCACAGGTATTTGGTGTTGCTGCTACTTTTTGAGGCCACAGGAGACGGACGAGCACTTCCACGGCTACTAACAGTGGAGTCAGCATCAGGACCGCCCCGTAGGTGTTGCCGAGGAACAACATGAAGCGAAGCGCGATGGCGTCGGAAGATGGATGAAAGGATATTGGTCTGGGGGCAGCACACCAGAGGTAAGCCAGGAACACTAGAGGAAAATGAATGGAAGACGTTGAACAGATGCACTGATGTAGAGATGGATGAAGACAGAGATGAGGGGCGTGTGATTACTGCTGCCTTTATGTGCTATTGGAGTTGTAAATACAGGTTTCTGACCTACATTTTTTAAAAATAAAGGTGCCAAAAGGTTCTTTGGAGCAAAAGGAGGACCACTTTTGGTTTCCTAAAGCGTCTTTCAGTGGTTGGTGAAGTGAAGAACCTTTTTAGTTTAAACTTAGTTTATGTTTAAAGGCCCTTCACATATTGTAAAGTTTCCATACAAGTTTTTGAGTATTAAAGTTGTACATTTAAATCCCTTCAATAATAACAAGCGGAAACTTTTATACCACAGAAGAACAACGTTTGGTTCCCTAAAGAATCTTTTAGTTTTTGGTGAGTTAAAGAACCTTTTTAAAGTCTACATATTGTAAAGTTTTCATACCAGTTTTCAAGTGGTAAGTTGCACATAAACATTCCTTTCCGTCATAGGACCTCTTTTGATTCCCTAAAGAACCTTCCGGTAGACGGCTCTTTAAAAAGACCTTTTTTGTGAAATGAGTGTAAAGAACGTTTTTAAATTTCAAACATAAATTTAAACATAAAACATAATATATAAAGCTTTTATATAGGCTCCAGCTCCCACCATGACCCAGAAGGATAGGCGGCTTAGGAGATGTGTGTGTGTGTATGTGTGTGTAAAGGTTTCATACCAATCAATTTTAGTTAATGGAACTCAAAGTCTTGGTAGTGCTTCTGAACCGCTGTTTACAGCCATAGAAGTTTTCAGCTCAGCTTGCTTGGAGGAGCACACTAACTGCCAATTCTGTTATATCAGTTAATGCCTAGGCTGGTTCGCCCCGTCCCAACAATCGCAAGAAGTGTGCTGCTTTTAGGCAGGTCTTTCCATATTATTCTGTGGTGTGGGGTGTGTGTAATCCAATCACACCTGGGAACTACTCACAGTCCAGTCGTGGCTACTCCAGTTTAGAACTGTTAATATTAAACGTGTTCAATTTTAACAAATCAAAATAAAATCATGTGAGGGGAAAAGCAGTTCTGTTATGTGGAAAGCTGTGCTGTCATGCACAAAAGATCAATGAGGTTTGAGCTGAATGGAAAGCTAAATTTACATTTATGGCATTTGGCAGACGCAACTTACAATTTGATCATTTTACACAGGTAGGTGAAGGTAGTGTTAGGAGTCTTGCCCAAGGACTCTTATTGGTATAGTGGAGGGTCCTTGCTCGAGCGGTGGACTGAACCCCAGTCTACAGTGTGGAAGGCAGAGGTGTTACCCACTACACTATAACAACCACCAAAAACAAACAACCCCCAACCACCACTAAAAAGTATATATCACATGTACATTATACAGTATGTTTTCTTTTGCTTTTGCACATAACTAGCACAGTAGTTTGTGCCTTCTTGTCATCTGCAAGGTTTGTTTTGATCTAAAGTTATATTTGTTCATGAGAAATTCTGCAAAATATCAGGTTCTGAGAGACAGGACTGTTAATCGGGACTGGTAAGCATAATCTGAAAGAGTGTGATATTTTGTTCCAGGAAAAACTTGTACTACTGGGGGGGCTGTGATGACTGAAGGATGACTAAACAATATGTCGTTATGAGTCCATTACATTTCTGACATTAATATTTCAAAAATCCTGTATTGTGGCCCAGCATAACAAACCCTGGGTTGGCAGGCTGAGTGATGGGGAGATGGCCATCCCACCCACTAAAGAGAGCAAGGTCATATACTCCCAACTGGACCCCCCAGCTATGGATGGCTGTGACATCACTGGGAATCAAACTGACAGTCTCACAGTGATGAGGACAACATTTAGATGGCGGCACCTTATTTGTAACAGTGTAGTTGACTATAGCAAACAACTACAAAGCACTTCAAAGCTTCACGTGTGTAAAAGAGAACCATACGAAGAACATGTGAAGGCAGCCTTCGATCCCTAGATATCTGCTTACCAGTGATGGAGAGGTCTGTGAAGAGTAAGAGGCAACTGCAGCAGAGGCTGACGGAGGACATGGAGTCTTTGAATGCAGGAAGGTAGAGAAGACTGCACAGCAGTTTGCATCCACACAGACTGATTGTGGCCTCCAGAACACCATCCATCTCTATACCTGATCAGAGACACACAGTAGAGGCAGTTTATTTTAAAGACAGCATATATTATACATAATGACATCATAAATACTCCGGCAGTGTAAGATGTTTTACATGTAGTTGTCGAGAAGGACTAATGCTCTTAAAGAGATAATATATGCGAGGCATGACCTTCAGCAATCCAAGAACCAACCTCATTGGTACTTGATGCTGCTGACTTAATTAAGGTGGGAATTTTGCAAAAAAATTAATAATACAATTTTTTGTTTACCTTAAATGTAGACAATCAGTCAAGACATACCTTATTTGCTTCTCACAGACACCTCTTTTAATGCTCTACTTGCACTATCTGGAACATTGTTGCCAATACTGTGTTTACACTGTGTTTACACTGTTTTCACTACCTCATTAACTGTTTTCACAACCTCATTAACTGTTTTCACAACCTCATTAACTGTTTTCACTACCTCATTATCTGTTTTACTACCTCAGTAACTGCTGTGTATATGTATGTTATCTGACGTAACTTACAGATCACATCATGTTAAATATGTCTGCACCTTATTCCACTACCTCATGTCCAGAAATCTGTGCTGTGTCCGTGCTACACTGTCCGGTCTGTTTACTGTGTCTAATGTCTGTTTAATTTATCGTATTTATTGTATTGTTTCTAACTTAATTTTTGTTTGCACTCTGTCTGCACGTTCGCACTTCGTAATTTTGTAATTTTGTACTTTTGTACTTTTTGTTCCTTGTTGCACCGTGTTGTTCCTGGAGGAACGTAATTTCGCTCCACTGTGTATTTGTACATAGTCCTCAAACTAACCTCTTAAATTCCCAGACTTATTGTGTCCTAAAGCTTTCTACTGAATAACTAGCTCAGCTAAAGAATACGCAGTTATTTTTCAAGATAAACATGTATGTAATAGAGTTTTGGAAGCCTCACTTCAAAATCAACAAAACTATACATTAAAAATATGTTTACTTCATTGTTAACACAGACTGGTCACGTACTGCTGTCCCAGATTGAGGAGTAGCAGTTTGCAGAGGCAGTTGCCCTGGTGATTCTGTGTTTGTTGCCCAGTCAGTTCACAGAATTGCAGTGAATAGTGAAGTAGTTATCAAGTGAAGCACTTTAAACACAGCAGTGTTGTTTGTCTACTACGGTATTTCAGTAAGAGGTTTTGCCCTACAGTGTTTTTCCCTGTTATGAGCCACTGCCATTTAACCGAGGCTCTGCTTTCTTGCCTTGCGAGTCACCGCTGTCACAAAGTTGTGGTTATTTGGTCTGGTCTGTTGTGGTGGCACATCATGCAGAGGTTAGTCGATACACGTTTAATGATACTTTATAAGAAAAACGTTGTGCCTTGTCTATTACACAAGTATATAATAGCACCAGGCCGGTACACAAACATTTTGGGGGGCAAGGGCTCAAGGGCACATAATGTATTTACAGTATATTGCAAGCACTCTTATCGAAAGAGATACTGTAAGCAAATTTCAGATAAAAACAAATGTACTGTTGAAAGTGTTTCCAAAGGCAGCAAAGAGCACAAATGTTAGTACCTATGCAGGGGTTTGAACCCCAGTTGCCAGCATGCATAGCTGTCATGTTACTCACTGCACTATATAATGTTTTGTTGTAACTCTTTTAAGAGCTCCACAGAAGTTCGTATAAATCCCTGCTTTTATAATAAAGAAAACTTAGGCCTGATCACATTTCACCCCTCGCCCCTAGCACTTAGCTCTTAGCCCTCCGTTTTAGACGTTTACGTCTGGGGGTGGGGTGTCCCGATTCTTGTTGAGATAGAGGGGTAGGGGGAAGTGTTAGGGCTACATGGCCCTCCAAACGGAGGTTTTTCAGAGGCAACACTCCAAACTGAGTGCTATGAGAAAAAAAACTGACAAGATGGCTGTGCGAGCCACCAAAGAAACCCACAGATGTGAGTATTTTCTCCTTTAAAAATTACAATATCCACTGTGTTGTCTTAGTTTAATGTTGTTTCAGTGTATTGTGGTCCTTTTTGTTCATAACAAGCATAAAAATTGCTAATAGTGTCTCAGTAACTAGTTAGCTAATTTTCCTGTTTCACCTTAAATTGTGCAGGAGCTACATTCTGTCGCCACAGACATCAGAACTGCTGCTCCATTTAAGGTGGAACAGGAAAATTAGACCAAGAAGCTGGCGAATAGCTGACTTCAGCTTCATATCACCGAAGAATTAGGGGTGGGTGATAATAAATAATTGCCCCCCCCCCCTTTAAAGTCATATGATTCCCTAAATGTAACTAAAGCCCAGCAGTGAGGTGCTGAACTTTACCCTCCTCTGATATCACTGCAGACTGACAGGGTCGCCTACAGAGCAGCGCTAGTAGCTGTTAATGAAGTAATGCTCTTTTTATTTGAGGGTCCCATTTCATAGGGAAGATTTCAACCAACTACCCCTTATAACTCAGTTTGAAGGGCCAAGATGACACTCGAAAACAAGGGGTAGTGGTAAAAATTAGAAATGGAATTGGGCCTTGGTGTAGAAAGTTATCAGCACCCCTTATTGCTGACATTATGTTTGGTTGTTGTTCAGCATTACGGAAGGTGATGCTGTCTTAAAGGGATTATCAGTGTTTTATTGGTGGGATTTCCAGCATTGTGGTGATGTATGACATGTCAGAGTTACTGTGGAGAACCATAAGCAGGCGGTACCTCACCAGAGTAAATGAACAAAAAAAATAAAAATATATAAAAGAAAAAAGTATTTCATTTTATAATAAAACTAATTAAAATCAAAAGCAGTCCCACAGATTGCACAAATATTACATCACTTTGTCTTAATTAGGTATTACTTTTACAATTATTGCAAATGATTACATCATACTTAAGTTAATGAGCCAAACAGCTCCATTATGACAGCTTTTAACTGGTTTTATATTAGTCCCAACAAAGAGAACATTAAAGCACTTTTTCTCTCATTTTACAGATTCTTTAGTTTCTTAACTAAAGAAACTTTAGTTTCTTAAATAAGGATTGTTGCAAAATATTCTTTGTGACTGAAACCAAAAATTTGAAACAAAAATGGTTGGTAAATAAATACCACCATTAAAAGGCAACTCCACTGATTTTTTAAAGTCATTCAGGGTAGTTTGACATAAAATTCACTGTTGTATACCATGAACAATAACTTAGTCAGAACTGTTCACAGTGATGGTGATAAGAACCAGGCACACAAAATAGTTGCAAATACATCGACTTATGCCTGATGCATTGTTTTATGATTATTTTCATACAAAGTTTTGGCCTAAAATATAGTTTTTCAAGATAAATTCATGGCAGAGAGGTACATACTGGGTGTTGTAAGGAAAAATAGTCCCCAAAGAAAATGTATTTGCTTAGATGTTTCACTATTTTACCATTATCAGCATAACATACAAAAACTCTTTTAGACAGTTAATAAAATGGTTATAATTGTGTTAGACATTGTGACTCCTGGTTCCTGTCACTGCCACTGTGAAGAAACCTGAGTCAGTAAGTTTCTATACACTGAACCATTCATACCAAACCACTCTGAATGACTGTGAATGATGTTTACATCTTGATCACTGAATTATGAAAACATTTTGAATAGTCGGTGAAATCCCTTTTCATATGCCTGCCAAATAACTGTAATACATTCAGAAGTAGCATAACTAGCCAAATTGCCATGCTAAAAGGTCCAAGATACATTTTCTAAAGGCAGTAATCAGAATACAGTTACATTTTACATTTTTAGGAGAATAGAATAATAGATAATAGATGTCTATTATATAGATTCTATAATAATAGAATACTTACCCACTTAATTTAAAAAATATATACCAACTTAAAAAAACAAAATTGATTGTTTTTTAACCATTTTAAAATCAGTGCATAGTGTGTAAAGACATACATGCTATGCACTGAAAAAACAAAGACATCTAAAGTAGACTTCTTTACAAACACTGAAATTTCTGCTAAAGCCTGAGTCGACTGATAAATCAATGTGATGATCAGTTATTGATCTCAGTGTTACTGAGCTCTGCTAAAGCCTGAGTGGACTGATAAATCACTGTGATCAGTTATTAATCTCAGTGTTACTGAGCTCTGCTAAAGCCTGAGTAGACTGATAAATCAATGTGGTGATCAGTTATTAATCTCAGTGTTACTGAGCTCTGCTAAAGCCTGAGTGGACTGATAAATCAATGTGATGATCAGTTGTTAATCTCAGTGTTTCTGAGCTCTGCTAAAGCCTGAGTGGACTGATAAATCAATGTGGTGATCAGTTATTAATCTCAGTGTTACTGAGCTCTGCTAAAGCCTGAGTAGACTGATAAATCAATGTGGTGATCAGTTATTAATCTCAGTGTTACTGAGCTCTGCTAAAGCCTGAGTGGACTGATAAATCAATGTGATGATCAGTTATTAATCTCAGTGTTACTGAGCTCTGCTAAAGCCAGAGTAAATCAATGTGATCAGTAACAAAATGCGGAGTGTATTTAACAGTGTTATGTTTATTTTTACCAGTAATACCTCATAAAAAAGACCCCTTTTTTGTTACCATACCTGAACATGTCTGATAACTACGAAGGAATCAGCCACATTTCTCATATTTGTTCACATGAAGAGCAGCAGACGGAGACTGAGGGAGGATTCGGCCTCAGTTCACTCAGAAAGATTGCTCTATGTCCAAGTTAGGCCAGTAGCACAAATTCAAATGAGAAAGAAGTGCAGTGCCAGCAAAAGCAAGTCTGCAGTGCTTTATTGGCTTCAGAGTGTTCAGAGTGACAAACAGGCTGTGTGTTATGACCCTTTTGGGCTCCAAGGCCCAGAAGAGAATTAATTATTAATGGAAGGATCGATTCTGAATGTTTCGCTGCTGAGTGACTAACATAGATAAAAGTGACTATTGGGTCCGAATTACTCTGCATATTGCATATTACATATTGCTTGAACTGTGCTACTTAACACTGACACAAAGGCAGATTCTGTTCAGCGATATAACAGTGTCATATTACTGTTGCTGTTAACTATCATGACAGATATCATTCTGTCTGATGTCATGGCGGCTAACCAGAGCACACAGCAACAATTAGCATGTGACATGAGCTCCCTGTTAGAAAGAACAGCATAAAGCAGCATGGCTGGTCACCAGCAAAAACAGCATATGTTATGTTTTAGGATGCTGGTCAGCAGCAATGGAAGTTAATATGCTGGTCAGCAGGAAAAACAGCTTATCATCATTGTTCAAAGATAAAGCAGTATCTCCAAAATGGTGAGTTTACATGAGAGGGCAAAAATGTTCTATATCTTCAATGTAACTTAATGTAAAGAGATTTTTTTCCAAGCAATTTTAGAGCATTTCTCTCAGTTTATTCGTCATGGGCTTTTCACACAATGTGCTGTGCTCAAAAAAAGTAAAAAATTGAAAAAAAAAAAAAACGAGATACATTTTTCTTTGGAAAGTGATGATGTGTTTTGGATCCTTGTTTGCTGGTCAACCAGCAAAACCAGCTTCTGTGCTGTTTTTCAGCAGGGCTATCATGACATGGCAACTAAGTCTTGTCATGTTTCTGCTTGTAATTGCATAGTTTTGTGTTTCATGTCTCCATGTCTGTCTCTATTGTTTTGTGTTTTGAAAATGTGTAAGCTTCTCTGAGTCTTTGAAAAGTGCTATAAAAGTATTAATATTATTATTGTTATCATCCATCATGACAGTTTCCAGTAATGGTAACATAAGACTCATTTTACTAGGGCTGCAACAAATATTCAATACTATTTGATAAATTAGTTAAATATAAGATACAAAAGAAAGAAGCCAATAACTGATATTTATACACATTTTTATGAAAGCTTGCCTGCTGTAGTGCATCGGTTTTAATCAGTCTAATGGGAAACAAAATGTATCAAGCTAAATGGTAGCAACCAGAAATATAATCTGACTGCATGTAAGCAAACACATCAATTTGTGATTAGCCTTTTTTCATGTCAGTAAAACAGCCCTTTCCTGCATCTCAGCAGTTGTCAGAAGCAGGGTTGGGTTGTAATGGAAGTCCTGGGAATATGTACTGTATACAGAAATTAGGTATCTACTTGTAACGAGTAAAGACACTCTAAAGTAGACTACTTTACAAACACTAAAGTTTCTGCTAAAGCCTGAGTGGACTGATAAATCAATGTGATGATCAGTTATTAATCTCAGTGTTACTGAGCTCTGCTAAAGCCTGAGTAGACTGATAAATCAATGTGATCAGTTATTAATCTCAGTGTTACTGAGCTCTGCTAAAGCCTGAGTAGACTGATAAATCAATGTGATCAGTTATTAATCTCAGTGTTACTGAGCTCTGCTAAAGCCTGAGTAGATTTCTGTGGCGATTTCTCAGGTAAGGCTGCTTTTTTCCCCTGTAATCTGTTTCTTTTTTTAAAGTTGCTCTGACCATTGAAGAACAGGGTAACAAAGTATGCAGAGAAACAGACGGTCTACAGTCTGTAATTGTAGAATGAAAAAGTGTGCCTATATAGTAAGCGGAGCTGATAAAATGGACAATGAGTGTAGAAACAAGGAGCAGGTTTTAATGCTATGGCTGATTGCTGCATGACCTGTTAACGACAGGGTTATGTCAATGTTATGTAGCAGGGTTCAGGTAAAGTGTTACATAAATAATTTTCTAGCAAATTAGTGTGTCATTTTGTTTTCCCCATTTAGTGGTGATCTATAAGATTATTTGAACGCAGCCAGGTAGGATGACAAATTCACGACTGGATTTATCTGGAGAACTTGATTTAAACCCTTTGCCTTCCATGTGACTGTTTTAAGTGCACTTATGATATTGTAAAGGCAGAAAAAGCAACGCAATATGGCTGACATAATGCTGGATTGCATTCATTTAAAAGAGATGTTGAAGTGGTGAAAATAAAACAAAGAACAGTGAGTCAGTCAAAAAGTAATAAAGGCCAACTCCCTTGGCTGATTTTCCAAACAAATCAGGTTCATACACCCTGAGAAAAAAAGGTGGTGCTTCTAGTTTACATTTGAAAACACTTTGCAAATACACAGAGTACACAGAAGTAGCAAAATGAAACAGGTTAAGAGCTGAGAGGGTTAAGAGTTGTAAATGTTCTGTAGCTGTGACATTATCATCAAATATTGCCCACCCACTTCATGTGTGAAGGCTATCAAGTGGATGAGTAGCAGGAGATTAAGTGGCTGTCAGAGTATTAATACTCACAATGTTCTATTATGTACCATGTTTGCATTGCATGACTTACACAATTTGCATAGCCATAATCTTATATAGCCTGAGGTGGCAGTTTTCTAGTATTGGTATGTAGATCTGTTTGTGCTTGTAGTATTGCATAATGTACAATACTGTGATTTAGAAGAACACGATGTGCCAATCAGTTTTTCATGCAACAGCTCAGTTTATTGAATTGTTTGTTGAAATTGTTGAAAATGTTTACTTGATTTAAGTGTGCCAACCTTGTCTTTTAGTTTGCTTACTTCTGGCAATAACTATGTCAGTGTAATATATTTATGGAAATTATTCACAGTAAAAGTTTGGGCACTTGGGTCCAATTACATGTTTTATTCATTTTGAGGTGAAAAAAAAAGTTAACATATCCTCTACAGAGAACACACGTCTGCACATTTCAATGCACTTTTACTGTTTATTTGCTGAATTTAACATAAAATGTAAAATGACCCTCACAAAAGTTGTGGCACATTTTATATTTGATGTCTTATTTTGTTTCCAACATGTTCAACTTAGTAAATAATTAAATTTTGTGCACTTAAATTTGCAAAAAAAGCCATATTGAAGTTTGTTCCCTGTTGAGAATTTGTTAACTTATTTTCTATTAGAAAATCAGTTGAATGAAATTTGACTGGGGGTGTTTGAATTTTTTCACTCGACTCTACATTTTTCAATCAAGGGAATCCAGTGCATTGTGAAAAGGGTTAAAGCCTCAGTCAACATGGTTTCAAATGTTTACATTTTTGTTTTAATAGTAAAGACATGCTGCAGAAAAGGTGTTTACAGGTGTTATATTCAAGAAATTTATGTATGATAATACAACTTACTAATAGATAAATGCTCCAAAAATTCTAATCTGCTGCCTGCTTGAAACTATGTGGGCATGTCAGAACGCAAAATGACTGACAGTGGCAAATCCTAGGCAATGTGAACAACCAAGTTTCAGTTGCAGTGGTTGGCAAAACCACCAATCAGTGTGGTCCAACTCCACGTTTGAGTTGAACTGCAGGTCATTATTACGACTACAGCTACTATAAAACTAATATGTAAGGTATATAGTTGAGAGTGAGGAAGGTGAGTGTGGACCCTTTTGAAGCAGGCAGCCCACAGTGTGGCCTGCCAAAGTTGGTCCGTTTGATTTGGCCCATTAGGAAACCCTAGTTACCCCAATCCCTGACCCCATGAAAGAGAAAACAGTTTTATTGTATTCTTCTTCATTTGTAAACTGTTTTGTCTCTTTGGCCCAACACAGACATTGCACTTTGCCCTCCCTAGACAAAACGTCTGGTCACCCCTGATTACACAAATTGAAATGTTTTGGAAAATGTATCTTGAAATTTGAGAAAATGTGGCCTTCCAAACACTTTCATGGCCATTGAGTTCTAATCAATATCTTATAATCTTAACTCTTAGGAACTAGGTCAACGTAATCTATGACTTATTAACTAATCCTCATAACAGCGCAGTAAGACACTGAGTGCAAAACACCAGCATTGTTGACACAGATGGTCCTGTTTGAATCTGCAAAGAGATTCAGTGCAGTCCATGCAGTGATCTACTGACCGTTGCACCTGTCTTCCAGACGGTTAGCACTCATAGTCAAAAGTGACCACTCTGCAGAAAGACTGTTGCACACTCTGAATAGCAAAAATGCCTCATAAGTGTACATTTTCCTTGAGTCATTGGTGAGTATACTGGTACACAGTAACTTAGTAACTGACAAAATAACCCTGTTAACAGGAAGAGCAATTTGGTCATTTAAGGCACATTTGCCAGCACAAATTAGCAAATTACTCTGAGAATGAGCAAAATAAAGAGGAACTAGGGTCATAATGACCCAGCTTTGGCACCATTGGTTAAGATAGGCCTATATAATCCTCACGATAGAAGGATTTTTGAAGTCAGAGTACATTTAGATTGAATCACAATGAAAGCTGTAATTACAGGGTCCAAGCACAGGTTGAGTCACTGGCTCTAATGGAGCTCCAGCAGGCCCGCTCTACCTGCAGTTATGCATGGCTGGAGGTTTTGGATGGCATGAAGCTTCTGACCCACAGCCCACGAACGAAGTGAGAGAGCTGACTCACAACTTTAAAAAAAGAAACAGATTACAGGGGAAAAAAGCAGCCTTACCTGAGAAATCCACAGAAGTCACCTTCACAATGTGAGCAGACAACGGCTCATCCCTGTGCGTGTGTTCCCTTAGCCCTCCCCATGTGGGACGTGTCTATACAGGCCGCCCCCCCAGCGCCTTACCTGAGCTCCTGAGCTCTGAGTGAGCACGTGGCTAAGGCAAGGGTGTGTCTGTGTTTGCCTAGTTGATACACAAAAACTGGTTCAACTGCTTCTAGTGGGGGGGGCAATTTTGTCCTGCTGTCTTCAGCACTAATGCTTGTGGGCTGTTAAAGCTGCAATTTAACTGAGATTGCAGGTTGTATAATTCAGATTCGACTGCTTGTTTGACACTGAGCCATTAGCATCAGTGTACATCTTATAACTGGGTGGTTTACAATGTTTAAACTCCTCAATTTCAAGCCATTCAGTTAGTGTGGAGCAAAAGAATAGTCTGAATGTTTGGAAATACTGCCATCTTCTGTTGAGATGTGAACATTAGAGATAATAAAGGCCTGAGTTTGTCCTGTATAGAAGCTTTACATCATATGGAGATCTCTTTGGCTCTTTGCCATCTATTTTATCTCCTTAAATTACCAGGCCCAAAGTTTTATTACACACTTCTATAAACTAAAAATAGCTCAGCCAGTTTTCATTGGAGTCCTTGTAGTTACTGAATAATAAGCCTAGTATGCAATAAACCTGAGATTGTAAGGGTTTAAAGTTCTTTGAGAAACCTAAAGTGGTTATTCTAAGGTACTGCTCCAAAGAACCCTTTGGAGAGATCTGTAAGAACTTGCACTGGAGTACTGAGCTGCTTCTGCTTTGAGCTATAAGATCAGACGGGGGGTCCTTTGATAGACAGATGTATGGCTGAGCAGGGAAGAGATGGGGAGGTGGTGGGATGTGAAAACTTTGTCACGGTCAAGGTAGAAAAATTTATAGAACATTAGATGTTAGAAGGAGGAGCTTCAGGCATGGTTTACCTCCCAGACTTCAGTCCACTTTTTTTTAAAGATCCTGGTCCTGGAGTACTAATTTGGTGACTAGCTGTCTTCTACCATGAAAACACTGAATGTGAGAAACTCAGGGCCAGAATATCTCAGTAGGCCCAAGTTATAGGGTCTAAGGTCTGCATAGACATAGACCTTTTCTTTTCTTTTTTTTTATATGTGTGAAGTTTGTAATGTACTTCACCATATATTTGACAATAAGACACATATTTCATGTTTTGGTGTATTGACACTAATGTGTGTACATTGAGTATATTTAAATATGCAAAAATGGCTAAGTTAAATACATTTAGGACATATATTTGAAAATAAAAACCTCCAAAAAAATCTCAATTTTTCGATTAATATTTTTCTACATGATTTGCACATAGCAATTGTCCCTTACATTGGGTCAAAATTTCATGATTAATGGACCAATAGAAATGCTCCTAAATTTGGAAGGAAAACTCTAAATTGGAAAGACATCTGGCTACAACTTACATTAAAAGTAAAACTTTTTTTGCCTTCTCCTGTAAAGTTCCTGTTTTGGAGTTTGGAGAAAAAAAACGTGTTTTTTTGTGGACTGCGATGATATACATACATATATTTTTAACATGAGCAAATACATGTACATGCAGTTTTTTCTATATGGGAATGTCACCAAACCTCAAGATAGTGAAGATATTTAAGAGGCCAACATATTGCTGCTGTTGGCAACAAAATCTTGTATCTCCAAAATAGTAACTTTACAAGAGAAGTAAAAAACATGCTTTACTTTTAATGCAAGTCAATGGAACCAGACATTTTCATTAGGAAGTTTCTTTTTGGTTTATTCATCATTAAATTTACACACAATGTAAAGGGCAACAGGCATTTTCAAACTATGTCAAAAACTGAAAAACGCTAAAAATGGAGATACAAGGGTTTTTTCCGACAGCAGCGATATGTTCTGTAGAAAAAAGGTACTCTGAAGTGATGCTCTGATATTGTGTACATATTTTCCACTTGAATAAAATATATTACAATAACACAGTTTTGTCCTTCACTGACTTTTGGCAACAGAGATAGCACAATGCCACTTTTGTCTTGTTCTGATACTGACATTGGAACCTTGAATATTGGCCTGTATCAATACTGGTTCAACACTTTTTCTTTAAAAGCTCCTAAAAGCCATAGTGGACAATATAAAAGAACTAAATGCCCTTATAAAGAAGGTTAAAGAACAGAGTAAAAAGATGGGACTTCAGCTCAAATATAAAGAAGACTAAGATCATGATGACAGGAAACACTGCTAACTTTACCACTGATTGAGATGATATGGAAAAGGTGGAGAGCTTTTGCTACTCAGGGCAATTACTAAAAAGGATTCTGCACTCAAGAAATACGACATAGATCAGCACTTGGCAAAACAAGGATGAAAGAGCTTGAAATATCTTTAAAAGCAACAATTTGTTTCGAGGAACAAAGATCAAAACTGTCCAGGCTGTGGTCTTCTCTGTGGTTCTTTAAGGATGTGAAAGCTGAACAATAAACAAGCAAGACTGGAAAAATATTGAGGCTTTGAACTTTGGTGTTGGTGAAGACTTTTGAGGGTAACTCTGACAGCAAAGAGAAAAACAAGCCTCACCTCTGACTCGAAACCCAGATAACCAAACTGAAGCTCTTGCAAACCCATTTCCAAGGATGTTGGGATGCTGTGCAAAATGTAAATATAAACAAAATTCAATGATGTGCAAATCATTTAAACCCTATATTTCACTGAAAACAGGACAAACACAACAAATCAAATGTTGAAACTGAGCAATTTTATTGATTTTTGAAAAATATATGTCCATTTTGAATTTGATGACAACAACACGTTCCAAGTGCAAAGTTGGGATGGGGGCAACAAAAGGCTGGTAAAGTTGTGCTAATGCTTAAAAAAAACACCTTGTGGTTAATTGGCAACAGTAACATGATTGGTTATAAAATGAGCATCCCAGAGAGGCTGAGTCTTTCAGAAGTAAAGATGAGGAGGGTTCACCACTCTGTGAAAGACTGCGTGAGCAAATAGTGCAACAATTCAAGAATAACGTTTCTCAACATTAAATAGTAAAGAACTTTTGCTTTTCATAATCTATGGTACATAACATCTTCAGAGAATCTGGAGAAAACTCTGTATGCAAGGGACAAGGTCAAAAACCAGTATTTGCTGGCCGTGATCTTTGGGCCCTCAGGCGGCACTGCATTAAAAACAGACATGATTCTGTAGTGGAAATCACTGCATGGGCTCAGAGACACTAATGACAACTACTGTCTGTGAACACAGTTCATCACTGCATCCACAAATGCAAGTTAAAACTCTAAAACGCAAAGAAGAAACCGTATATAAACAGGATCCAGAAATGCTGCCACCTTCTCTGGGCCTGAGCTCATTTAAGATGGACTGAGGTGAAGTGGAAAAGTGTTGTCTGACAAATCAACATTTGAAATTCTTTTTGGAAATCATGGACACTAAGTCCTTTGGGCTAAAGACCACTCAGCTTGTTATCAGGGTACAATTCAAAAGCCAGCATCCGTGATGTTATAGGGATGCATTAGTGCACATGGCATGGGTGACCTGCACATCTGTGAAGGCACCATTAATGCTGAACGATACATACATGTTTTGGCAACATATGCTGCCATCCAGACAACGTCCTTTTCAGGGAAGGCCTTGGTTATTTAAGCAAGACAATGTCAAACCACATTCTGCATGTATTGCAGCCGCATGGCTCTGTAGTAAAAGCATCCAGGTGCCAAACTACCCTGCCTGCAGTCCAGACCTGTCAGCCACTGATAACATTTGGCACATTATAAAATGAAAAATACGACAAAGGAGAACCCGAACTGTTGAGCAGCTGAAATCCTATATCAAACAAGAATGGGAAAACGTTTCACTTTCTAAACTAGAGCAGTGTCTCCTCAGTTCCCAAATGATTACAGAAGACTTAAGAGGTGAAGAGTGGTAAACATGCCCCCGTCCCAACTTTTTTTTGGAAATGGGGTTGTATTTCGGACATATTCTGAGATCAACCGATTCATTGGAAAAGATCATTATGTTTGGAAGAGCTGAAGGTAAAAGAGAAAGAGGACGACCAGCTACAATGAACCAATACAATCAGAGGAAACATGAACCAGCCATTTAGAAGCCTGAAGGCCCAAATAGAAAATAGGATATTCTGGAGAAACGCTGTCCATTTGGTCACCAAGAGTTGGAAACGACAGTGCATAATAATAATAATAATAATAATAATAATAATAATCATGCTTTAAAACAGGGGTAGGGAGCTCCGGTCCTGGGGGCCGGATTCCAGCACAGTTTGGTGATTTTCCTGCTCAAGCCCTCCTGATTCAACCCATCATTAGTTACCAGGTTTACTTAAGTGTGTTAGAGCAGGGAGATGACCAAACTGTGCTGGACTCTGACCCTCAGCTCCCCAGCCCTGCTTCAAAATGAGCTATTTTTACTACTGAAGCGCTTCACTTAGGATGAACACTGATATCTGTGTTTGGCAGCGACTGAATATATCTCGTTTTACTCATGTGGGAAAGATCAGCGCGCAGCGGCCGCAGGTAGATCATCTTTGTCTCCTCGTTGTGCGGTTTTTCTGTGTTTTTCGTGCAGATGTGAGCTGATCCTGACCAGCCTGCAGCACCCAGAAGTGAACACTAGGCGACCCGGAAGGTCTGATCTGGCACCGAAGGCAGGCTGGAAAGAACATCTTAAGCTTTAATTTAAAAATAGGAAATAAACCCCGCGTTTTCGGGGTCGACGGGTGCGGGTATGTACACCATCTGCTCTTTTCTGCTGTCTTTGGCGTTTGTTTTCCGGCGTGCTCGGCGCTGCGTTGTGCGGAGTTCGAGCTCGGAGAGCCGAGTGAGCAAAAAGTTCAAAATAAAAAAAAAAATCTAAAGCGGTGGTTTGGAGGCGGCATGGCGGAGAAGGAGACCGCGGCGAGGCTGCTCTCCCGCCGCCGTGGAGAGGCTGCGGTGCGGAGGGCTGAAGCGCGGCGAGACGGTCTGCCGCTGCTCCCGACCCGCCGCCGCTGCTCTCTACGGCATGATTGTTGTAGGAAGTCTCGGTTTTTTTTTCTGTCTCTCTTTTTTTTCCCCTCTTCGAGCCGGGCTATTCAAACCTGCAGATCTAAGTAAACAATCATTCCTGCTCTTCATGCTAATCGTGTTTTTTCCACGATATTCCCCGAACCGCTCCGCCTCGCAGGCTTCGTGTTTTCGGCGTGCAAATTTCGGGATCTGCAGAATATGGCGCCTTGTCCTTATAAAAATAAGACAGGCTGCCATTTTTGTTTTCCTTTTGTCTGATTTTTTTAATAAAACTGTCTGAGAATGTGGGAGAGGCTGCGGGGAGAAGGAGAGAGAGAGGGTGAGCGAGGGGGTCCGTGGGGGGATTTGTTTTCTTTCTTTTTTTTTCTGATCGCTTTTTCGTGTCTCTTCGTGAAATAAATGCAGTCGATTCGCAAGTTTATTTTTTGGGGAGGGGGGTTAAAAGACACAGAAGCGCCTCGGCTCGTCGGGAATGACTTCAAAGGATGCCGTGAGATTAAAAGACAAAAGTTAAGTAGCCCAACTTTTATCTCGCTTTTCATCAGCGACATTAAAGGACGTGCAAACGGACGCTCGTGCTCTTATTTAGGCTCTAAACACACTTAAAAGAAGATGCTTCTTCAGGTTCTTTAGTGAAACCGGCGGTTCTGCTTAGAACCAGGAGTTCTCTGTAGAACCTTTTGCATGCTCAAATGATTCTTTGCGTGGTGAAATTGGTTCTTCAGATTGGTGAAGAATGTGTTTTATGTGGAGAACCTGTTTGAAAATGGTTCTACATAGCACCAAAAGTGTTCTGCTATTGTTAGGGTGTCAAGCTTGTAACAATAGAAGAACCCATTTTGGTGCCATTAAGAAGCATTTCATGCTTAATTGGTTCTTTGCGTGGTGAAATGGTTCCTCAGATTGATGGAGAATGGGTTGTATATGGTTCTATATAGAACCTTTTTGAAAATAGTTCTGCCGAGCACCGACAAGGGTTCTTCTATTATTGTGATGTCAAGCTTGTAACAACAGAAGAACATCTTTTGGTGCTATAAAGAACCATTTCATGCTAAAATGGTTCTTTGCATCCTGAAATTGTTCTATAGATTGATGGAGAATATATTTTATGGTTCTATATAGAACCTTTTTGAAAATAGTTCTACATAGCACGAGCAGTGGTTCTTCTATTATTGTGATGTCAAGCTTCTAACAACAGAAGAACTCTTTTTCGTGCTATTTAGAACTATTTCATGCTTAAATGGTTCTTTGCGTGGTGAAATGGTTCCTCAGATTGGTGGAGAATGGGCTGTATATGGTTCTATACAGAACCTTTTTGAAAATGGTTCTATCTAGCACCATAAAGCATTCTGCTATTGTTATAATGTCAAGGTTGTAACAATATAAGAACCATTTTTGATGCTATAAAGATCAGTTTGCATGCTTAAATGGTTCTTTGCATGGCGAGATGTTCCTCAGATTGGTGGAGAATGGGTTGTATATGGTTCTATACAGAACATTTTTGAAAATGGTTTTACCTAGCACCAAAAAGCATTCTGCTATTGTTAAGATGTCAAGCTTGTAACAATAGAAAACCCCTTTTTGGTGCTATGTAGAACAGTTTGCATGCTTACATGGTTCTTTGCATGGTGAGATGGTTCTTCAGATAGATGGTGAATGTGTTGTAGAGGAAGACAGAAAATGGTTCTGCATAGCACCAAAATAGGTTCTCCTATTACTACAATGTCAAGCTTGTAACAACAGAAGAATGCTTATTTGGTGCTACATAGAACCTTTTTCAAAAAGGTTCTGTATAGAACCATGCACAACACATTTTCCATCAATCTGAAGAACCATTTAAGCATGCAAAAAATGATTCATTCATTCATAAATAGAATCATTGCCTTTACTAAAGAACCCTTGAGGAACCGTCTTTTTTAAGTGTGCAGTGTTTTGAGTTTTAAGCCAGAATAGTTTGAGCTCGTCTTCGTCCACTGAGTTCACAAAGACAGATGCTGAACAGTGTCGTCATTGCTTTATATGGTTTAACAGCCTAAATAAGTCTAACTGCTAATCGAGAGGCCACTGTGCGGTCAGTGTGCTTTAAAATGTTCCACTTAGAGTTTGAAATGCATTGTATTGTAAAATAAAATGCTTACAGGCCTATAGAAGCAGAAGATGGTGATGCTGGAGCTCCATGTAGTCTTAATGCCATTTTTAATCCAGATTTTGTGTTTATAGTTTGTAATAATAGTAGGATATTTCTGTCGTAGGTAGTACTGGGCAGTATGATGATAGATGCTTTTCTGAGCGTATCATGGACATCATCAGAACTTAATCACTTTCCAGCTGCATGTTTGATGAAAAAGAGCTTATTTAGTGCAGCACAGTGTGTGAAATGTTGAATACAAGTAGTTGGATTCATAGTTTTGGTAGTATTTTTGAAACGTGGCACTACTTTATCTGTTCTAACTTATCAGATGTCAGAAGAAATAAATATTGTGACACATCGTGTCATAAAAAACTTCCTGAAGTGTTGACAATACATTTTGCCTTATTGTCCGCCTCTAGTTCTAGTTAAGTGGATCTTTCAGGTGTGATTACTAGTGTAATACTGCACTGGGTGGGTTTGTTTGCATTTCTGCTTTTTAATTTATTTGTTTTACATTATATTACACTTTTTAATGATTTATGTAATTGTTAGTATATGCATATTTTCATATTTCTTTTAATCTAGGACAAATAATAACCTTATTTAGGATGAGAGATATACTATTTGTACTTCTAAACAGTGCTATTGACATATTGTGATATTTTCAGTTTTAGTGTGATGTATAGTGATATAATTGATAGATAATGATTATATTTATGATAAAAGGTGTAACACATCTAAGGTGCTTGTGGCCTTTTTTTCAAATTTACTAAGGCTAACTTATATCTCATCTGATACTGTGATGTATTTGGGAAAAGTTTAGTAGCCTGTAGTCAAATTAAATGTTGTGTTGATTTTCTAGGAGAAAGTAAGTGAACACATCCTCTACAGAGAACACACTTCCGTATATTTTAGTGCACAATTACTGTTTAATTGCTGAATTGAACGTTTTGGTCAAAAAACGTGTGGCCTGTGCAAAAGTTTCCAATATTATGCACAACAAATTTGTCTAAAATGCCATATTTAAGTGGGTTCTCTGTAGAGGGTGCATTAACTTTTCTTCACTTAGAAAATTAACAAAACATGTTGGGTGACTGGGGGTGTTCAAACTTTTGCAGATGACTATATTGTGATATGTAAATTTGTCAGTATGGTTCAGCCCCAGATCTTACACATTTAAAGGGGAATTGCACAAATTTTCCAAATGTTCTGCATAATTTAATGGTCAAGACGTAAACAGACTCATCCAGACTGGGCTGATCGTGATGGAAACCAGAAGTCTGAAGACTTCAATGCCTTAAAAACTTCCTCATAGGACGTTATTAAGTGAAAGGGTTCTGGATGCACTGCTAATACTGAAACATTCTTTTATGATCATTTTAAGAAGGTTTTAGCTTAAAACATATGTTTTAAAATCCATTCATAACAGAGAGGTACATGCAAGGTACAGTAGTCCCCAAAGAACACTTGCCTTTTCAGACTTTTATTTCACCATCATCAACATTTCATATAAAAACTCAGACACGTGCAGGTTCGCTGGATGTTATGGTTAGGAGCCACTGGTTCCCATCACCACCACTCTAAAGAATCCAAGTCGGCAAGTTTCTCTACAGTGAACCATTTCACATCAAACCACTCTGCGACTACTTTACATCCAAAAGACTAAATTATTGTGGAAAATTCGAAAAATTGGTCGAATTCCCAGAACACAGTATCTGCAGATCTCATGTGCACTAAAATATGCATAGAAATGTCTTTAATGTATGTCGAAATATAAAACACCCTTTTATGACCACACAGAACGATAGTTTTACAACTTACATTGTGGTCTTGGAAACTGATTCATGCAGCCTGTTATGTGCCCGACGGTCACAAAGGCAGACCTCCCTGCACCGATTAACCTTTCACTGACAAACAGCCGGGCCCTGTAGAAGTCTTTCCACACAGTGTGATTATTTTAGGAATATAATTTTCTTGCATTATGTTTTTTTTTTCCTACAACACTGTGCTGTGCATGTTTTGGCAGTGCTAGCTGGGCTGAAGTCTGTTTGACTAAGGGTCTGCACAGAGCGGTTCATTCTCACCAGCCAAAAATAATAAAGTTGATATGTCCAGGCATATGAACCCCAGACTTTGTGAAATATTTCCTTAATGATGGCTATGGGTGTCTGTTTCACTTCCTGAAGAAACTGAGAGGGTAAGATGTTCCTTTGTACGTATGAGCCTGTATTATTTGTTGACTTGTTTCGTGTAAATATATTGAATGCACAGAGTAGGAAACCCTTTTGGCTCTTTTTTCTGCCGATCTCACTGCCGGCATGGCCCTTTATTGGCTCAGAAGCTTCAGTCGTGTTTGTAGGGTCATGAATTGGGCCTTGAAGACCAGGAGGGGCTCTGCTTGTCAGGCACTGCTTCATTTCGGTATATATGACATGTTTAGCTGGGAAAAGCTTTTCCCCTCTTATGAAACATGGAAGTAACTGTATCAATTACTTTGTTATCGCCAGATCGTGACTTTTTGGGTCTGAAGAGCTGGAATTAGCTTATAGTGAAGCTGCTCTGTTTTACACGTACTTGCACTATTATATCATTTCCTTTTTGCTCTGTGGTTACTATGTCAGCCATATTCTCAGTAACGCAGTTTGTGGCTCTGCTCAGCTCGTATGACTTCTTAACAGACGTCACGCCTCTTTCTGACCACATCTGAACAACTATTAAATATGTTTAGGCTGTGATGAGTACTCAAATAAAACAGTCTAAAAAAATGAATTGATTAATTAATGCACATTCCCGATTAATCAGTTATTAGCTAGCAGTTTAACTGGTAAACAGGATCATCATAAGGCCATGTTCCGCAAGTCAAGTCAAGTCAAGAGGCTTTTATTGTCATTCCATCTATATGCAAGTACACAGTGGAGTGAAATTGCGTTCCTCCGAGAAACAACAAGGTGCAACAAGGAACAGTACAAAGTGCAGCGTGCAGTCGTAAGTGTGCAAAACATTAGACTAGAAACAAAAAATACGATAAATAAAACAGACATTAGACACAGTAAACAGACAGGACAGTGCAGCGCCGACACAGCACTCATTTCTGAGCATGAGGTAGGGTTGTGAAATAAGGTGCAAAGATTATTTAACATGCTGTGATCTGTGAGTAAACAGAGTTAGATAACATACATAAACACAGCCGTTACTGAGGTAGGATATACACAGTACTTGAGTAAACAAAGTGTAAACACTGTATTAGAAGTTCCAGACAGTGCAAAAGAGCACCAAAACAGGAGAGTGTGTGAGTGTAGAATGTGAGTGTGTGTGTGTGTGTGAGTGTAGAGTATGTGTGTGAGGGGGGGCTTTCAGTTCAGTCATTGTAAGTTCAAAAACCTGATTGCTTGCGGAACAAAGCTGTTGCAGAGTCTGGCAGTGATGGAACCGATACTCCGGTACCTTCTGCCACACGGAAGCCGTGAGAAAAGTCTGTGTGAGGGATGGATGGGGTCGTCCACAATGCTGGTGGCTTTGCGGATGCAGCCTGTGGTGTAGAAGTCCATGATGGAGGGGAGAGAGATTCTCTACACTCCAGAAAATCCAAAAGATCGCACTAATGCATATAGTTTTACATTTGCTTTATATTTGGATTTGTTTAATAACGTCTAGGCTGAACTGCTCGGCAGACGGCTAACAGGCTACTCCAGTAATCAGGGAGTTAAGCTTTACCAAAAGTTGCCGATTGCACGTCTGTTAATGTGTTGAAGTATCAAATACTTCAAATGTCAGCTGGCCTTAGTACCATTAAACCAGGCGTGGGAAGTGAACACTGCCAACATGGCGCTAAGAAAACATTGAATTCTCACAGTAACTATATAATACCATACCATAAATTAGCATTAACGTAGTAGAGGTGCACAGGCTGCTTATAAAGTGAAGACTTCTGCAGTAAACACAGCTGCATAATAATATGCACAAGTTTATGAAATGACTGGTTCAAAGCAGCATTAAAGATTTCTCAAAATGTCATGAAAAATGACTTTAAATGCATTAAATTGAATAAGCTGATGCCTGCAGATACCTTTATAATGCATATATTAAATCACATGTATTCTTATTTATTTTTTTGCCACATAGTGTTTTATTTATATTAAAATATAAAAAATATTACAATATTTTCTCTTTCATGAGCATTTTTCTTCCTTCTTCACTGCTTAGTCTTTTTTTCCCCTTCGTTCCATGAAGCGACCTTGGGATTGTGAAAGGCGCTATAAAAATGTAACTTATTATTATTATTATTATTATGATTATTATTAGTTATATAAAATATTTTCAGAGGCCTCCAGTTATCCTTTTCAGTAAAGTATTCAGGAATACTTAAAAGGCTCTGCATAGTTATAGTTCAGTTAGCCTATTTTTGCTGTACTGCCTTTAAAAATAAACAAACAGACAACAAGAAAACCAGATTACTTGATTAATCATTCAAATCCTGTAATTGAGCCCTGCTGATATTCTGTAAATGTCTTAAATGTGTTTCTTATAGGCTGTAAAAATGCATATATGTAGTTGGGAATCTTAGAACAGATTATGATGATATTCACAAAAATATTTACTAAAATAAAATTCTCAGTCAGTTTTCTAGAGATTTCTTTTCCAGTACCACACTGAGACCAGTATTACCACATTGAGCCAGTATTACTTCTATAATAACCTATTTTTAATTGAAGCACTTCATTTAAGCTGAGCATCTAAAAGTAGACAGTCATGCTGAAACTTCTTAAACACTCTGTCACCCCACAGGAGGAAATACAGAGCTAACAACATCACCTCACACAGTGTGAGTGTGCGCTGTTTCCTCTGTGAGTTCAGAGTATTCTGTAAAAATAATTCTGCTGTTCAAGTCAGATTTTGTGATTAGATACATTAGATCGCTTCCCAAAGAGCTGTAGCTGAACTGGGCCACTGTGAGGTCAGAGATCTACACCTCAAATTTCCTATATTCATTAGGGCATTTCAGTCTTCTGTAACTGCTATATATGCATTCCATACAGAGCTGAAGCTCTGAAGCTCTTCAGTCCTCGTCTTCTTTTGACTGCCCATCATGCTGAGAGGAGATTTGAATGCGAGTTTCAGTTCACATAATGCTCTATACAAGCTACACACTCACACTCATAATACGCTCTCTTTGAGGACATAGAACTGCATCTAGACTGTCCAGACAATCAGCCGTTCCTCTCAGTGTGGTGAGTTGTGTGTTTTCAGTAAAAGTGCACAGAGGAAATGAGAGCTAAAGATATCAGGCAGGACTGAATGATCACAGCTGCATACTGACATGTTTCCCAATGAAGGGACTGAAGTATAGAATATTTAATACACTTGATTTTTTTTATTTATAGTACATTAAGAATATAGATTTTATAAAAATGCATTAAAATATTACATTAACATTGATTTTTAGTTTTGATATATGCACGTAATAATATATTGCAGCTGTCGGAACAAAATCTCGTATCTCCAAAATGGTAACTTTACAGGAGAAGGAAAAACATACTTTACTTTTAATGTAAGTCAATGGAACCAGACTTTTTTTCCAAGTAATTTTGGGCCGTTTCTTTTGGTCCATTCATCATGAAATGTGCAGTATATGATTTCAGTGCCTTTCCCCCTTTTAAAGAAAAGGCAAATTATTGCCTTTGATCTCTGAAATTTTAGGCTGATTATTGTTGTTGTTGTTGTTATTGTTATTATTATTATTATTATTATTATTATTATTAAAGGACTTCCATCCTACATTTGTGCATTTTTATGTAACAAAAGCAGCCATAATTCATTTTTGCATGACCATTTTCCAACATATATATATATATATATATATATGTGTGTGTGTGTGTGTGTGTGTGTGTGTAAATGTGTTGGTTTTTGTGACATCACAGAAAAAATGAATTCAAAACGAGCTGTTTTTGCAGCTTAGTTCCCATATATGGTCTGTATGGACTGGTGTGTCTTGAAACCAATACAATGAATGTTTACATATTGCATCAAACTCTTTTATTAAAAAAAATTAAAGGAAAGTAGTTTTTCTATGAAATGCTAGACACAATCCTAGTTTGTCTTGATCAAGAAATATCAAATGTCTTTTTTATGCAGCTATTAAAGTACAAATTTAAAGCAGCTAAATTAGCTTTACATCGTAGCTGGTGTGAAATGATATACTACACTGCATGCACACAGTCACACGCAGGATTATTCATACTAACTTTCTCCTAACTGTGTTAAGGATTAGCACCCAGCTAAAGATTAGAACTTGTGTTGTTTCTGTAGGACCCATAACTTGACTCAGTAAATATGTTTCCTGCTTTCTTTTGTTGTGTCTCAACCCAACTGATAAAAATGCATCTACTTCACATTGTGTATTGTAATTTAGTATGATTATGATAGTGAGACTAATGACTGGAAAATAATTGCGATCAGCTTAAATAACTGTGATAAAGTGATTCTATAGTAATTGTGACTGGCCTAATTGCAATTATATGGCTACATATTATGATTATATTACACTGGTGAATGTGAATGTAAACCACTGGTACACATGGTTTAAGATTGGCCTGCAAACGAATTTACTTTTGTAAGATTACCTGAATACTTTGATCAAAACAGCAACATTAATCTGGAACTGAGATTCGTCTGGACTCTCACAGCACACGGTAAAAAACACTGATTGGATAGAGGGCTAATTTGCATATTTCAGCCTTTCTCCATCTCCAGATTGCAAAGGCCGATCGCGCTATCAATCGCAATAAAAGTTAACAAGCAGCATATTGAGCAGCCCTACTGACGGCTTATTATTCAGTAGCTACAATGAATTAAGACACATGGTAACTAATATGAAGCTAATCTGTGAGTTATAGGAGTGAACTGAACTGTGGGCCCACAAACGCACACTTACAGAACTGTGTGACTGGATTTGGTGAACAGCCTTAACGGAGTGTGACTGTGACTTCTTCTGTGTTTTTTCCAGCATGGCCGAGCCACGGTTTAATAACCCATACTTCTGGCCTCCACCTCCCACGATGCCTGGTCAGGTACGGATCTTTATTTACTGAATATTTCACTGTCAGAGCACAAAGTAATGGCACTTGAAAAGCTGAAAAAGACAAACATCAGCAGTGGTCCGGAACAAGGCTTTGGACTTAGCATTCATCATGAATGAGGGAAAAGCAGCTCTTGGTTCAAAATCTCATTCACCTCAAATTTATTCTCAAAACAGATCTACTTTTTCCCTGAGTTTATTTTCTTCAAGGGAACAAATTGGAAAAAAATCAGTTTTGTCCGAACCCCAAAAGCTGACCAATCATGTCAGGTGTCTGTGTGAGGCTAAGGTAAGCTGTTATCCCCCCAATAAGCATTGTGCAAACTAAAACGTCACCCACGAAACAGTCATGCCTCACAACATGCCCAGAAACATTCGAGTGTCGTAAACGTCCTGCAGATAAAAACATTCATATGATCAGTGGGAGCTGTTTTGTACTGAAGTCCAAAGAAGCCATGAGGTAGTTATAATTTTCTGGATTGTTATTTTGAGATGGGTTAATTATCTTGTTATCTCAAGATAACAAAACTGTTATCTTGAAATAACAAGTGACTTGTTATCTCGAGAAAACAGAAGTTGCTATTTTAAGATAACAAGTTAGTTGTCTTGTAATCTCAAGATAACAGTTGTTATCTTCAGATGACGAGTTATTTATCTTGTTATTATTGTCTTGAAATAATAACAAGTTACGTATTTTGTTATCTTAGGATAACAAAATTGTTATCTTGAAATACCAAATTATTTATCTTGTTATCTCAAGATATCAATCCAGAAAATTATAGCAACAGCTCCTGGCCTCTCCGGACTTCCGTAGTTTTGGCATGTTTACCCTAATTCTCATTACGGCAGCGTGTCCATGTGTGTCATTGTTTTTTGCTTTTTAAGTAGAAAGAAATGAGTTTGTATTTGTGTGTATTGAATGTAGTGAATCTCGATTTTTTAACTTATTTATTTTAACATTTTCCTTGTAACCTGTAAGGATGTGAACCAGAACAACAGAATGTTTAGTAATGTCTGCACAAGTAAAAAGAAAAACCTCACTGGCTGTCTGTGTTCTGGTAATGTGACTAAATTGCGGAACACTATCGCTTTAAAACACTTAGTCTGAGGACTAGATACAAAAGGATTGTTTAAACCTTTCTGTGTTGCGGTAATGGGATATAAAATATATATAAAAAAACATTAATTTTTAGTCATTTTAATTAATTCAAGATCGGTCCCAGTATTTATCATTTTCATGAGAATAATACTGGCTTCAAACAAGATAGAGTAGTGAGGAGCTCTCGAAGAGGCTCCTGTGGTTTCTGACACTGTGTCACATGCTGTCATGTATAAAAATGGACAGAAGTATGTCTTAAAGCTAAAAACATCAGTCACAGCCATTTTGAAGCTCATCATACAGTGTCAGAAACCACACAAGCAAGTTTGTTTGAGCTTACTTTAAAAACTCAGCGCCATCCGAGGAAAGTAGGATGATGAGGCGTGCAGTCTGCACAGTGCTGACTGGTGACCATAGGCTTTCATTACTTGTTAGCTACATTAGCCTTGTAGCTCTAGTGCAGAACTGTTTGATTACATTTGGGGTAAAAGGAAAACTGCAAATGCGATTTTTCTCTGCCTGATTTCTTTAAGATGAAGTCTGTAATGAAAGACACTGTATTCAATATAATTATGCTAAATGTCCAATACTGGATACTAGACTGTTCACTCTGTATCAGGATATGCTGAGGAATTTGAATACCAACTCAAAGTAGCATCATAGCTTTTGTTCCTCGCTTGATTTTTTTTTATTAGCACCGATTGGCCAGTAGAGTCCACAGGCAGAAGTCACGGCAGGTCTTGTTATTCAGATACTGGCGTACTGAACGTTTCTCTCACTGTTCTCAGCTGGACAACCTTGTCCTAATCAACAAGATCAAAGAGCAGCTGATGGCAGAGAAGATCAGGCCTCCACATCTGCCGCCCACTTCAGTCCCATCCCAGCAGCCCCTGCTGGTGCCCCCCACGCCTACAGAAGGTGGTCAGCACAGCATGCAGGTGCCCAAAATCCAGCAGATGCCTGGGCTTCATCCCCACAGCCCCACTCAGCCTGACATCGCCCTGCACGCCCGGCCAGCCTCCAGCACTGTCGCAGGTACACGTCCACACAGTGTACACAGATCGGTCACTTCAGGCTGCACCAGAAGGGTCTGTCCTGCAGCATCACCACACATTTAACTCTTCTTTAACTCTTGTCTTGCTATTTTTGATTTACGTTATATAATTATGCTTTTGTAATTAAATTATTACATAATTTGCGTTCTCTAATAACAGCTGTGTGTCTGCACTTTGGAGTTTTTATTTCTTCAGTGTCAAAAATGATTGAAATTTTGAAAAAAATGTAAACGATGGTTTTTCTTTCTGCAAAATAAGACTAAACACAATGAGTGCGTATACATGCACTCAATAATCCGATCATGAGTTATCCGATTATTCAAATGGTCATGTAAACACCATACTACAATCTAGAAATCCGATTAAGAAATCAGATAAAGAGAGCTGGATTTTTGCTCAGTAATCAGATTTCTCAGTGCATGTAAACTCTTACTCGGATTTCTCAGTCTGCGTAATCACGAGATCAGACTGTGGATGTCGCTAGACGCAGCAGAACACTTTTGGAGCGACACTGAAACCAAACATGAAATACGAGATTTACATTTTCTTCATCTTCTGGATGATGTGTGTTCATGTTTTCAGGTAAAGTGGCGCGATGTTTAAAAAAAAGCCGCAGCATTAAGTTTGAGTGTTGAGTTACGTTTACGTCACGTCTTCTTCTGTGAGTTTTTTTGGTGGTTGCAAACAGAAATCTGATTACTGTCTGACTCAAGTAGACCTGGAGTTTCCCCATTATCTGATTACTCAAGTGCATGTAAACGTGTTGATCGGATTACTGACAAAAACTGATTTTCTGCAGTTATCAGATTATTAACTGCATGTAAACGCAACCAATGACTTTTTATCAAATTCATATCATAGAAAAATACACTACCATTCAAAAGATATAGATACATTAATAAAAAAAAAATTATTAAGATGCTTCTACTCTACAGCTTCACAGATTTCAGCTAATTTGCAGGAAAATATTAAAAATAAGATGTGGTAAATGTGTCCAGGGTGACAAACATAGCTGTAGATAATTCCTTAATGACTAAGAAAGCTACTTAATATAGAGAATAAAGTTATAATTCCTTGTCTTTTCATTTAATAAATTATCAGTGTTCCCATTAAACGTGAAATATTGAATAAAACTTATAAATAAAAAATATAAAAGAGAGCTCCTGGACTGGGTTGCACTGGTTTTGCTTAAGTTTGTACTTAATGTGCGCAAAATATTTACTTAGTTAACAGTAATATAATTTTACAAAATTTGGCTGCATCACATCCATAATGTCATGTCTTGTCTAATGTGTACGTTGCTTTAAAGTGACAATAACATGTTCAGAACTAATAACTATAAACCCGCTGCTGTGGAAACAGCAACTTGCGATGCCTTTTTCTGTGGAATAAAAATATCCGGGATAGAAGAGAGAGCACAAGTTAAACTGAATAACACTGAATACTTGAAGCCATTATTTATTTTTTAATATGCAGCTGTTTTGAATGACTGGCTAACTGACACGACAGCAGCATCAACAGACGTTTTGGCAGCTGCTGAGTCTCACTGAGGCTGAAACTTCATGTTTTGAGTTTAAATCGCAGCAGTGATTTAGTTTAGTAAGTTTTTTGGTCTTTTTTGTGTTTTCTATGTGGCTTCCATTGGTTTACAATAGGGCTGTGCAATATGTTAATATATATCTTTGTCATGGTAAATTATGTCACTGTATAATACAGTCTGCTTTTCTAAAGGGAGCAAAATTAGTCCAGTTTAACTGGATTTAGTGCAGCACAGAAAGCAAAATGCTGAATAAAAATCATTGTATTCACCGTTTTTGATATATTTTCTGGTTCTTTTTTCTCAGTTCCAACTGATCAGATGTCTGAAAAAAATAAATATTGTGACATATCTAGATAATTTCATAAAAATAAGTATCACAATATTAGATTTTTGCAATATCTTAGAGGGAGGAGTGAATATTTAGTTACTACTAAGCTCAGCGTTAAAACTAGAGCTGGGCAGTATGACAATATTTATCGTTATTGTAATGAATTATGTTACAGTATGTCACAGTGTGGTTTTCTGAGTATATTATGGATAACAGTAGTACTTAAAAACACTTCCCAACTGCACGTTTGACTCAAGGAGTACATAATTAGTCCTGTTTAATTGGATTTAGTGCAGCACAGAGTGTAAAATGTTGAATAATCAATGTTTTCATAGTTTTTGATAGTATTTTTAAATGGGGTACCACTTTGTCTTTTCCAACTTTTAAATGTCAGAAAAAGTTGTGCTATATTGTGTATCATGAAAAATGTATAAATAATAAAAAGACAACAGTAAATTAATATGATGTTACTGCAAACTTAGTAATGTTTCTCCTTTTCTGCTTACCTGACACAGATGTGGTATGGATTGAAAATTCAGATTTTTAGATCTTAAATCTCAGTTTAATTGAGCTTTGAGTGAGAAATAATTAAAGGAAATGTATGAAGACACATTTCAATAAAGCCATAGAGGAACTAGGAGGGTTAAAACATATATACGCTACATTTATGATCCATTCCAGATGTATGTTTTAAAAGATTTCACAAAAGTATACTTGCCCAGGATTTCACAGATGAATCTAGACTAGCAGGACTGTCATACAGTATGGTAGTAACTATGATTAATAATAATAATTTAAAGCGTTTAAAAAGCCTAAATCATTCTTATTTTTCCTTTGCATTCCCCCCAGGACGCATTCTTGGTGATGTAAACCTGAATCTGGATGATAAGACAGCCATAAAAGCTAGAGGACTGTGGGAGGACTGGCATTTACGACAGATTATAGACCAACCATCAAGAGCGAACCATCTGTCAGGTAACTGCGCTGTTATTAACACAGCAATGCTATCAAACTTGCCAATATAGCCAGAAGGAAGGATATGTTTAGATTTTGATGCAAGGATGCAAAAAACTTGCATTTCAGTTTTTCCTTCTTGTTCTTTGATCCCGACAGTGTTATTGTTGCTAATCATACATGTATTCGGTTTCATGTTTAAGTGAACCAACTCTTCAAAAAGCTTTTAAAGCGATAGTTCCCTTATCTCAAATGTAGTCAGTTATCTAAGACTTGTTTAGTGGTGGATCATTCTCAGCAGTGCTGCTGGAGTTTTTAAACACTGTGTCCACTCACTGTCCACTCTATTACACACTCCTACCTTGTTAGTCCACCTTGCAGATGTAAAGTCAGAGACAATAGCTCATCTGCTGCTGCACAGTTTGTGTTGGTCATCCTCTAGTCCTTCATCTGTGGTCACAGGACGCTGCCCACAGGACGCTGTTGGCTGGATATTTTTGGTTGGTGGACTATTCTCAGTCCAGCAGTGACACTGAGGTGTTTTAAAAACTCCAGCAGCACTGCTGTGTCTGATCCACTCAGACCAGCGCAACACACACTAACACGCCACCACCACGTCAGTGTTACTGCAGTGCTGAGAATGATCCACCACCCAAATAGAACCTGCTCTGTGAGGGTCCATGGGGGTCCTGACCACTGAAGAACAGGGTAAAAGGGGGCTAACAAAGTATGCAGAGAAACAGATGGACTACAGTCTGTAACTGTAGAACTACAAAGTGCACCTATATAGTAAGTGGAGCTGATAAAATGGACAATGAGCGTAGAAACAAGGAGGTGGTCATAATGTAATGCCTGATTGGTGTGTATGAGCTTTTCAGGAGTTGTCTTTGTCTCTGTTGGTCAGGTATAGCACTGTCGTCTCGTAGCGGAAACAGTAACACATCGGACACCATGACCCCTGCAACCCCTACATCCAGCAGCAGCCAGGTACGCCAGGGTGGGGCCCCTTCCACAAACCTCGTCTCAGGACTGGCCAGTGGCCCGGGCATGGAGGCGATCAAAACCAGTGGTGGACTCGCAGGACTGCTGGGACCCGCCCCCAAAACTGTGGGACGGGGCCGCAAAAAGATCAAGGCGGAAAACACCTCTGGTCCTCTGTTAGTTGTGCCCTACCCTATTCTGGCCTCAGGAGCTGACCAGTCATCTGTAACCATCACTGCCAAAGAGGGCAAAACGTACAGGTAAGAACACTGATGATTACAAATGTGTCACAGATCTGGTGTTTCATACTAAACATTATACTTACTTAAAGTGATGAACTTTCACCCTGTGGTGAACAAAAAGGTTCTAAACCCAATATTTATTGCCACTTGAACATTTTTCTTCTGAATGTTGCCTGATCCTCTGAATTACGAGGTTGTTAAGGAGCCGAAATGCAAGTGTTGCCACACATTAAACAAGTATCATAAGACTGGCAACCTCACCAAAATACCCCACACAGACAAGTAAGCTTTCTCCAGTGTAGTAGAGTTTTTTGGCAGTAGTAGCCTGCATTAGTGTATAATCGTGGTGGAGCGCACAGGATAAAGCATATCAACTTTGGAAATCATTCCTGTTCACCACAGACATTCATTTTTCTCTTAGGCTACGTTCACATTACAAGCCTCGTTGCTCAAATCTGATTGTTTGCTCAAATCCGATCTCTCTGACACGATGGTTCACACTCGTTTAGGAAAGTGACTCAAATCTGTCATTAATGTGAACGAACCAGCGTCCTGAAATGACTCGCATGAGCTCATCCTACTCAGTAACGTCACGTGAGTGAATCACGTGAATCATCAGCACAAACTAACGAGCAGAACGAGCTTCACTGAGAAGATAATTAACTCTGATCAGCTCTCAGCTTCATTATTAGAGCGAGACGAAGGAGAAAAAGGTGAGATGTGCTGCTTTTCCACCGTTTACAGGCTTTAACTTCTGTTCGGCGCTGCTGCCATGGTAACGCTGAATGATGCCGCACGTGCAGTGGAAAAAAAGCACATGAATTCCGATCTGAGCGTCACATTAAGGTCACATGGCCACGAATCGGATACGTATCTGATCTAGGACCACACATGAAAGTGGCTCAGTTTGGATTTGAAAAGGTCAGATCTGAGTCACATTAGGGCAGAAAATCAGATTTATGCCACTTCAGCCTGGTAATGTGAACGTAGCCGTAGAGAAAACCTGCCCTGGTGTTCCTATTATAGTCATAATGCCAATTTCGCAGGTCTGTTGATAACAGGGTGCCATATAGTGTCATAAACCACATCATCAAGTCTATTTGAGATTATTAACAACATTTTCATCCAGTAAAATTAGCTCCTTGTAGCTCCAGTGCAAAACTAAATAAGCAAACTTCAGAAACCAAGCTTGTCTTTCCTGCTGGGCTACATTTGGGCGAAGGAGAAAACCCTGTAAATTAGATTTCTCACTGAACCGTCCCTTTAAACTCCCATGTTCTTCTCCGCAGGTGTAAAGTGTGCCCGCTGACGTTCATCTCCAAGTCAGACATGCAGATTCACTCGAAGTCGCACACAGAGGCCAAGCCACACAAGTGTCCGCACTGCACAAAGTCCTTCGCCAACGCCTCCTACCTGGCCCAGCATTTACGCATCCACCTCGGAGTGAAGCCTTATCACTGCTCCTACTGCGAAAAATCCTTCCGCCAACTCTCACACCTACAGCAGCACACTAGGTCAGACAGACATTGTTTGCAGGTCAGTTGATTGAAAAGTGATTTAAAAGTAATTGGAGCTAATTGGCTATTTTTTCTCGTTATGCAGAATTCATACAGGTGACCGACCTTATAAATGTATTCAGCCAGGCTGTGATAAAGCCTTTACACAGCTCTCCAATCTGCAGGTAAGACCTAACAAACCAGCTTTCATTGTGTGGTGTGTGCGAAATGCTAAAGCAGTGCTGTCTTTATGCTGTTGATGCCAGTTTTTATCCTTATATTCCTAAAGTGAAAGTTATTTCAGATGATATATTATGTAGCTCATTGTAATCATGCATTAACCTCTTAAAGGGGAATTCCACCCATTTAAAAAAAAATGCATAAATAAATTGTTAAAGCGTCATTCAAAGTAATATGTGGACAGATGCTCAGTTCTAGACAAACACACAGAGTGAATTGTTCACAGTGGAGATGATAGGAACCAGACGTCTGAAGATTTTAATGACTCTAAAAACTCTCTTACAAAGTTATTACATGAATTGGTTGCAGATATTCTGCCTGGTGTCAGAGACATTGTTTTATGATAGTTTTGAGAAGGTTTTGGTGTGATTTTTTTTTTTTTTCTTTTTTTATTAAATCCATTATTGACAGAGAGGTACATGCAGAGTATATTAAGGCAAACTTATAAAAGAAAATTTACTTTTTCCAGTTTATCACTGTTTTACCATTAACAACTTCACATGTAAAAAGACGTGTTTTTCCCCTAGTGGTTTTGGATTGTAAATAAAATGGCTACATTTGCTTTAGACCCCTGGTTCCTATCATCAGCACTCTGAACAACTTTGTTTGCAATGACTGAACTACGCAGAAATTTTCAAAAATCAGTGGAGTTCCCTTTTAACCTCTAAGGACTTGCATGTGGGTCCACACTGTACTTCCTCAGTCTTATATCTACATAAAGCAGATTAGTTTCATAGTTGTTGCTGAATCATTTACTGTAGTTACCAGATAATACTGAAGGGGAATTCCACCAAAGTTTCTGCATGAGTAAATCACTCGGATGTAAACAAAGTCATTCAGAGTGTTTTGTTATGAAATTGTTCATTGTACTTACCTGCTCAGATTCTCTTTACAGTGGTGATGATTGGAACCAGGGGTCACAATGTTTACAACAAAACACAACCATTTTATTTACTACCTGAAATAAACAGTGGACCTACATGTGTGTTCTGAGTTTTATGTTTTGCTGATGATGGTAAAATCTGAAATTATGTTTTCTTTGTTGTATGTTTTCTTTGGGTACAGTTTTGCCTTCTAACGACCCCCAATAGTTTTTTATGATAGTTTTTTTTTAGACTTTAGATTTTGTCTCAAACGTCATTCGGCACATTCATAACCATTTCATGTAATAACTTGAAACTGAGCTGGTAACTGGTAACTGAGCTTTCAGTGGAATTCCCCTTCAAGTCTCACTGAATAATTGCCTGAATGAGAAGCCTACATGTTAAAAGCTCATATCGCTGCTGTCGGAACAAAACCTCGTATCTCCATTTTTGTCGTTTTTCAGTTTTTGACAAAATTTGAAAATACTTCTTGCCCTCTACATTGTTTACAAATTTTATAATGAATGGACTAAAAGAAATGACCAAAAATGACTTGTAAAAATTCTGGTTCCATTGACTTACATTAAGTAAAGTATGTTTTTTCCTTCTCCTGTAAAGTTACCATTTTGGAGATACGAGGTTTTGTTCCAGCAACAGCAATACATTTGTTTATTTATTGTGTTGAAGTAATTTTTGTAATATTTTGTAATATTTGTGTTGAAATAAACAACAAGTCTCTGTGTTTCTTGCCTTGCAGTCTCATCAGAGATCACACAACAAAGACAAGCCATACAAGTGTTCCCACTGCTACCGCGCGTACTCCGACTCCGCCTCTTTACAGATCCACTTAGCTGCTCACGCCATCAAAAACGCAAAGGCCTACTGCTGCAGCATGTGCGGCAGAGCGTACACCTCAGTAAGTCCAGCCAGGCTTTTACCTTCAAAACAACTTTTCTACTTAGAAACAAAAGTGGTATCGATTGACTGAACAGTGCTTTCAGTCAGACAGTCTAACTTACGGCAAAGTCATGTGATATCTACGTATTGTTAACCCATATTTTTGTTTTGCTATATTTGATTTTCATTACAGGCTTACTTTAATGTCATCAGGAATATATTATGTAGTTAATTACACAATAAATTACTTCTACATCTGATTTAAATTCTCTACCCACAGATTCGATTCACTACTTCCAACATTTTTTCCTGTTTCGATGCCCAAAAATTACAGAAACCTTTTAATCAAATTAAAAAAAATTCTGTTCTACTTACAAACAAATGTGGTATCTGTTGATCTTATTGAGATGTTGTTTAGAATCCGCACTTTCAATAGAATATTTCTGCTTGAGTCAGTTAGCTACGATATAAAATTACAGTTTTTATCAATGGTGATAGCTGTGACTTTAAAGTAGAGGTGGACAATACAATGAAATTTTATTGTTATCATGACAAATTATTTTATCTTGATGCACATTATGCTTTTCCGAGCACATCATGGGTATCAGTACTTAAAGAACGCTGACCAAGTGCATATTTCATATTGCATTTTTAGTGCAATCCAGTGTGTAAAATGTTGATTAAATATCAATACAGTTAGTACATGTTTGTGGTAATGCTAATGTATTGTGTCAAAATATCGTATTACATGTTGTGCATCATGAAAATGTCTAAGTATCGTGACATGATATCACCCACCACTTCTAAGGAGAAACTGCTTCTGCCTCTGTCATTCCTGCCATTTTAGAAAGTGATTTACCATTAAGTACCAAGTTTTGATTTTTTGATTGGATTGGTCAGTATAGACAGAACGTTAATCATGTGGGCTACTTGACCACTTCCAGGTGAACTTTTTGCAACTCAGAGTGCACCGAGTGCTCCACTCAAACAACAGCAGTATAGTGAGCATAAAACTTAAGATGCCCAGCACACAAAATATATCACTCCTATTGAAAACAATAGAAAAAAGGCACTGTGGGCCTCAAGACACATGTGCAGTGTGAACCCCCTGTACTAGAAGCCAATACAGCATCATACAAACTAAATATTCAGTTTTCTCCAACTGTGTCTTGAAGTCATTTCATATAGAGTTGCTTATGGGTTCTGATGCTAATTGACACTGTCATCTATAAACATGGACAACAATACATTCAGGTTGCTTCTGTTGTTTTTTAGCTAGGCAACATACTTCTGTCCATTTATAGATACAGTACAGTGTATCTATATAGAAACCATATAAACCAGTTTTCTTGAGATTACTAAACAACTGGTGGTGGGAAATTAGATCACGTTTAAATGGTATTTAGTCTTTTAGAATGAAAAATAACAGAAGAAGCCAAAAAAAAAGTCAAAATATATGAGGAGTGCTTCATAATTCTTTTTGCTTTTATACATTTTATCTACATTTTGATATGTATTTGATATTTATAGATCACAGTCATCCATATTTATTTATTTTCCGTCACTTGCAAAACTGCGTCACCTTTAAACTGATAATTATTGCAATTACAAAAATGTTAAATAAAAAGGAATGAATGAATCGTTTATATATCAGAATCGCAATTTAAAGGGTGTGATTTTTCATTCTTGCTCACCACTTTTGGCCTTCAAGCCTCACGTCTAAAAAAACGGATGTGCGCGGAGTTTACAACTGCAATGGACAGTAGCAGTGTTGAAAAATCACAATTATATATTTTCCCAAAATTGTTCAGCCGTGTGCTAAACTGGTGGCTGTAAGCTTCTCTTAATTGTTAGCAACATTAACCTGGTAGCTCCAGTGAACAGATACAGCGTTCCTAAAACTGTGTTCTGTGTTCCTCCCTGTAGGAAACCTATCTGATGAAGCACATGTCTAAACACACAGTAGTGGAGCACCTGGTGAGCCAGCATTCACCACCACGGACGGAATCCCCCAGCATCCCCATCCGCATCTCCCTCATTTAAACAGCTCCCTGGACCAGGGCGCACGGTCAGTCCCCAGCTTCGCCTGAATCAAACCAAATCACCTCTCCTCAGTGGTGTCCTCTTTCGCTTAATCATTCCTTTATTCTGGGATACATTCCAAAATGTTTTAGACTGTATTCCTAAAGCCTCTGAGAGAAAAAGGCTGAGTCGTTTTATTTTTGTGTGTTTATTTGTTCGTTCTCTCTCTTTAACTCGATGTTTGTTAGAGAGAAGAGGGACTAGTAGGGACATCCAAAGACAGTTTTGCAGCACTTTCAGGCCATGTAGGCTTAAAAATGTTCAGTCTGTAAAGGCATTGCTCTTGGCAGCTAAATTTTCAGACGTTAGGTGTTACACAGGAAAAAAAGACTGTGTTGTTTACACTCTGTTTTATCCTGGTAATATCTAATGATCTTGAACTCATGCTGAGACATATATTTAGAGCATGGACCAAGTCCAACTTTTTTTTTTTAATTTTTATTTTTTTGTATTTCCTGTGTTAGGAAAGTCGTAAAGGGGCACATACCAATTTTTCAACATTTCGAGTTGGTCAGAGTGGTTAGATGTAAAATGATGCATTGTAAAAAAAAACAGTGATACAGTGATGGTGATGGGAACCAGGGGTCACAATGTTTAAACATGCTCAGTTTGTTTACTATCCAAAACCACCAGTGAACCTGCATGTCTTAATATGTTGATAATGGTAAAATAGTGGTAAAAATAAGTTTTCTTTGGGTACTAATCTGCCTTAAACACCCAGCATGTACATCTCCACCATGAATGGTGGTTGGTATAAAGTAGTGAGTATCACTTCTGCCTTCTATGCTGTGGACCTGGGTTCAATCCCACGTCTGGGCCAGTACCCCACACTATGCTAGTAAGAGTCCTTGGGCAAGACTCCTAACATAAACATCACCTACCTGTGTAAAATGATCTAACTGCAAGTCGCTCTGGATAAGAGGGTCTGTTAAATGCCATAAATGTAAATGAATGTCTTTTAAAAATACCTTTTGTGCCAGAATCTTATCTCAAAGCTATGGTAGAAAACAGACATCAGGCAGCGCATTCATAACCATCTAATGTAATAACTTCCTTTTGGCATTAAACTCTTCAGACGTCTGGTTCTTATCACCATCACTGTGAACAAAGTCCCTGTAGAATGGAGCGTTTCGCACCAAACCACTCTGAACGCAGACAATTTGAAAAATTGGTGGATTTCTCCTTAAATCAGAAGTCTTCTGCTTGAGAAGCAAACGGTTTTCATGTTTTATACGTTTAAATGCATATTTCGTTTAGTAGGTCTTTGTGAATGTGTTTTTTTTTTCGTGTCTGTTCATCAAGCTAAACTGTTCTTAGTCCTTTAAAATGATGTGCTTTTAGTGCCAAAAACTGGGACTACAGAACAGCATAAGCTAGTATCTGCTGGTATCTCTCAACTCTGGTGTACATAAACACGCTCACACTGCCACTGATATGTACCCTATGTACCCTTCAACATTTCACAGAAAGGTCAGTTGTCATGTCACAAACCCCCATGTGTACATATGTTTATGTTTAAAATGTCTCTGGTCTTTTCATCCATGTATTATCATGACTAAGTATTAATAATTGCCATTATATTATTTTCTATACAGTCAAGCCTTAACTATTTTATCACTAATTATCATCACATTTTATATACAAGTTTACCATACTGGTGTTTTCACTGTACTCAGTACTGTATGGCTTTTTTTAATTTCCTAGCATGAATATTCTGTAAATAAACTATAAAATACTTATGTGTTAACCCATTTATATAAAATGTCTAGTTATTACAAATATGTTTTTTTTATTTGTCTTGCATTGTGGTACTCTATAAAGTTTGCCTTGGCTGCTATATGCAAAGTCAAGACTTAGAAAGGACTTTGTATAAATAAGGAAAGAAAATAAATCAGAAAAGTCTGGATATTTTTGTGGTCTTGTGTTTTATGATGTAAAGCTCAATCTGGTGTGACAACATTCTTAGAAACTGCATTCACTGCACTATAAAATGGTGTTTTAAATAAAACTAGGTCATCGATGGTACATAATTTGTGGGCTGATGCCGGTATCTGTTATTTTTGTGTACGTATGTGTTGATACTGATACATAAACATTTTAAAGTGTAGAAATTTGGGACAAGTTCTACTGCAACAGACGCAGTCAAATAAATATAATGCAGACATTTAGCACAGCAGCCCAGCGCTGCATTAGACAGAGTACAATAAATACATCATCAAGTATCAGTTTGAAATATCAGTCAAATCTAAACATCTTTTTTAAAGCAACTATGTGATCAGATATGATTCTGATATGCATCTCTAGTATAAAAGCACACATTGGCTACGTTCACATTACCAGGCTAAAATGGCAAAATCTGATATTTTGGATTAATGAGACAGACCTGATTTTTTCAGAGCACTGTGGAGACGCAAATCTGATCTTTTTAACTCAGATCTTAGCCACTTTGGCTATGTTCAGACTGCAGGCAAATCGGATCTGCATCTGAAATCAGATCATTTTAGACGACTGTCCATTTGCAAGAGATCAGATTGGATTTGTGTGCCCAGACATCACCTATCTGCATGGGTTGCTGTGGTAACAACGGGGGTGTCAGTAACTATGTAGCTACACTGGTGATGCAGGAGAGACGGAGGTGCATCATGTCACCCTCCAAACTCTTCAAGGTTCTTTGGCATAAAAATGAATCTTTTGCTGTCTTCTTGAATCCCAGCACTTCCATAGTTCTGGATTTGACTTTGTCGTTGTTTGTTGCATTGTGAGTGACGCAAAGGACACTTTGAAATCCGATTTGAGTGGCCAGAGCGTCCAAACTGAGACGCACTGGAATCGCATTTCAAACCACCTCCACATGTGGTTTGAATTCGATTTGCAAACTTTGGGTCTCGTGTGTTTTTTTTGCTGTTCAGACCATCACAAATCAATCTGAATACAATCTGGACAAGCCAAAAATCAGATTTGGCCTGGCAGTCTGAACAAGGCCTTTTATATGTGGACCTAGATCAGATGCATATCCGATTCGTGAACCTGCGACCACTTTTTCACTTATGCGTTAACGTGGGAGCAGCAGTAAACGGTGAAAAAGCATCTGACCCTTTTCACTTTTGTCTTGCTCCAATAATGAACAGCTGAGAGCTCTTCAGGGCAGATTACCCTGCGATAAAACCTTATTCTCCTGCTTAGTTTGTTGTTCATGACGCACTGGGTTCAATCACGTCATTTCAGGACACAGCTTCGTTCACACTAATGACAGATGTGAGCCACTTCCTTACACAAATGTGAACCATCAAGATTGGATCTGGAAAAAGAGTCGGAATTGAGCAGTGAGGCCTGTCATGTGAACGTAGCCACTGGTACACAATATAAAACTGCTCAGCTTCAGCCTCGTCATAAATAAACATATAAATTCCACATAGCTTGCAAAATTCAATAAATAGCATCATTATAAAGAACAAAATATAGTAAATAATCTTACAAATCCCAATATGTACTCACAAAATAGCTTACATAAGCAGATAATCAACACTGCATACATATATATCAGCCCATCAAAGAAAAAGTGCTTTGTGCTGTGTAGATCAGTCACACGTCATCCATGCTGCTCAGAGCATCCATTAAATAAACTCATTTTACTTTTCGGCGCTGTTCAGTGTTGCACGTTCTCTTCTGAAGCTGTTTTTGTGCTGCGATGGGTGCCGAGGGGTGTGTGCAGATTCCTGTGGTCAGTTCAGATAGTCCATCTCCGAGGCACGGCTTCGGGTCAGAGCTGCAGGCTCCTCTGTTGGACTGGATTTTGTTTTCTGGATGATCGCTAGAAGGTCAAACGTTTCGAATCCCCTCTCACTGTGAACAGATAAGACAGAGCGCACATTTCCTGCGTCTTTCAGCTTCACTTTTTACCGCTTTTGTCGTTTTTGTTGTCTTTTTGATGGTTTCACTGGTTGAACATGTAAACCTCTGTACTGATAAATAAGAATGCAGGGTTTCATTCATCAAAGTGTGTGTAAGACAAGTTCTAGATCTCTGTGTAAGAATCACCAGTACACACAAGAAAGCAGGTACTTATCAATGTGTGTAAACACAGCTGTGCACCAGTGATCAATCCCACACTGCACCCCTTCAAATAGCTGTATATGGTAAACAACTTCCCTTTAATGAAGGTTTAACAGTGTAAAAGGTAACTATAGTATTCAAATTATACAAAAACAAACTACAAAAATGGAGATAAAAGGTTTTTGCTTGAAAGTTCTTGTATATAAAAATACAACTTTCCATTTTAACATTTAATTTAAACATTTAATAATTAAAAATTAACTTTAGACAAATTCAATTTAGACATGCAATGATTATGTAATAATAACTAAATTAATTTAATTCAAACTTGTTACGTTTTAATTGTTTTCCTTATGAAAAATGCATCACTGCATGTACTGCATTTAAACTCCTGAACACTGTTTCTTAAAATAAAACGGAAAAAGCCACACATGCTTGTCTGAATGTGAACAGGCTAGAAAGTAATTCCTGCAAGTAAAAACAGAATTTTGACATTTATATTTTTTTTACAACATTTCTAATTTCAGCTGGTATAAATATTTTTTTACTTGTTCACATTTGATTTCTGATATCAATAAATTGTGAATTGGAAGATAAAATTCCTAACACACTCTCAGTGCAGGACAGAAGTGGATCTGATGTGATTTTGAAATTTGGATTGATGAAAAATATTGTTTTTGTACATCATTATTTATTTTGCTTTGTTTTAAAGTATTTATTTCACTGCTTGTTTCCACCAGGCTGAACTGACAAAACATTTTTACAGAATGAGCACAATACTTACCAATCATTCTGTCAGTTATGCTAAAATGGCTGAAAATGAGAGTTTGTGTGTGTCCTAATAGGTTTACCTGCAATTACATATTTCTACCACCAGGTTTCTGCTAGTGGAAATCAGCATTATCGCTTCAGTCCGAATTTGTTGAGCGAAAACTACTCAAAAGGTGAAGATATGATATCTGCATTGAACACTAGCATATTATGGCATTTTCATTATTGTATGACAGAAAAATAAAGTTCATGAAATTAACTTTACAATGACAAGTGACAAAGTCCGCACTCAGCAGTTGTGTAGTTGTTTGGCAGCAAAATCTTCTAAGTTATTCTAAATTAACTACATTTCTTGGAAAAATTGTTTATTATGATTGTTAGTAATTACAGTATTTTTTGAAAATGTGTTTACTGTATCATATTTTTGCTGTAGCTGTTTAATAAAAGCAGTAAGCTGCTTGAGGCCATATGTTACAGTGATTTTACAAGCTTACAGCTTTGCAACTGTTTTTCTTAAAAGGTGTTCAGATTGAAAACTGCCAGCCTTCATTCATCCCTTCTGGCAAGAAATACACAAAACAGCAGAGCGTGTGTTAAAGCAGCTGGTACCGTATAGTTTTAAAGTATTGTATTTGGGTCTTTTGCCTCCTCAGGTGAACAGAGCAGTAGAAAAATACCAGCTTAGAATGATATTAGCAGCAAGTGAAAAATAAATAAATAATTAGAAAACAGTTTCAATGACAACCACCAACAATACAGGATTGTCTTGAGGTGGTTAAGAGCATTTTTGGCGTAAAGAGATTCACACTTTCCCTAAATTCACTGATAGAAAAAATCAAAGTACTGGGGGAACTGAACTGAATATGCATCTTTGATTCAGGCTGACTGCTTTGTTTGATAGGTTTCATAGGCAGAGAGGAAACTGTGAAATGTACGAATCTCCTAACTAGACTTGATTTAAGATTTTCAATTGTTCTGTTTTGTTCTTATATAAAGCTTTGGTTCTATATGACTTCCTAAAAAAATGGAAGAACACAAGCTGGGAAAATACTGAAGCATATTGAAATTTCTTATGTACCATTTATTGCTATTCCAATTAAAATTAAATTCAAAAAAAGAAAACTGCCAACCATGACCATAACCATTTTCAACCATTTCAATGACCATTTCATTATTAACTATCTTTAAATATTATGTTCTTTATGTTGTACGTCTTCCACTGGCAACCAATTTGGCAATAGCATTAAATTGCTATTAATCACACAAAATTTACCAATAATTTGACAGGCCTCAAGTCAACATCATAATTTTATCTGAGCAGTACGGCTCAGAGAACAGATGCTTTACCTGCAGTTGGCCTGCTCTGAGCCCTCAATGATACGGTTCTCAAATGAAGACAACTTCTTGAGATCCTGCACACAAGAAGAACCATGATGGGTCAGATGCTGGATGGACAAACCACACAGTCTGCTACGTTATTGAACCTCCTTCGTTTCAGTGCCATTACTTCAGATATCTACCTCAGTACTGATCAGACACTGCTTGTCCTGCAGCAGCCCCTCCAGATTTGCAATCTGCTTGGACTTTATCATGTTAAGGTCGCGCTGTCGAACACTGTCTTTCTCGAGAAAATCCACCCTGAAAAACAAACCAGTGGGAAGGTTTATCAGAGTGAATGTTACTGCAAACCAGGGGTGTAAAAATCCACCTGTGCATCTTAATGCACTGATCTGAAGATGGTGATTCATCTGTATTTGCATTCAGCATATTTTTAAAAGTAATTCTGCATTTTTCCAATTGCATGTTCTCCCCATGTCTGCGTGGGTTTCCTCCGGGTGCTCCGGTTTCCTCCCACAGTCCAAAGACATGCAGTCAGGCTGATTGGACACGCTAAATTACCCCTAGGTGTGAATGTGTGTGTGATTGTGAGTGTTTATGTTTGTCTGTCTGTCCTGCGATGGACTGCCGACCTGTCCAGGGTGTATCCTGCCTTCCGTCCAGTGACTGCTGGGATAGGCTCCAGCTCCCCCCCCACGACCCAGAAGGATAAGCAGCTTAGAAGATGTGTGTGTGTGGGTGTGTGTGTGTGTGTGTGTGTGTATCTTTCCAAATTAACTTTCTCAAATTGTGGTGAAAATTGTTCATGATACTTTGAATAATTTCCTAAAGAATCATGACAAAATCAAGCTGCTGGTCAGAGACTGTAGCCCCCTCCAGACTCTGTACCTCTGCTGAAGAGCCGTGACTGTGGCTACTGCGTGTCTTCTGCGCTCTTCCTCCTCGTTTAGCTGACACAGCAGTTGTTTCTTGCTGAGAAGCAGCACTTCATTCTCAGCTGTGACCTTCTTCACCATCTCACTCTCCCTGGTGAAAATAATGATGAGTAATGATTACATCTGTACTCAGTTTTCATGTGACCAGAATCTGAGCCACCAACAAAATACCTTCTCCGTCCTCTTGGCGAGGACGCTCAGCTCTCTCTCCTGCTCCCTGATCTTTTCATCTCTCCAGGCTGTCTCTCTCAGGTAAACCTCTTTGGCTTCACAGAGCTTCTCTTTGTGGCGACCCTTCTTGTCTTGATATTTGCTGGAAAAATTGGGACACTAGGTTACAGATTCGGGATCCATAGGGCACCTGCTTTACAGCATGTGTATGACCAAAATCACAGATCAGCCACAATATGTGGGGCAATTGTGGGCTGGAGGTGAGGGAACCAGTCTTGTGACCGGAAGGTCACCGGTTTGATCCCCTGAGCCGACAGGACATGTTTGAAGTGCCCTTGAGCAAGGCACCTAACCCCCAGTTGCTTCTCGGGTGCCGTAGATAGGGCTGCCCACCGCTTTGGGCTGGGTGTGCTCACTGCCCCCTAGTGTGTGTGTGTGTGTTCACTAGTGTGTATGCATGTGGGTGTTTCACTGCACGGATGGGTTAAATGCAGAGGTCTAAGTCCTCTGTGTGCAAACACAGTTGGCCAGTGGTTCTGATTATGTCTGGTGCCTGAAGTTTGCTTCTTCAGTTGTTGTTTGTCTTAAAAGCTGAAAATATGTCGACATTAAATAAATGACAGTTCATTTCAATCAATAAAACTCCTCATTTTGATCCGAAGAGAATTCCGTTTCAATGAAATCCAAATAAATTAGACGGAAATGTTTCAATTTCGTTCCATCAACAATTGAACTTTATGTTACGGTAACAATATCTGTGTATGCTGACTGTATTTGAATGGAAATGTGTGGCAAAATTTTATTAAGTTCATACAACAATTTATTTTACTGAGTGCAGTTAACAAGTTATGGAAGCTTACTGGTCTATTTTTGGACAGCATGTCATACATTAGCCCCAGATACCAACCATGTTTTGGCTGTTTGCGCTAAGAGGGAAATTTTGAAATTGAAATTGTGTAAATTGTGTGAACTGATTGTCTAATAAAGCCTTAAAAACATTTGAAGATTAAACACAATCTGGTTAGACTTCTAAGCTGTTTGTACCTGATCTGAGAGTGCAGGTTAAAGTGAGCGTGCTGAAGTTGGATCTGGAGATTCTCAGTCTCCTGCTGACTGCACTTCAGTTTGTCCTCCAGCTTCACTATGACCTGCCTGAACTGCATGCAAAGAACACATATAATGCTTTCTTTAGAACAAATTGTGCATCTGACAGAAAAAAAAGGTCACATTTCAGGAATTTTTCCTTGCCAAGCGTAGTTTATTATTAACCTTTTTTATTTATTTATTTTTTTAATTAGCAGAGTTGTTGAAAATGTGAAATATTTTAATAAGTCTTTAGCAACTATTTTAATTAAAAGTTTTTCAAAACTGCTACTACTGGAACCAGAGACATCTGACAAACTTTACAGGAGTGCAAAAACAAATTTCAGCCATACTTTGGCCTGTCTGTGTTTATTCATTCTTAACATTAAAACTGCATTTATATTTGAATGAAACAATGTTTTTGGTATTAGACAGATCTCATCAAGAGCTTTAATTTGACAATTTTTGCTCAAAATTTCACTTATGCCCCTCTGGTTCCAAGCCCACCATACTACTTTAAATACTATTAATACTAATAAATTGGAGATGGTGTGATGATGTCTTCTGTCAGTATCTTACCTCATTTTGCTCTTTGCGCTGTTGGTCCTGGACTCGACTCATTTCTGCCTTTGCAATGGTCAGCTGAGTGTTGGTGGTCAGCAGAGACTGCACTTGCTGCTGGAGCTCCCTTTCTCTCTCGGCCAAGTGCTCCCTGTTCCGTGTTAAAGGTAAGGCATGTAGGATATTAACCTACAGGATAAATTAATCAAACATACACTTGCTGATAATGTAGAGTCTATGTACTGTATCTTTATTTGGACAATAGTACATGATCAGCTGTTCTTCAGGTGCACCTTTGCTTTTGAGCGTTCTCAGCTTGGATCTTCAGCGTATCAAACTCCTCCAGCATGTCTCTGACTTTCTGCTCCAGCGTGGAGTTCTGTGCGTTACGATCCTCCTCCACCACACGGAGCTGCTGGGTGGCACTCTTCAGCTGCTGCTGGAGACCTTCAATCTACCACACATGGAAAGCGATATAAGTGTATTCATCAAATAAAATATACTCAGTCTGGAAATATGTTTTTCTTTAATGCATTTTAGTGTTTGGAAAAAACCCAAATGTATTTCATATTTCAAAGCAGAGACCGCTTTGCTCTGTAATAGTGGTTCACATTTTATGCTGAGAAGACAGAAGGGGGCAAATGGTCTTTACCTCCTTCTCCATGGAGCCAAACTGAACCCGGGTGGAGCTGAGTTTCTCTTGTTCTTGCTGTAAGAGGGACTTGTCTTGTTCCCACTGAGCCTGCTGCATCTGGAGCTTTAGCTGCAGGGTCTTGAGCTCGGCAGCCTGCGATGCTTCTTTGTCTTGCAGTTGTGTCACTTTGGCCTGGGCCTCCTGTAGCTCAGTAACCACCTGCAAGAGTGATTTTAAGTGTCTTTTAAAGCCAATGCGAATCAGAAATCATGCATTTTCCTGCATAAACTAACAAGGCAGAACAGGTCAACTGTTCTGATTTCAGGAGGACTTTTTAACAGTATTTGAAACTCTTAAAGGGGACCAGTCACACTGTCAAATAGCCTTAATTCCTTAACAATCTAGGTTTCTTTTATACAAAGGCTTATTAGTCAGTAACTATAATGACTACAATGCAAACTAATGGAGCTTTTCTTAGGTTATAGAAGTGTGTAATAAAACTTATGGTTTGTTAAGAGGTCAATCAGCAAACATTTAGAACAAAATCATGACAATTTGTGCTATAATTTTAAATATACAGAGCATCTTTACTCACGAACCTATAAAATGTGATTCTTACATCTCCTAGAGTTTTTTTGAACAGTTACAGTGGGAGGGGATGTGGCTAAACCAGCACTGCATCGCATGACCACACCCCTCTACTGCAGGTCTTTTCTCTTTGTAAAGATGTACCATTTCTGTGAATATAAAAAGACTTAACTCTGAGCCAGTCAGAATGTCGACTTGTGCTTTTGAAGGACATGCAGAAATGAAAAACATCTTTATCACAACACTGAGGAACTGTTAAAAAGTTGCTGCTGCTGTAAATGAGCTGAACTGCATCTGTACTGAGAAACATTTGCATGTGTTCAAAATACAGAGTGATTCAAAAAGATTCATCTGATTTCAAACTGATTTACTTCACTTGTAAATCGTTACAGAACAATGCAGTAAACTGTACATGGTTTAAATGAGCATAAAGTTTATGATTTAATTTTACAAGTGCTCAATATGAACCCACTCCAGCTGTACAGACAACATCAACACCATAGTCAAACTCATCCCATACTGGATTGAGCATGTCGGGTGTCGCTGCACTCACGGCTCTTTCATTGCGATTTCGGAGATCATCCAGTGTTGTGGAACCAGCGACGAACGCTCTGAGCTGTTGTAGGTTCACTGCCCACGAAAATCACACTGCACAGTTATGATGGATTCTCTCTCATTGAAGCGCTTTCTGCTCAGGGGTCTCCATCTCCTCGCAGACTGAAGGGAGTCATCTTCCACTGACAGTCAGAAACTCTATGACCCTCTTTCAATTGGTATGTGATTGGTTCCTCGGCGCCTCACGGCTATAAAAATATGGCGCTTTGAAATCGGACTAATCTTTTTGAATCACCCTGTACTGTAAACTAAAATGTTTCAAGAAGGATTAAAAGTCTGAACCAGCAGCAAATCCAGACTGGAACTCTTTCCGGGGACATTCAGCAGGAACAGAAAACCTGAGCTAAGGTAGGGCTCGCTTCCGATATGAACTTCGATTAAAAATTATATGTTTTTTCTGGCTTTGCTAACATTCCAGGGATGAAGAACAAAAAGACTTACAGAAACTGCAAGAGACAAATAAAGCAGCCTTCTGCTATAACAAACCAAAGACTTCACACCAATCAAGCATCTAGTCTTAAAAAACAGCTTAAACATTTATTTAGCAATTAATATTTATTCATTATGTATTTATTAGCATTTGCTGTCTTTTTTATTGTCTATGTTTCTATAATGACATACTTAACTCTATATATTTTTCAGGCTTTGCTCTTGTTCTTTTTCCTATAATTTTATGATGATATTCTTTAACTGTATGTTCTTTTGTGCCACATACTGTCTTATTTGTACTGTTTTAGTGTTTTGCAAACTGCTTTATAAACTGATAAGAACTTTGAGCAGCATGTTTATGTATGAAAGCTATGCTATTATTATTATTATTACTATTATTAAGAAGGTTGTGGATACAATTAATATACTCTAAAATGCAAAACACACTGAAATATTATTCATATTTGAAATATACTAAAATATTTGCAAGATGTATTCTATTCTACAATCCTCATATGTGAAACATGCAAATTGTATCAAACACTGTTAATACAGCACACTGGATCAATGATACCCTCAGCTTCTCCTGCTCCAGGACGCCAATGTTCCTCTGAAGGTGGCCACTCGTCTCAGTCTGAGTGAGCAGCTCCTTCTTGGTGTTTTCGAGGAGTCCCTGGACCCTCTGCAGTTCCTCATCCAGCTGCCTGCACTGTGACTGAGCTTGCTGCAGCAGAGGCTCCTTTGACTGTGTTCAGAAACCACACAAATGAACTGATGCTTCATTGAAGGACATGCATTTTCATTTCACATGCACTTGTGATCTGTTGCCATGTGCCAAAATGAAATGTTAAGAGGGTGTTCACCTGTGAGAGGACCTTGGCCCGGTCAGCCTGAGCCTGCAGAGCCATGTGCTGCTGTCTGGCTTGCTCACACTGCTTATGGAGAGCAGACTTTAACTGGCCCAGTTCAGCGTTCAGAGACGCCAGCTAAGATCAACAGACGGAGCCAGTGAATTAATCTACAGACAAACTCTGCCACAGCTTATTATCAGCTTGTTACTTCAAATCCAGGTGCTTCCACACTCCCATCCTTTCGCTGAGCATTGACAACACCTACGTAAAGGGCTTAAAGGGAAATAGAAGAGTCTGATGTATGTAAACAGTTCCATGTCAGAAACTTCCTACTTTCAGTTCACTGTTTTTGTGATGTCATGAAAACCAATACACTGACATCCACTTAGTCAGCCTACAGCACTTTAGCCCTGCCCGTTCACACTGAGGTTATAAGCAGTGTTTCAGCCCAGACTGCTTTTTGAATGAGACACAATAGAGTACAACCAACCACAACAGAGATCATTTACATGTACAAGTCTTAAAGGCACAACAACAAACGGACAGAAATAGACAAATTGGAATAGAAATCTGCCAAAATTCTGCCAATTAGGCTACGTTTACACAGCAGGTCAAAGTGGCCCAAATCCAATATTTTTCTTCATATGTGACACAGATGTGTGTCTGTGTGTCAGTGTGAATGGCAAAAAACACACTGAATCTGACATTTTCAATCCCGATTTGAGACGCTTTCATGTATGGTACTCAAATCCGATCCATATCCGATCTGTGGCAACGTAACTCAGTCTAAACAGCCAGATTGGAATTCATGCCACTTTTATGTCAATCTAACTCGTCATTCGTCATCATTTCACGCTGCTGACATAAACATTAGACTGATGTTTCCGTACCAAAAAATTTAACGGGACTTATCGCAACCGCTCTGCGTTCAAAGAGGTTTCGAGAGAAATGGCCGAACGCTGCTGGAGAGCGAGGCTGCAGCATGAAAGAACAGTTAAAAGTCTGAAAGCAAAGTTTTAAGAATTCGAGGACGCGAACCAAAGAAGTGACCGTGGCTGAATAACTTTTTTTTTTTTTACAGCAAGCTTGAACACATTCTGGGTGATGAGCCCAGCTGTCAGCAAACAGAACTTCATACTGTGATGCTGGCGAAGATAAAACAAACTGTTCGTTCATAGTCATGATTGTTTACCTCTGGATGAGCTGCTTGAAGCAGCGTGACGCAATGTTCTTTTGCGCATGCGGGTCAGTTCAGGAGCTGATCTGTTCAAACTGATGTCGCATACAGATCACATTTAAAAGATATTGTGAACAGCCAAACAAAAAAAAATAAAATTTGGTGAGAAAATCAGTTTTAGGCCACTTTTACCTGCTGTGTAAACGTAGCCTTAGAGTGTAAAGAAACTGTAATCAGCCACAATATTCAAAATTCTAGGTCTGTCACAATAATTACATAATCGCAATTATTTAAGCTGACCGCAATTACTTTCCACACTTGTAAGCTTTTACAGTCTTAAGTTTACAATACAGCAAACAGAATTTAAGGCTTCTAAGAAAACAAGTTCTAACTTGTGCCTGGAGCGATCATGACAGGCCTGCTGAGCATGATTTAAGGCAAGCGTGTGATGATTTAGGTGTGCAGTTTGGACGGTGCTAATTCTGTTCCGTTACTTGTTAAGCCACTTCAGCCTCATGTCTGCAGTGAAAATTTCAGACAACAAACATCTCTTGGCTGATGGACCATTTGGTGTAAGGGACAAACTTTATACATTTAATTTTCACTAAACTATTTTTTTGATCCTCACCTTCTCCTGAAGCTGCTGGACTCTGGTCTTGTGCTCTTCCTCCTTCTGTTCACACAAAGCTCGGAGTTCCACATTCAGCTGTTCTGCCGCCACCCGCCTCTTACTGTGGTCATTACACTCCTCCACTGTCTTCTTCTGCAGCATCCTTTCCTCCTCAAGCTCAGTCTGGAGCTTCAAAACAGCCTGTTTTTGATCCTCCAGCTCTGTACAGCATCTGCAAAATCAGCCCCACACCAGCTGTTAGTATCTACCTACCACTTGATAATTAGCCAGAAGAAAGTGTCTCATAGTTACAGCTGCATGCAAAAGTTTGAGATGACTTTCTGTTGATTTTCTAGGTTAAAGTAATTTAATGCTTCCTCTACAGAGTGGCTTTTTCTGCATAGTGCATAATTTCTATTTATTGGCACCTAAAACATTTTTCAGCAATGTTTATTTATTATGTATTTATTAGCATTTACTATCTATTTCTATAATGACATACATACACACATCATCTAAACCGCTTATCCTTCTGGGTCACGGTGGGGTGCTGGAGCCTATCCCAGCTGTCATTGGGCAGAAGGCAGGATACACCCTGGACAGGTTGCCAGTCCATCTCAGGGCAGACAGACATACACATTCACACCTAGGGGCAATTTAGCATCTCCAATTAGCTTAACTTCATGTTTTGGACTGTGGGAGGAAACCGGAGTACCCAGAGGAAACCCACGCAGACACGGGGAGAACATACAAACTCCACACAGAAACGACCCTGGTCACCCGGCCGGGAATCGAACCCAGGCCATTCTCGCTGTGAGGCAACAGCGCTACCCACTGTGCCACCGTGCTGCCCTATAATGATATACTTAACTCTATATATTTTTATTTGACGAACTGTTTTGCTTTTATTCTTTTTTTCTACTGTAAGGCTTTGCTGTTGTTTTCTTTCTCCTTTAATTTTATGATGGTATTCTTTAAATGTATGTTCTTTTTCCCACACACTGTCTTATTTATACTGTTTGTGTTTTGCAACTGTTTCACAAACACTGTGAAGAACTACTGAGCTGCATAATATGTATGAAAGCTACACCATATTATTATAATTATTAAAAAGGTTGTAATTACAATTAATATATTTTAAAAATCTTAAATACACTGAAATATTATTAATATTTGGAATATACTAAAACAAATTAGTTTACTAAAACAAAAAAAAATGTGCAAGACATATTCTATTGTACATTCCTCAAATGTGAAACATGCATTTTGCATCAATAAACACTGTTAATACAGCACATTGGGTCAATGATACCCACAGCTTCTCCTGCTCCAGGACAAAAGTTTTTCTAGTTTTTCTAAGTGAAAATAAGTTAATGCTTCCTCTACAGAGTGGCATTTTTCTGCAACTGCAAATTTTAGTGCATAATTTCTATTTATTTGCTGATTTTAATATATTGGAAAACACAGAAATACAAAATTTGCCATAACTCTTGCACAGGCTAGATTTTATGTTTTCTTTTTTCCCCCTAATGTGTTAAATTCAGCAAATAAACAGTTATTGTGCATTAAATCTGCAGAGGTTGTGCAGAAGTGTGTTCTCTGTAGAGGAACTTATTTTCATACAGAAAATCAATAAAGCATGTAATCTGAATCAGGGGTGCACAAACTTACATACAACTATATTAGGACTGTCAATCTTGGACTGATTTAATGTGACTCTGATTCTTTGATTCTTTGAGGAACGATTAATGCATCATGAAATCTCAAACTGAACTATGATTCAATTGGAATATTTTGATACGATTCTCCAACTATTTTTAGAAACATACTGAACAAATTTGTGCACAAATGTGCATGGAGGCTCCACCTACACAGTAGTGGAATACGAGTAACAGACAACAATAACAACAAACCATCCTTTTTGGGGGAGTTTTGAAAATAACTCAAAATTATTTTTATTTTAGCCAAAAACTGAGCACATTCATCACTGAATGCTAAACTAAACTGGAACTAACGATTTCTTACATAATCAGTTAATCTATTATTTTCTCGACTAATCTAACAATTCTGTTCCTGTTTCAGATAGAAATAAGATTGATTTTGGAAATTCACCATCTGAATTAGTATTTGCTTTTATTTACATTAAATGTATTCATCGGTTAAAGTTGTTGCTGAATCAAAACCCTGATTGAAATGAAGAAAAAGAATCTTTCATTATTAACTAGAGTCTATATATGTTTATCATTTATCATTTACTGGCTACTTTTATTTCTCAAATTATCATCTGTCCTGTTTTTTTTTTTCTAAAACACATTTACTTATTTATCTATTTCCAATTTGGTCACTATTTATATGATTCTGAGTGGGGCATGTCTGCCTAGGCAACATCTGATATCACTACATAAAGGTCTCTGCATTAAATATTCCTGTGTTTATGACTGGCATGACCAACACTTTACGCTTTATGACTGTAGGTTTCATAGATTTTAACCGTTAATGCATGCAACTTCATCATCTCCAGAGCAACGCTAGAACAGATTTGACATCGTTCTGTCTCCCCGGAACGACTGGATGCCGTTAGAGGATGTTTAGATGATGTCTTTTTCAACTCTACTGAGAGCTTCTTTTCACTGCCATCTATGAGGGGAGCAGTGTTCTTTCTTGGAGGCTATACTGCTGGTGATAAACGGTGAGGTGCTCAATATAGTTATTAAACAAAAGATGAATGTGTTTGAAATACAATCTAGTGGAAAGTTTAACAGTTATACATCCATTGGAGAGTTAAGTCCATGGGAGAAGGCAAAACAATGGAAACTTCAGATGAAAATAGGGACTGGTTTTTCCATTACTTTGGCTACAGCTGTGGTCTTTTAACATTATTTTTAGCCTTTACAGCACTGTATTTCCTCAGAAATGCACATTTAGTTTGTTAGTGTAATATGAATATGAATGCTGATGATGAACTGTTTTGTACTGTTTATGAGATGCTATTAAAGAGATGCAAAACATTTCTGAGTTTTGCAGTATAAACCCTTATTACTTTGCTATGTCATTGTTATGACATGACCTCTTGATGTGGATTTATGTCCAGGCTGTCTACTATTTTTCAAACCAGGGTGACAAAATGCAATTCTCGCAGAGTGTCTTACGAGCTGAAGGCTGCACTGAAAAGGGTGTACATCATAGTGTACATCAACCCCTTAAATTCAGTAACTACGGGGACTTCAATGCAAACTGGTTCAGTTATTCTTCAGTTTTAGAAGTGTTTAATAAAACTTTGGGCCTGCTGGTGGGCCCTGGCCATTTAAGGGGTTGAGCTAGTTCAGAATAGTTCACCCACTAAAAATATTCATTTAACTTGGGTCCTGTGGTCAGAAACTGACTAATGATGAAGAGCTGGAGAATAAAATACAAGAATTTATAGAATTTATATCAGCATTTAGAACATGCTGAAAAGACATGTACTGCATATACATCATAGCATACTTATTCATATTTTTAGACACTAATGCATGTCATATTTGAGTCTGTGTGCAATGTTGTCCAGTAAAAATTGTATTGTTTTTATTTGTTAAGGTCTTCAAAAAAATTAAAAAGCACTGTATTTGTTTTTCAGCTCTGTTATTGCAACTGGCCAAAGTGTTAAATATGCACAGTGCAGGAAAATTCAGTTAGAGGTGGAACCTTTTATGGACGTCCTTTTCTTTCCTCTTCTTGCTTTTGGACAGAGAGCCAGTGCTGGCCACACGACTCTAACAAAATGAAACAGCATTAATAAATGTCATCAAACAGGACATTAATAGCCAAAGTTTACATGGCTATGAGGACAGTCGTAGGCATTTTTTACCTTTGTTAGTTTCTGGAAGAAAGCCTGGACATCTTCATCATCCTCACTGTCCAAGTCCTCAATTTTGAAGTCAATCTGATGATTCAAAGATAGTCAAACACTTTCTGTTGTGATGAATGTTAGAATACTGGTAGTATATTATATTTATTATATGACAATTTAGAAATCATAGGATTTGTTTTCATGTAACTTTTCCCTGTATAAACTCTATTCTATTAATCCCATACATTTTTCAGTAATATAGCTTCATACCAGCTCAAGGAGTTGGAAGCGTTCTGTTTGCATTCTGTGCACACTGTCCCTCAGCTGACGGACCTCCGCGTCCAGCGCCTCATTCATCTCTTTAGCCCTGCGAAGCTCAGCCACATCTGAAACAGGACATTTTGCACATTCTCAGAAATCAAAAACATCTGATGCTCATTATTTGCTACTTTGTGATGTTTCCTTTAAAGGAAGGTTGTACATTTCAGACCCGCTGTAATAATTTTCTAAAAATAACCTGAACAAAAATACAGTATCTGACAGTAACATGCTTATTAAAGGGGAATTCTACCATTTTTTAAATCTTCTATATAATTCAATTGTTGAGCTGTAAACAAAGTCACTCAGGTTTGATGTGAAGTGGCTCACTGTGGAGAAACATACCGTCTCAGATTTCTTTTACAGAGGTGGTGATAAGAACCAGGAGTTGAAATGTTAAAAAATAAAGAATATGTTATCTGTATGTCAGATTTGAGCTTCAAATGTCTGTTTTAATCTATGCTCTTAAAAATGATGGTTCTTCAAGGGTTATTTAGTAAAGGGTTTTATATAGAACCCTTTAATCATGCAAGGGGTTCTTTGAGAGTTCATGGTTCTATACAGAACCATTTTCTTTACTAAAGAACCCTTGAAGAACCATCATTTTAAGTGTGAGACAGCTGCTGTAAAATGTGGCTATAATCTACTGTTCACTTGATGCTAATATAACATTGAAATCCCCATTATCGGGTTAGCAGTAATTAAAAAGTTACTGAGAAAAGGAAATAAACAACAAAGCAGAAACATCCCTGAATGTGTTTTGGATTATCTGGATTGTGAGAAACAGAAAATGTAACCAGTGTCTAAGACTGAACTTTGGATGTGTGGAAAAATATCCCTGCAAATGTCTGTGAAGCTGAAAGCAAAGCTCTGAAAAGAACTAAAACTATAATAAAGGCAAAGCGTGGACACAATAAATGCTGAAAAAGATGTTTATATTTAGCGATTGAGGCTCCGGTGCAAATTTCTGTTAAATGTATGTTGTCAGCTTTTTTTTCTGTTGCTGAAAAATGAATAACTTGTACTGACCTGAAATGAAGTTAATGAAGGGTTGTTTATGACACTGCATCTTATTAAAGTCATTAACATACAACAAAAGCAACAGTGAACAACTAATTAACAGGGGTCCAAGCACTGAATTTTTTATTAAACCAAACCAAGTGTGCTGATTTAGGAGTTTGCAAAAAATGATAAACTGCTCAAAGTACTGTTTTTGAGAAAGAAAGGCTTTTCTCATTGAACAGAATAGAATATGATTGAATATCCTGTGGACTATTTTGGAAAAAAAACCCACTTTGGTTAAACTGGCTGTAAAATATTTTCTGAAACTTAATAAAACACTGCTTGCTTTCATACTTTTGGCCTGTAGCATTTATAAAGAAAAGAAACATATGGGAGTATATTACCACAGCGTTTGAGCTTCTCCACCTCCTGCCTGAGTTGCTCCACTTCTAGCTGAGCTTCCTGCAGCTCTGGCTCTGAGAGGAAAACACACTTTTAAAGAGACATTCCTGCATTAGGCACAAACAGAAGTGGGTCAGTTGGTCCTGAATAGCTGGTGTCCTGTTGGTAATTTCTTTGGTAATTTCTCTTTCCCACAAACACCTAATTCACCTCATCAGTGAGTAACTAGAAGAAAAGTCGCCTGTTATTCAGTTCAGCGCTCCAGGACCAGAACTGGACACCCCTACACTAGTCCGACTCTCAGGCTCTCACCGTAGGCCCTCTGAGTGAGGCGAGCTGACTCCAGCTCATCCGTGAGCCGGCGGATCTCCCTGTGGGCCATGTCCAGCCTGCTGGAGGCCTCGTCCAGATCCCTCTCCAACAACCAGCGCTCGCGCTCTTTTAATGCATTCTCCCCACTGCCACTGCCCTCATTAACCACCTAACACAAAGAGCATATTGAGAGTCATTTCGTTTTGGACAATGCTAAGGCTGTCCGAATACCATTAAGAAGTTTCCTTCTTCTTCATGTCTTCTCAAGCTGATATGTAAGCTATGTCTGGTGTCATATTACTCAAGCCTAAGGGCTAGAATTGAGACTCAAAGTGATGCTTCAGCCAAAAATCAAATTTATTTTAAAGAATAAATCAAATTTACCAAATTTTCCCCGCCCCCCAAGTGTAGTCAATCAGCTAACACATGTTTGGTGTCCAGAGTTTTTTTTTAGCCTTGGTACTGGAGCTACGATGCTAAGCAAGAGAAACTTACAGTATAAAGTGACATATATATATATATATATATATATATATATATATATATATATATATATATATATATATATATATGACCGTTGTCAGAATCTCCATTTTTGAAGTTTTTCAGTTTTTGACATAATTTGAAAATACCCACTGCCCTTTGCATTGTATGTAAATTTCATGATGAATGGACCAAAAGAATTCTGGTTCCCTTGATTTAGATTATATATATATATATATATATATATATATATATATATATATATATATATATATATATATATATATATATGCAAAATGACTCATTTTTGGCTAAGTAACCTCAAATAGACTTGCTTATGTGGTGTCAGACACCGGTAAATAATAAAGTACAGTACAGTATTGTGGAGGCTGACACTGCATTTGTCCATTTTACAGATAACAGTATCAAACAGTGTCAGAAACCACACAAGCAAGTCTTTTTAAAATTACATAGTGCAGTTTGTCACAAATGTGTGATGGTTCAGGCAAACTGCTAACTGTTCGGACATATACGCTTCCATTACTTATTAGCTACATTAGCCACATCTAAAAGGGATAGAAGTTCAGACACTAAACATATCTTGGATGACCAAATACATTTGGGGTAAGAGGAAAATGTCATTCATTTTGGCTGAACAATGGCTTTAATAAAGAGAGAAAATGCAGGACAGGTCGACTGAATTTAAGTGCATGCAATGCGTTTTATGGTTTGCTGTGATTTTAAATAAAGCAAGACTGGCAAATAACAGATTCCTCCTCTGTGAAATGCATCATCAAAAGCCTCATTAAAAACTGACTTACAGGAGTAAATATCTGCCTGGTTTGTGCAGCCTTCCTGATCCCTAAGAGCCTCTTCCAAGGGCTCTGTCCTCGCAGCGACTCCACCTGAGGGAACAACTTTTATGAGTTCAAGGAGCCAAACTGTGTTTTAAAGCAAAGGTTTGGCTAAAAATCTCATTTACATAATTTTCCCCCTTTACTTCAAATGTAGTCGATCAGTCAAGACGTTTGGTGCATTTTTTTTGTTTATTTTTTAGTTTTGCACTGGAGCTAAGAGGCTAATGTAGCTAATGCAGTCCGCACAAAGCATGTCTGGTGCTTCTATTACTAATTAAGCTTCTATTTCTTGTTAGCTACATTAGCCTCGTAGCTCCAGCGCAAAACTAAAGAAGCAAAATTCAGACACCAAACGTGTCTCGACTGACTGACTGACTAGAATGGGAAACTGGGTAATTGTGATTTTCTTGCAAACCATTAATTTAATGTCACCGAGTTCTAAAACGCAAAACCCATTAAATGAAGCACAGCAGGTCGATAAACAAAGCCATCCTTGCTTGATCCTCTTACTTTGTCTGGGTTCTCCTCAGAACTCTGTGGTGAGGTGTTTTGAGCACACTTTTGCAGGGCATTGGTGTCCACAGCCTCTTGACGTTTCTCCAGGAGAGAAGCTCTCTCTGCCAGTAGGTAAGCCACCTGCTCGCTGAGGCTGCTGGGAATGACCTCGGCCAGGCCCTCCTGCAGCAACATCTCCGCTATCTCGCTCTTCTGAGCTTCTGCATACACACAGAAAGAGCTAATGAGAAGATGAAGTCAGGAATTTTTACATTTTTATAACATTTCTGGTTTAGATGACTTGTCAAAAGTTTGGGGAACTGGGCAGAATGCTTTCTTTGTTGGTTTGCAATAACATATTAAACAGAAAGCTGTCTAGATCTTTACCTCCTCAATGAATCTGCAATAATTAACTGATGAAAATGCTTATTTTACATTCTCCAACTGATCTCTCTTAACGTAAGAAAGAGCCTGACGCACACATCCACTTTTACACATTTAAAACACTATGGGCTAGTTTCCTGGACAAGAGTTAAACCGGGTCATGGACTACCGTTTCTTTTCAATGGAAATTCACCATTCAAAAATTCTGCGTAGTCCAGCACTGGGTTTAATCCCTGTCTGGGAACCAGCACAGACTGTTTTATTGTTTTTAATGAAGTCTTTTTAAATGTTTAGAGTATTTCAGTGTTTTGGAATCTCTGAAAGGCTATACATGTTTATTTTTGTACAGTTAATCCACTTTTATTATTTGGTCCCATGAAAAACAAAACAATTGTTAGATTCCTTGATTATTAATACAATAACTTGATTAATAATATAATAATACAGGGAGATTCACTCAAAAGAGGTCCCTGAACGTATTGGCAAGCACTAGAGAGATTAAACGTCATGACGGCTGTCTGGTGCCTACTTCAGCGCTTCGACACAGGGGCATCACGGCTTGTTCGAAGCTCCATATACTGAGGAGCACTTTGCATATTGTTTGGTTCAGATTGCTTCATCCTAGCGAGAGTTATTACAGAATATCCGGGGCCTCTTTGGAGTGAATCACCCTGTATAACAGCCTAATATATATATTTTTTTCACAAATGAAAATGAAACATATTCAGAAAGTTTAAAAACAAGACAACGTGTGCCCACACTTTGGATAAGCAATGTAAAATATACGGGAGGTGAACCTTGCTGGAGAGTGATGTCATCAAGTTTGGTGCGGAGCATTTCATTATCCTGCTCCAGCTCTAGAGCCATTGAGTCCCGTGTTTTTGAGAGACTCCGGATGTTCTCCACGTACTGCTGAACCTGTAAGGGAACACACACACACACACATTCACTCATACACACAATCCTGGTAACCTAACCCATTTGGACAGAAATTCTAGAAATTTTAGGTAAATGGGCTGGTTGTATTACCCCACTATCGCCTAGACTGTGTTTGTTGGGGGATACGACTGAATCACCAAACGTCTCAGGTAACAAGTTCTCTCTCATCATAGTAGGCATTATCACAGCTGCTAGAATAATCCTAAGACATTGGAAGAGTATAAATGTGCTTAAGTCAAAAGACCGGATGACATTAATGACAAACAGCAGCATATGAGTGCATGTTAGCCATGTAAGTCATTCGGGTGGCGGGGAGGAAATTTCTGACACTTGAAACTATACAGCTTATCAGCTAAAGCAGGGATGGAAAAGTACAGCGGCTTTTATCTGTAACTCTCAATGATACAATCCCACATCATTCTTGTTTGTTGTGACTTCAGAAGGATGTGAACTGAGGAGCTGTACATTTTTTTCTCCCCTTCTTTTTTTGTTAGCTTGAAAAGACAGAAAAATAATAAATATTTGAATTACAAAAAAAAAAAGAATTTTGTTATTTGTTATTCATATGTCTCTAACAGAGTGATATTAATTACATTTAAAACATCAATTTCCCCTTTTTTACCACTTTTTTTTGGATTAACTACCCCAACACTGTACATTAATAGAAGTTATCAAATAATTTAGTGTGTAATAAAACTTTAGGTCTGCCAACGAGCCCTGAGCATTTAAAGGGTTAAAGAATAGGGTAAATACACTTCCAGGACAGAATGTCTTTGGTCAACTACAGAGTTCTCATAAAAACTGTCTGTGCTGAATAAAGTGAACTATTTTTCCACTTTATGGTAAATTGGAGGTTGTGGAAACTGGCCTTTGACCAGTGTTTCATCATATCATGCAACAGTCCCTAAGTTCCTAATACTGATCTTACCCCTACCCTGCATATTTCCATTTTTTTCCCTACTCGAAAGCACTCACTCCAGCACAGTAAAGGCTTAATAATTAGCTAACTAGATGGATAAAATGCATTGCTCCTGGACCAGGACTGGGGACCACTGATATAATGGGTAAAGTTAAGATTTGCTGGGGAGCATCACTCACAGTCTTGATCTCTGCAGCACGTTCGGCCCGTAGCTCCTGTATCTCCTGAGTGAGAGTCCTTACAGTGTTTTCTTTTTCCTGATAGAGTCGCCACAGCACGGCCAGGCGGTCAAAACTGGAAGCTTCCGCACCTAAACCTTCCCGCTGCAGGCACTGCTGCATCTCAGCCAACATCACCGCCACCTGGAGAAGTTCACCTGAAGATTAATTCACTATTTCTTTCCTCTAATGGCTAAAAGTGGTTTTAAATAATGGTCTTTGCTTTAAGCAGTGTTAAAGCAGGCTAACACACATAGTATTTCCAAAGCATCCAAAACCCCTTCTAATGAATGATTTGGGATATTTAGAAGCAGTGGAACTGTGTTCTCTGGAATAATGGTGCACCATCCAATACCTTCGGGAGGAGTTAGAATACCTGACCTCACTAATAATATTGTGGCTCAATGCAATCAAATCCTCGCAGCAACGTTCTAACATCTAGTGTAAAGTATTCCCAGAAGAGAGGAGGCTGTTACTGCTGCCAATGTGGATAAACTCCCTATCAACACTCTTGTTTTTAAAATAAATAAAAATTTTAAAAGTAAAAAAAAAAGATTTTGATATGAGGAAATTCTACTTAACAAAACTCTTTAATGTTCATAAGGGTGCCAAAAGGGTGCCTTCTTTACAAAAGGGTATTTCAGGCTCCTGAAAGGCCATTTAGGGGTTTGTGGAGGCCCCCTGGGGTTCTTATGTGCTCCTAAAGACCCCCTGAAGGGCTCGTCCAGAAGTGCTAAAGGCTTCTTAAGGTTTGTTTTAGAGTTTCAGTCACTCTTTCCATTAAAAACATCTTAAAAATATCTTAAAAAAGGGCCAACAACAGCTACGCTATCCAAACATCCACTGAGGTCCTTATAAAGTCTCACCTACTGGCAGCAACAGATATTGAGTGGTTCTTTATCTTTATTTGATAACGTACAGTGGAAAAAAGTACGGAAAATCCCGAATAATTTAAGGTATTTCACAGAATGTATCCAGTGAAATGTTTTGGGAATGTTTAATTTAAATATAGAAACTATAAGATGTCTGTATGTTTGTGGATTAGAGAAAGAAATGATTGTTCATTTGTTTTATCACTGCATTTACAGAAAAAAACGTTTTGGATAGATATATAAAACTTTTCTGGGAAAAAGCTGGAAGTATCATATGGATTGATGTATTTGATGTTTTATTTTGTTTCAGATGGGATGAAAACTGTATACCACACAATTGTTTCTCATATTAGGCAAGTTTCATATTCTCACACATATGGTCTCTCTCCAAACCTAATTTCATGCACTTTTTTGGAAGATTTCAAGTGTCATTTTCATATAATATTAAATAAAAGGAAACACTAAGGACAATCAATGCAATCAAAGAATTTAATGTAACGTGTTTGTTTTGTTTTTTCTTATATGTACATGTCTGTGTGGAAATGGATGTATGTATATTTTTGTTTTTTAACTTCTACCTCTTGTTACTTTCTGGTGGTATAATAATAGTGGATGAGGACCCAAGTGAGAGGGACAAGGCAGAAAAGCCTCCACACTTTCTGCCAAGTTAGCTCTCTCTTGTTTCTCCAACGCCTCCTCTAACCTCACTCTTTCCTCCAAAGTCTACTCTCACCTCACTCTTTTTCTCCAAAGTCTACTCTCACCTCACTCTTTTTCTCCAAAGTCTACTCAGAACCCACTCTTTCCTCAGAAAGTCTACTCTCACCTCACTCTTTTTCTCCAAAGTCTACTCAGAACCCACTCTTTCCTCCAAAGTCTACTCTGAACCCACTCTTTCCTCCAGAGTCTACTCACCTCACTCTTTCCTCCAAAGTCTACTCTAACCTCACTCTTTCCTCCAAAGTCTACTCACCTCACTCTTTTTCTCCAAAGTCTACTCTGAACCCACTCTTTCCTCCAGAGTCTACTCTCACCTCACTCTTTCCTCAGAAAGTCTACTCTAACCTCACTCTTTCCTCAGAAAGTCTACTCTCACCTCACTCTTTTTTCCATTGTCTGCTCAAACCGCACTCTTTCCACGAGTTTGTATTTTGCTTGTTTCGAATTTTCCGTTCCACCTTAAATGGAGCAGCAGTTAAAATCTTTACAGACGCCAGAACGTAACCGCCGCACCATTTAAGGTGGAACGGAAAATTCGAAGAAAAAGCTGACGAACAAGCAGCCAACTTAAGCTCTTTTCTCAACGCATCTCGACCAAAAACTGCAGAGCGACTGTTAAGCAAACAGGACTGGAGTTTAGCTTGACTTATTAGCATTTATCATAGCAGCCGATTTGGTCATGTTTAAGTGTCAGTGTTAAAGTAAGACGTTTAGTTACCTCTCCTTGTTCCATTTTCACTCTGCAGTCAGACCCGTTTAACCCAGCACGGTACCGTTCTTCCAAACTTGCTCCATGCTGGTAGTTTTGTACTACATTACTGCTCCGTTGCGGTTCTAGCTAACAGCACCGTCAGGCTAAACCGCGTCTGGACTCGGTGAGGAAAGTAAGGCAGTCAGGCCACTCTGTGTGTGTTTGCCATCATCTCTCCGCACTGCAGCTGTGATGGGCCGCCCTACTCTCCAAATAAGGGGCAGGGAAAAGGCCCAGCTGCTGTGGTGTGGGAGAGAGAGATGGGCTGACTGAGCGAGAAAAGAAATAGTAAATACTACAGGAATTTCCACAGAATTCCTAAAATAATCTGATACACTATCAGAAAAAAGGTAGTAAACTGTCACTGGGGTGGGCTCCCTCAAGGGTCCATCTCAGTACCTTTAGTCAGGGAACATAACTGCACCATAATCCACTGAAACTATATGTTCTAAGCTGTACTGACTCCACACCCCCCGTCTTCATTTTACTGTTCTGTTTTAAAACATTCGGTTATGAAAAGGTACAAAGATGTTTAGAGCCCTGCTGGTGAAATCCTGTATAAATATAAATAATGTGTGGCCACGACTTAGTAAGCTGTAGGGACGAGATACAAGGCATGGTCTCATTTCCACGTCTTACCGAGTCGTGCCCACGACATAATTATCTCATTCCCAAGTCTTTTTAAGTCATAGCCATGCTGTATTAATGCATAGGAACGACATCCTAACGTGTGGCCATGACCTAATTACGTATTATTATTAGGAATGAGATAATTAAGTCATGGTCACAACTTAGTAAGGCATGGGAAAGAGATCCAAATGCATGGCTACGACTTAGGGTGTAGGAATGCGATAATTAAGCCTTGACCACAGCTCGTATTAAGTCGTGGCGACACTGTATTAACACAAAGGAACGGCATCCTAATGCGTGGCCACAACTTAGTTACACATTATGTTTATTTATTTGGGACGTCACCAGCAGGGCTCCCTAAATATGTGCTTTTCAACTGGAAAAACCTATTTAAGGTTCACGGTTGGACTTTGAAACCACTGTTGTACCTTTGAGGGAACATTTACACTGTTTGTAACTTGATGAACAAAACATGTACCTCATCACCCTTATTTCTAACAGTGTACTAAATCTGGACAATTACTGCAGAATGCTACACAAAAGTTAGGAGAGAAGGGGTTGGTTGGCACAGACATGCATTCCAGGCATTCCATACAGTAGAATAAACCCAACTAATAAGAGCTGAACATCAGCTAAAACAACAGACACTTCCATTATATGAATACATTTCTTGGAATAATTGCATTCATGACTGTATTGATGTTGTGCCCTTGTGCCCACCAGTCCCATCATGGCATATCGCCACTGTCCAAAGAAAACCATGTATCTCCATTTTTTGTCGATTTTTATTTTTCTACATCATTTCAACACACCAGTTGTCCTTTACATCAGGTGAAAATTTCATGATGAATGGACCAATAGAAATGCTCCAAAATCACTTGAAATAAAATCTCTTAACATTGACTTATGTTGAAAGGTAAGGGAGTTTAAGCACTAAATAGAAAAAAATCAGCTTTTAATTTAGACCAAACCACAAATCATCAACCGAACCTTCAGAATGTTTCATTTCTTTTATCGCTGGCTTGTACTGAACTGCGGTGGATAAAGTACACCTCCCGTACTGGAGTGAGAGGTGAGACACCCTTTGTGACATATTATATGCAAAACAGGAGGTCCTCTGATAATATTTCACATAAATATTCAATGCATAAATAGTCTGGGATAAGAAGTATGTAATTTTTTTTCTATCTTGAGACGCTTATCATCAACTGGCCTAAAGCTTAGAGCACTTCTAATGGGAATTGACCACTGAATGCATCTGGAGTCCCAGAACACCTGTTAACCCATTAGGATCCTTTACATTGTGATATCAACCCATCTGAAAAAACCAAAACGCAACCACCAGGAACCAACAGCAACACTTACCAGTTTCTGTGTTTTTATAACAAAAAAAGAGCTAATTGCTATTTCAACTAACTAAAATGAATGTTTTCAATATCTTACTTTAAACTTTCTATAATGTATTTACTTTCTTTATTTTTTGACCTAACAGGGCCAAAACACTTTAATCAACGTCAGTATTTCATTATGTGTAAGTGCCAAATTTAGCCAGACGGCTAATTTTTCATCTGCTCATCTACTCAGTGAGACATTTTTTAACCCTTGTGTGGTGTTGATGTGTTTGTTACTCAGTGGTCTGGTGGACCCACTGCATTATTTTTTTTTTAGTCAATGCAGCCATAACAGTTTATGTAAAAATACCAGATGTTTAAAATATCACCAGTGTCCAGCGTAGGATTCTCCTTTAGCAGCTGTAGCCAGTCAGCAGCCTGTCCACGTTGTCCACCATTACACACTAACAGCAGGCCATGTAGGAGAACAGAGTGAAGGACACAGCACCTCCACACTTTTACTCCCCGCAGGTTCACCCAACACCACATGTGTAATATAAATGTGTGGGGGGTGAACAGAGTGAAGTCACTGAAAATGGGTTATTTTATATGTTCTTCACAGAAAATGAGCAAAGAACAAGAATCTGAGGTCGAAATAATAATAAATCACATCACTTTTTTTTTTTTGGTAAAACACTGAAAATGGGTCCTGCAGACCCCAACACCACACAAGGGTTAAACAGAGAAAAACAAAATGTTACCCCTTCATTACAGATAGTAACATTCAGAGCTCCTGAGAAAAGTGATGAATGTTGGTTAAAGAGCAATCAGTTTTATATTAATATTTTTGTGAGTTCCCCTTAGTGACCTGTCTGACCACTGACCACTGTGCCAACCAACCCCGTTCTCCCCTTACAGATTATTATACATTATATGAATAGAAACATATTGTATAATATATTATTTGAATATAAAAATATTGTTGATTATTATAGAAGCAAAACAACACTATAGAAATCCTATAGAAAATGTTGTACATTCTTAAAATAGATGGTTCTTCAAGGGGTCTTTAGTAAAGACAATGGCTCTATATAGAACCATGAACACTCAAATGATCCTTTGCATGATTAAAGGTTTCTTTGCATCATGAAAGAGTTCTTCGGATTGATGGAGAATGTACTGTAGATGGTTCTATATAGAACCTTTTTGAAAAGGTTTCCACTACTGTTAAAGGCAAAAGAGTTCCTTTTTGGCACTATACAGAACCCTTTTTAAATGTAGTTTAACAAGAGATCTATTACATTACATACACCCTTAAAAATGTGGTTCTTCAAGGGTTCTTCAGGCATTAACTGTGACAATCTATAGAACCATTTGAATATAGAAATGGTTCTTTGCAAAGTTCTTCTGTATAACAGAAAAACCTTTTTCACATCTTTGAATAACCTAAAAATATTCAATTTAGCATTAAAATAGGTTGTTAAAAGTCAAAGAACCATTTTGGTCCTATGTAGAACCTTTTTTCCTATACAGTGTACTATTACATTACATCTCATCGGCCATTTACTCTTTAAACAAGTCCAGCTTCCAAGGCTGTTATTTTACATATTTGAATGGAACAAATGAAATAAGTCTGAATGAACTGAGATGTGCGAATTTACAGTGGCTCCTTTGTTTCTTGGGTGGTCCAAGCTTCCTCTAACAGGAAGCGATAGAACAGATCCAGTACGGAACAGCCTTAATTGCTTCGATTTAGCTACGTCCACATGAATGAAATGCCCAGGGTGGCTCGCCACAGCAGAGAGGGCAGTTAGAGCTTGCTTAGCTTTCCTGTGTGTGCAGAGTTTTCAATGCTTACATATCATGCATTCAAAATGGTGCTGAAAGAAATAAAGGCCAGACTTCTCTTGTGCTTATGTGGTGAATGGGTTGGGTATTTTAGACCATATTGCAGTTCAAAGTGAAGTCATGTTGACTGTGAAATGTCTCTGGTTCCCTTTCTAGTTTTGGGCGGCCCCAAACTTCAGCTCACAAGATGCAGCTCGAGGATTTTACTGGCGGGCAGCTGGACTCTGGAGGAAATGGGCGTTGAAGAGACTCCCATACAAACCAAGCCTACATTCCTCTCCCTCTCTCACTTTTTCCCCCAAAAGTGAGTGGAGAGAGTGAGTAAGAAGGGGGAGGGGAGTGACATCTGATTGAAAACAGTGGACCAGGAGAGGACAGAGGGACACACTTTTGAGGTTTGACGTTCCCTCGAGCTTTGTAACCCACCACAAGGTAAGGTCTAACTCACTGTTTTGAGATTTTAGCAGATTTTTTAGTGCGTCAGGACTGTTTTAGGAGTGCGTACACTTGATTGCGTTATGAAGTTTAAGACGTTTGCATCTTTTTATGGACTTTAACTTGTATGCACTTCTGTCCAGACAGTTCTACAAGGTCTCAGACACAGGAAACTCCAGTTTCAGAACAGAGGTTTAGATTTACATGAATGAAAGAGACTTTGTTTATATCATGGTATCTCACCCTGGCATTCTTTCATTATCTTCTGCACCACTTCTTGAATGCTGTTGTGAAACATATGCTTTATGAGCATAGATACACTGTTTTTGCTCGTGACAATTGGGGCAGTTCTACTGTTTGCACACTATGTTCTTCAGTTCCAAACTGCATGACTAACAGAAGTGCCTTTGGACCAAATGTGTGCTAGATATAAGCCTCAGAGATGACTAATGGGGTTGGTTGTCATATTTTTCACTCTCATTCTCTGATCTCCCAAACCACATAATTGAAACCAGCCAAAACAAGGATCTAATGAAAGCTCAGACTGACTATCCTGCACAAAATGAGTGGAACATTTTGTAGCTGTTTCTCTGGCATGATGAGATATTAGCAGAGTTGTTTGTCACACTTACCCTAAACCTATAATTAATGACTATAAAATAAGCAGAATATCAGATCTACCCACGCTTCTGTCTCAATGAAGAGCAGTGAATGAAACTGACATTTAAAGAACATTTGACGTTAATAATACAGCAGAACACATCTTTAGAATCGTTAGCAGGGCAGCCAACTCCCTTCTGGCACTGGTCACTCAGTGGGTGTGGAATTTAAGGGTTAGCTGGTTACACGTGCCTTTGAGTATCCACTATAAAACTATGGTGAGTCAGATTGTCTGTTTACACTGGGAAGCAGTGTTCTGAATGGGCTCTCTGTAGTAAATAGGGAAGGGAATTATAGCTATGAACCCAAACTGAAATCTGATATACGGCAATATGTAAGTTTCATATACACTTATTAGCAAATGTGGATTTCCCTTATATTCAACTGATATTTGTCTAATATGGACATACACTCCAACTTGTTTGAAATTGGCCATTTTCAAATTTGGGACATATATTTCAGCCAAATATCAACGCATATATCGCTGCTGTCAAGACTAAACCTTGTATCTCCAAAATGAGAACTTTACAGGAGAATGAAAAAACATGCTTTACTTTTAATGTAAGTCAATAGAACCAGACTTATTTCCAAGTAATTTTTGGTCATTTCCTTTGGTCTATTCATTATGAAATTTACACACAATGCAAAGGACAAAGGATACTTTCAAATTATGTCAAAAACTGAAAAACGACAAAAACAGAGATACAAAGTTTTCTTCCGACAGTGATGTGTTACACATATATTTAGCAATATATGATAGAAAACAATAATCACATATGGATGGCATATATTACTCATATATACTAACTTCATGTTATATAAGAGTTTTGACCATCTTTGTTTCTTCCACATCCTTACTAACTGAGTGAAAATTAGCATCATAGCTACATAACTAAACTCTAAAACATGCACATTGTAAACTATGCAAGAAAAGCATTACTATATGAAATGAATATGAATATTGGGCCTCATTCACCAACCATTCTTAAGGAGAAATGTCTTCTTAAATCCCACTTTTGCAGATTTTAAGGAAGATTCTGACGTTCACCAGTGTTTTCTTATTATTCGGGATTCTTAGGTAAGAACAGAATCTACACACACTCTAGAGCACAAAGGTGAGAACAGTTTTGCGCTTTAAGAACACGAGTCTGACGTAGACTTTTTCTTTGGACCTTTCTCAAGAACAGATTTAAGAAAAAACTTGGCTTCATTTACCAAGATATTGGTAAATGAAGCCAAATGTTCCCAGACACATTAAAATAATGTAATATTTCAAAGAAAACAGATAACTTAACTCTGGTTCTGTTGACTTTCATTAAAGGTAAAGTAGGTTTTTTCCTTCTCCTGTAAAGTTACCATTTTGGAAAGATGAGGTTTTCATCTGACAACAGCGAGATGTATGATCCATATATCATACACATATGTCCAATATTTGATACACAGCAATATGTACGCAACATATATCTTAATTTAACAAGATGTTAGCTTACTAAGTCATGAATGTAACTTCCCATATATCAGATTTCCACTAAGCAAGCTAAGTCATGAATCTAGCTTCCTATGTGGAAATCTGATATATGGAAAGTTACAAGCTAATATCTTGCTAAATTAAGACAAAGTGCTAGTGTGCTAAGCAAGGGATCAGGCTTTTGTGTTCCAAAGTAAACAAACCATTTTGCTAACCAAGGAATTTAGCTTCATATTGTAGTTCCATTGACTATTCTTAAACAACTTCTAGGGAAGCACAATGATGCTGGAATTGTATCATATAAAAAAAATAGATTCACATCAGACAGATGTTTAGATTTGACAGATTTTTAAACTGATATTTAAGTAATTTTGTACTCCAGCGTACAGAGTGGAATGTTTAAGCAACACAGGGTTACTGTGCTAAAATCTCTATAGAAATCACTATAGAAACAAAATCAATAAATATTAGATTTGTCCATAATGCTGGACATATACATGAAAAGTATCAGATATCAGCAGCGGCTGTAAGAAATTGATGTTCTTTTGAGTTCTTTACAAAACCACTGAGGCAAAGTTTTGTTTTGGCAGTGTTTGGTATCTAACCAGAAGCAACAGCGTGTAGTAGGGAAGTGAGATTTTATTTTTAGATATGGGAGTAGTATGTTCAAGTGACGTTATTTTGTAGATGTTTCACACTTGCATGATAAAGTGCTGAGTTCTAAAAAGGAGGGGAAGAAGATGTGAGCTGAGGTGGAACTGAAACAGGGAAATCAATTCAACAATATTTCCATATCTGTGCAGAGTTGAGTTCAGCCGAGAGCTGAGTTCAGTTTGAGTTAGCTCATGAGAAAAGTGGATAATGCATTATAATGCATGGCCCTAGTTGAAGATCAAAAGTCGGTCAACAGCAGTGTTTACACAGGGCCAAGAAAGGCATGCTGCATCAGAGACAGCTTCAAACACACAGTCGGTTGACCGTCGGTGCTGAGATAATTGCTGTCAGATATGTGGAGGAACATGATAAGAGGCTTCATCTTTTCTCCTCTGGGAGTGAATGAGGAGAGTGTTAGATGGAGCGGGCGGAGCTAGTTAGGTTGGCTTGATGTTTTTGTTTTTTTTATTATTATAATTCTATAGTTAAACAATTGCAACACGAGCTGGAAATACAAAACCTTGCAGGCTTGTAGAACCTATAACTGAATATGTTGCTTGTGCTTTTTAAACCAATTTGATGTTCAAACATAATAATTTTTCCATAGGAATGAATGGGGAAATGCTTAACATCAAACTTCAAAGTCATTCAATTTATATAATAATGCTTATACCTCTACCTTTTATTCCGCCACAGTTAGTTTACAGTCTGTATCCAAATGTTTTTGGACACTCTTCTTATCTCAGTATCATAAAAGTATGTTTGCCATACCATAGCAATGGCCTAACAACATCTTATCAACCACCTGGAATACTACAGCATTGGCCTAACAACACATTAGCAACCACCTGGAATACCAAAGCAATGGCCTAACAACACCACAGCAACCACCTGGAATACTACAGCAATGGCCTATCAACACATTAGCAACCACCTGGAATACCACAGCATTGGCCTAACAACACCTTAGGAACCACCTGGAATACCATATCAACAGAAAATGGTTACAAAAACACTGTCTGGGGACGAAGGCATTGTTTTACAATAGGTTTATGAAAAATGTTTGGCCTAAAATGTATTTTTTTAAATCATTCATTGGAGAGAGGTACATACAGAGTGTTGTATATCGCTGCTGTCAGAAGGAAACATTGTAGGTTTTTCCTTCTCCTGTCAAGTTGCCGTTTTGGAGATTTGAGGTTTTCTTCCAACAACAGCTCTCTCTCTCTCTCTCTCTCTCTCTCTCTCTCTCTATATATATATATATATATATATACATACACACACGCAGAAGACCCATGTAAGTGCACTCATCAATTTGCATAGCAAATGATTTGCATTATAGACATCTGGTTCCTATCACCACCACTCTAAAAATGTAAAGAGTTTCTCTGCAAAGCACCATTTCACACACAACCACTCTGAATGGTTGTGTTTAACAACTGAATTCTGCAGCAATTTTTAAAAATAATTGTAATTCCTCTCTAATTTCATTCTTTTCTATTGCTGTTGCTCCACTTCTCACTTTCTAGTTTTAGCATTTTTATTAGGTCAAAAAGGGTCCAAAGCATGCTGATAGACTCTGGATGGACCAAGCAGTTCTTCTGCAAATTCCATAAAAAACTCTTGAGGAGCTTCATCCGATTTTTTTTCTACTTGATTCATTATTTCATTGAAGTAACAAACTTTTACTTGAGTATAGGGTTAAGCTACTCTACCTACCTCGGTGATTGTTCAATGACTTTCTCTGCCCACAGGACCGGCTACAATGGTGCTCTTGTTGATAATGGTGACAGTGCTTCATTTGGTCACCCTGGCCATTCTGTTCATAGCCACTATGGAGAAGGTATGACAGTTTTTAAGTTGGTACAGTGCTCATATCATCACTTCATGTATGCAATAGTATAAGAATATCAAACTCACTGTGAACTAGGACCTATTGTTCAGTGTCATTGCGATACTGGCGTTTGCATTAATAGTATAAAGAAAATGATATTATATAAATGCAGGCCAGTCTTTAACCCTGTCACACTGGGTTTTTTATTTATTTATATAAGGGTATATTGCAATACATAGCTATTTAATCACAGTATGGTATTTCATTCATATTGTGTAGTTCTACTGTGATCATGCGACTTTGTCATGTACCATTATAAGACTTTGCTATGTTTCAGTCATGGTGGACGCTGGACAATGTGGAGAATGTGGATCTCTGGCATAAGTGCATGTATGACAACAACACAGAGACATGGTTATGTGCCTCTGCAAATGAGAACGGTAAATAACCGCCACTAACCATCCTTCAGTCTCTATCACTGTAAACTCTCTATTCTGATATATACTGCTCATCGAAAGATCAAATCTCATCAAGATGTGATCTTTTCACATTAAAAGCATGTTTTTATTATTTAACTATACCTTTTTAGAGATGCCACTTTTACTTTTTTAATACTAATTAAAAATAACAGGGGCAGTCGTGGGTGGTTAGGTAACCAGACTTGTGACTGGAAGGTCGCTGGTTTGATCCCCTCAGCTGACAGTATGTGACTGAAGTGCCCTTAAGCAAGGCACCTAACCCCCAACTGCTCCCTGGGCGCTGTGGATAGGGCTGCCCACCACTCTGGGCAAGTGTGCTCACTGCCCCCTAGTGTGTATGTGGTGTTTCACTGCATAGATGGGTTAAATGCAGAGGTGAATTTCCCCGTTGTGGGATTAATAGAGGGTAACTTAAAACTGATATTTTTTCTTCTGCAACTAAGCTTAAAAATAAGCCATTTTTAATTAAAGCACTTTACTTAAAGGGGACATCCAACTATTTTTTAAAACATTCACATGATTAAATCGTTAAGGCAGCTTTTTTTTAACAGTAGTGTATAAACAAACCTAAGGTGCAGATTAACATGAACGAATGATAGTTTGTCTGATACGGAACTGTGTGATAAGCTCAAGATGATTTTCAGCTCTTGATGGAGATCTTGTGTTTCCTCTTTCTGTCAGAATGGCTGCAATCAGTGCAGGCGCTCATGATCCTCTCTGTGGTCTTCTCCTCCATGTCCTTCCTGGTGTTTCTGGGCCAGCTCTTCACCATGTCCAGAGGAGGACTCTTCTACTTCACCGGCATTTGCCAGATCTTAGCAGGTACAAAAGGAAACAAAAACAGGGAGCTGTGGGCTTCATTAGTCAGAATCTCACATTATCAGTTGGTTTTCCAGACAGATTAACTGGGCTAAAAGGGTTTTCAACAGACAATTCAAATGGAACACTTTAGCTCAGGTTTAGGCTTAATTACATTCGCTCAAGATTTGGTTTTAAGTGTGTTTCAAAGTGTGTCTTTTCCCCTTAATCCAAATGTAGTCGACCATCCAAGACATTTGGTGTCTGAAGTTTGCTTCTTTAGTTCTAAGTCTAATGTAGCTAACAAGTAATGGAAGCTTATGTCTACAGAGTAGCATCAGGCAAACTGCCAGGGTTTGGGATGTCATGGAATACAAGTATCGGAAATACATATTCAGAATACAGAAATGAAGTTACATTATGTAAAGGCAACATTCAGAGTACAGTTCTTTTTTACATTTTAGAAGAATACTTTTAGAATACTTACTCACTAAATTAAAAAAACACACATAAGGGATAATCAAACTAAGAATCTCCTCGGTAGTGGGCAAATTGCTGACACGCAACTCCACTCAGACTGGCAAATTACTGACTTGCAACTCCACTCAGACTCACCAATTATTGACTCGCAACTCCATTACGACTAGCCATTTATTGACTGGCAACTCCACTCAGACTAGCAAATTATTGCCACACAATCTTCAAAAGAAACGCCATCAACACTTGTTTATTAACTTTTTTTTAGAATCAGTGCATGTATGTAGCAAACATACTCATTGGAGTATAAAGAGGACCTCAATTAACAGCCTCTTTACACCGATGTTCCTACTGAGTAGACTGATAAATCTCCTCAGTAGTGGACATATGAGTGATAAGTTTAGCATCTGGACTCCTGCTTGGGGAATTGTGGGAGCAGCAGTGGACTGAAACAGGCAGTGAGACAACAAAAAGTAAAGAATTTTCAGAACTTCATTTAAATGATGAGCATTTTTTTCATGAATTTGTTTGTGGAATACTAATATTTATTCAGTATTCAGACACTGCTGCTTTTTTCACAGTATTTTACCAACCCCTGCAAACTGCACACCTAAATTATCATAGACATCCCTCAGACCTGCTTCTGTGCTTTCTGGCACTGAATGACATACTGCTGTCTACAAAAATGGGTGACAAATGTACAAATGAAATCGGCTTCAAGATGACTGCTACAGTTTTTAGCTTTTATCCATTTTTTAAAATAACAGTAACAAACACAGTGTCAAAAAAACACAAAGGCAAGTCTGTTGAGACGAGCGTGTGATGATTTAAGCATTTAAGCATTTTGTGCAATGCTAACTAAGCTTCGCAGCTCCAGTGCTAAAGAAGGAAACTTCAGACTTGGCTTGGCTGATTGATCACATTTAGAGTAAGAAGAAGACTTTTTTCACTGAACTGTTTCCTTATTGTGTGTTCTGTACTTCTGGTTACCCCAGAGAATTTTAATGTTTGTGTTCTTACATTAACTAAATATCAAGCTGAATCTCCCACTGTTGTTCCATTTCACTGATCAGAATCAGCATTGGTGTAACACAGTGCCCCCCTGTGGCCATGTGAGATAATTTCTCATTTTCTTCCTCCTCTCTCTCAGGTTTGGCAACGTTTGCGGCCGTCCTCATTTACACTTTCCAGAAAGAGCAGATCATACAGGAATCTAAAGAGCTGTCCAAGGGCCGCTTCGGCTACTGCTACATCCTGGCCTGGGTGTGTGTCCCCCTGCTCATCTGCAGCGGGGTGCTGTATGTGCACCTGCGCAAGACAGACAAATCTTAAGCTTGGTCAAAGACAATACATTACTTTCTGCATTCATTTAGTAAGAGTACAGTTCTGTCATGCTTTTTAATCCTAATAAGTGGAGTTTGAGTCGAACTTTACTTCGACTAAACAGTTATTGACACTGAACTCGGCTCTGACTAGCCAGTGTCTGACTCGCAACTTGACTCTGACTTTTATTTTTATATCACTCCTTGACTGACTTTTAACTCTATTTGGACTAGCCAGTTCTTAACTCGCAACTTCACTTGGAATAACCATTTACTGACTTGCAACTTAACTCAGACTAGCCCTTGACTGACTCACAACTCTACACAGACTAACCAATTATTGACTCATAACAATACTTAAACTAGCCAATTACTGACTCGCAGTTCAACCTAGACTAGCCCTTCATTGACTTACGATTCGATTTGCACTAATCTTTGACTGACTCGCAATTTGACTCGGACTGGCCCTTCACTGACTCGCAACTTGATTCGCACTAACCCTGGACTGACACGCGACTAGACCCCAACTAGCCTATGACAAACTCACAACTTGACTCGAACCAGCCATTGCCTGACTTGCAACTCGACTTTGACTAGAGAAAAGGGTTGTAAAATTTCAGCCTCAGACAAAAATGCAGATTTTTAAAATATACAAGTGAGAGTTAAAAAAACAGAGCAAGACTTTTTTGTCCACACCAAAAAAAGTGCAATTCAAGCCATAAAACAAGGCTGTACCCTGTGTGATGTGCATTCTGTATAAATATCGCTAATAACAATTTGATACCTAACTAAAGTTCATGACTAAAAACTCAAGACTTGATTCTGACTCATAGCTCAGAGACTCTGGCCTTGACTCAGACTTGCATAAAGTGACTTGTAAGCATCTCTGGTACTGACTCTCAGTCTACTGATATGAATATACAGAGACTGTTAAGATTGTATTTAACCCCTTACATGGTCAGGGTCCACCGGTGGGCCCAAAGCTTTATTACACTCTTCTATAATCTAAGCATAGCTCAGCCAGTTTGCACTGAAGTCCCTGTAGTTACTAAATAATAAGCCTTAGTAATAAGCCTCAGATAATAAGGGGTTAAAGACCAGTTATACAAATAACTACTGCCATGTTATAAAAAAGGCTAACATAAAGCAGTAGAAGCATCTCTTAATCCAACAATATAGGCAGCCATTGTTTTAGGAAAATAATCATACTATATTATATAAACCCACCTACAGTCATATGCAAAGGTTTTGGCACCCTGCTCAAATGACATGTTTTGTTGATATTTGTTGAAAATATTTAGACACATTCTCTACAGAGAATACACTAAGGCACATTTTAATACACAATTACTGTTTATTTTCTGAATTTAGCATATTGGGGAAAATATAAAAGAAAATCTGCAAAAGTTGTGACATATTTTACATTTCATTTTGTTCCATTATGTTAAATTCACCCAACTAGCCACACAGCCTCTTTGTAGAGAATGTGTGAACTTACTTTTACATAGAAAATCAACAAAATTTTCACACGTTTGCATATGACTACATCTTCAGAATAGTAGCTTTACAGGGGAAGGCAAAAACATTCTTAACTTTTAATGTGAGTTAATGTAAAGAGAATTTATTCCAAGTCATTTCGGAACATGTCCATTGGTCATTCATCATGCAAAGGACAGCTGCTGTGCTGCATTACTTTCCTTGTAATTACACTATAACAGCTACACAGACACATTTATTACTTTCAATTTGAAATCCAACTTGGCACTTTCCTGTGTATCCCTGCTCCTGCTGTACTCCACCCTGTATTCTGTGATCCATGCTAAACTCTGGACTTTCACATGGTGTGCTGCTACAGAACATACACAGATGTTACTTTAGCAGTGGGACTGAATTTTCAGCATATTATTTGTCAGTATTATGCTATGTGACCTGTTATGTCATTTTCAGCTCTGTTAAATCATTTACATCATTTTGAGATGTTTGACATATGGAGAACAAAGCGATTTCTTCTGGTCTATATAAACAATGCTAAAGAAGAGCATCACCTATGTATGTTATAAAGCTTTACTGCATATTTCTTTCATTTCACTATTTTTTGTGTCTATTAAAATGTAAATATATAGTAGCAGTATAGTATATAGTGCGTAACACCTCTGCCTTGTACGCTATACCAATAAGAGTCCTTGGGCAAGACTCCTAACACTACCTTCGCCTACCTGTGTTAAAAACAAACTGTAAGTTGCTCTGGATAAGAGTGTCTGCCAAATGCCATAAATGTAAAATGTACATGAAATAAAGATTCTGTGCAGGTGCAGTTTTCATTCATCAAGGTACAAACAATGTAAACGTTCCCTCAAAGGTACAACAGTGGCTTTAAGGTCCAATTGTGGACCTTAACTAAGTTCTTTCCAGCCGAAAGGTGCATATTTGTACTACGGCGGAGCAACATGACAATATATATTATTCTTGTGATAAATTATGTCACGATACAATGCAACATGCTTTCTGTACATATCATGCATATCATCATTACTTGCAGTACATGGACCAACTGCCTGTTTCATTATAAAGGATATCGAGTGTACTGTATATACAGATAGAGTTTTCTCCAATCTGTCAAGTGTACAGGAAACATATCCATCTTTGCATGCTGTGATTGTAACGACTGTAGAAAAATAAACTTAGTGATTAGTGCCTGCGGTAAAGGCAGGAGGCCCAGTTGGTCCACATTCATCAAATACCACAAACACGCACACACGTCATCACTGAACCACACAGGTGTGCCAGAGATTAAGATACTGTTGAATGAGATTAAGCGCACGCTAACTCAGCTACTTCTCAGATACATTTCAGACATGTTCTACACTACTGTTCAGTAGGGAATCCCCATATTAGTATAATAATATTTTAGCTTTTAAGGTAATCGTCAACGATTTGCATTGTGTTTGATCTTGACCGTCTATGCTGATTTTTTCATTGCATTTTACTATTTTATGTTAGTAAAGTGTTTTAGTTCATCTTAGAAAAGAGATTTTTCATCACAGTGTGACTAAGGAGTTATGGAGGACCAGATTTGCCAAAATGAAAAATAAATAAAATTAAAAATAAAAAGAAATATTTAGTACAATTGCAAAAAATAATGATAATAAATCTAAAAATAAATAGATATGCATAACAATTAATATATGAATAAGTAAAATCTTATATAAATTAATATGACTGCATTTATGTATGTCTATTTAGTAATTTCCCCTTCTCACTAATTTATGTATTTTTCTTTGTTATTTATGTTTCTTTATAAACGTTTTTTCTGTTTTTCTATTAATTTATTTGTATTAATTTATTTCCATAACTATTAATTTCTATATTTATTTATTTCTCTATGTATTTCTGTATTTCCTTGTCCTTATGCTAATAAAGGGGCTGTCAGTCAATGATGTCACAGTGTCTTAATATTCCTATTGGTTGATCGATGTCAGACTCTGTAGATCGATTGTACATGTCTTGCTCTCTCAGTGGTAACTAAGGACGAGACAGTACAGTAACGGCTTCTTACAGCAGCAGACAGTCAGAGATCTGAGAGTTTCGGCTGATCTGGCTGAAAATGCAGGTCCGGATTATTGACTCTTCGTTGGAGGCTGTGGGGACAGTTTGCTCCACTTTGCGGCCTCAGGCTGATACAGAGGTCGACCAGTAGTGTTCAGAACTTTGGAGGAGGTGGTTCAGCGTCTTTTTCTGCAAAAGTTGGTGAAAGAACAGTTTAATCAGCTCTTCTCCTCCTGGACTTGATTGCTAAACCTGAACGTGAAAAACACGCCCCCTCATTATCATATGAACGAAGAAATACAGAAATAAATAATTAATGAACAAGTAAATAAATAAATGAATTGATGAAAAACTAAATGGATACATGAATCAAAGAATAAAGCAAACAATTGTTAACAATAAAGATATGGAAAATATATAAAAATGGCATTAATAAAACAAAATAAATAATACAGAAATAAATAAATTGAGAAATATATAACTGCAGAAAAAAGAAATACGTGTATAATTACAATCACAATAAGCAATATATACTTTATTTAGTTTTTTTGATTAATTTACTGAGCCATTTATTTTTTAATTTTATTTTTTTTCATTTTGGCAAATCTGGCCCTCCATAAGGAGTATAAAACTGAAATAAAATATATATATATATTGGAAAATATGTATACGGAAAGTGTTCTGATGAATTGCTCTACCTTATCAGAAAATGCTACCACCACTGAAATTTATAGGTAGGATAGTTTGATAGCCTAAATGTCCTTATCAGAAAACGTTACCAGCATTACAAATAACAATTAGGATTGCATGAATCACCTTGTTAGGCAGTAAGTAATAATACTAAGGCGAATCTGTACTGAATAAACATTTGAAGCAGTTACTACACCATAGTAATGATATGCACATGCTCAGTAGGGCCACCCGACGGGTAGGACAAATTGTTAGAATACCGGTCCTGTAAAGAATAATGTTTGTTATTGAGATCTTCTAGGTTGAGGGACTTTTTTTTAATGTTTATAGAACCTCCATGTAATGCAATGGTAAAGGTTTGCTACTAGTTAAGGAGGAATTCTGCCTATTTTTCAAAGCTACATCACAGAAAGCTGTTACATGGAATGGTTATGAATGCACTGCCTGGTGCCTGAGACAGTTTTTGGCCTAAAATGCATTTTTAAAATACATTCATGGTGGAGGGGTACATGCAGGGCGTTGTAAGACAAAATAGTCCCCAAAGAAAACTTTTTTTTTTTAAAGATTTTTCACTACTTTACCATTATCAAAAAATACCATTATTAACAATGCATATAGAACTCAGTGTAGGCTACCTGGATATTTAGGATAGTAAATAAAATGGCAACATTTGCATTGTAGAATCACGACCCCTGGTTCCTATCACCACCACTGTAAAGAGATCCGGCTTCTTTACAATGCACCAAAGTGGTTTGATATGACTTTGTTTACATCTCAGTGATTGAATAATGCAGAAAGTTTGGAAAATCAGTGGAGATTATATCCGAGGGTCATTTAAGAGTCTTTGTTTGCCTGGAGAACCCTATATTAGGGCTAGTATGTAACATACGGTTAAGTAATTTGATCTACATATGGAAAAACGTGAGGTTTCCCTCTGTGTATTTAAGCACCTCTGGGCTGCAGACTGTATGAAAGCTTTAGCAAAAAGCTCTGCTAAAGTAACTCAGAGTTGCTTTTCTGGTAGAACCAGTCATGGTATAAATGGCAGTGAACTGGGGACACAGAGAGAAAGAGACACTTTGTGTCAGCAGGAGGGAGAATGGACACAATACAGACAGAAATATAATATTGGGACACGCCTGGTACACAATTATGGAAAAGGGCAAAGATTTAAGGGCAGTGATGTTCAGCTTTCCTCACTTCAGCAGTGGGCAGTTGATGGTCTAATTCCACAAAGGATGACTATAGGTCAAAACTGAAAGCGCAAGCCGTAACAGTAGGTGTTGACATTTTTTTACCGTAGCTAAACAAACATTTGAAGAAGAATGAAGTAAAAGAAACGTAGCGAAGGTCGGAGACTGTAGGATTTTGTTTCAATGGTTCTCAATGTTTTGCGACATTTTCAGCGGTATCTCTACAAAGTGCCAGTCTAGTGTCAACAAAGCCATATCTGACATGTTTGAGAAAGGCAGGGAACCTTCTTAGGACTGAGATTGCCTTTGTACCTCCAGACTGGTCAGCAGAACTGTACTGTATCTCCAACGCTTGAGGAAGAACATTTGGACCAACTCTGCAAACACCTGGCACTTACTCTTTACGCAGCGTCATGAAACACATCATACCTTCATAGAAGACAACTTAGAAGGACATAGAAGTTCCTTAACGATGAACACCTCTCAGCATCAGAGCCTGGACGAGAACGTGGTCTTTTCTCTAGTGCTTGAGTCCAACCCAGAGTTCCTTCACTCCGAAGCTGAGAGATACGCTGTGGAGCAGCTGCTGACCGCTGGTCCTGGAGCTTTCTATTCCAAACTTGGCAAAGAGAGACTAACACACTTCCTCTCACCGGAGGAGGTGAATCAGGTGTCCAGCTGGGTTGAGGATTACCACATTAGTGATGTCCCCCTGGACGATGGAAACTTTGAAGAACAAAGTGGCACTGGGACTCAGGGATACTCCGTTCTGTACTTTCCCATGCATTCGGATATCCCGGCCCCATGCCTAGAGTTAGGATGGCCGGAGAAGGCTAGGTGGGAAGGTGTGGACCAGGCTAAGGTCTACACCAATCCTCCAGTGGAGCAGATGCCCCACATTCGGGAGGTGGTCAGGAGGCTGCTGCAGGGGGCGACCATGGTAGGTAGAATTTTCGTGATGGGTTGACATGAGTAGAGTAGCCTAAAGTCATATTTGACATATGAAACGTTGACTAGAATTGCAGTGTAACTTCTTAGTCCATCTGGTATCTACACACTGAAAATAAAGGTGCCAGAAGGATTCTTTGCATGGCACGCGTGAATTTCACCATTGTGGGACTAATAAAGGATTATTTTATCTTAGAGGTTTAACTGAAAAACCCTTTAATGGATTCGTTAGAGAACGATTTTTGTGAATGGGACGTTTTACTGTGGAAACAGATCAGAATAAGCACATTCATGACTAAATTCATGTCGTGCACTTAGCCTATACCAACATATCATAATTCATTATAAACAATATTTTTTTCTATTTTATGAATTAAACATAGCTTTGTTACATAAGCTATATACCTTAACATAAAATGAATAAAAAGTTCAATAAAAGTTAAATTCTATTAAATGAAACAGAACCATATTTATTACCTGAAAAGTTTGTTATAAATATTGTCATTTCACTCAATTATCAACTGGCCTAAAGCTTAGAGGTGAGAACAGCTGGATACAAATGCAATGTCAGTTTGTTATTAACAATGACATTGCGCAGTAACTGCATTCCAGTGTTATTTAATATGCTGTTACACACCTGGGCAGGCAGACGCGTGTCAACCAACCCCACTCACATCAGGACAAAACTCTGTATTTATATTATGTAAAGCTAGCGTTACTTAATACTGGCTTTCAAATTACACAACATAAGTGTTTAAAACATTTCTGCAAGTTTTTTACACAGAAAAATCAAAAAGTTATCTGCACGTTAGCAGAGGACGTTCAGAACACGGATGAAGGCTGGTCAGGAGCTTCCTTTACTGACCCAAAAATTAACACTCTGCCAACCAACCCTGTTCTCCCCAAAGGTTCTAGGAAGAACTCTTAAATCGGCACAAAACCTTTACATCATTTAAATGTTCTTTACACTCACAAACCTTTTTAAAAAGGTTTTTTTAGGGAACCAAAAGTTGCCCTCCTACAAAGTTAGAAATAAAGGTACTGTGCAGGTACCCACAGTGTAAATGGTCCCTCAAAGGTACAACAGTGGTTTTAAAGTCCAATTGTGTTCCTTAAATAAGTTTTTCCAGGTGAAAACTTTGCATTTGTACCTTTTCATAACCAAATGTTTTAAAACAGAACAGTAAAATAAGGTCCTGGAGACGAGACGGGGTGTGTGGAGTCAGTACAACTTAGAACATATCATTTCAGTGGATTATGGTACAGTTATGTCATTCATTTAATTTAAAATGCTACAGCAAAGCAGAGTGTAAAGTAGACTACATTCCTCACCAACATACTTGAGTCGAATTAAATTTGTAGTCATGTATAAAACTCATCAGAAAAACAAGTACATGTAACTGAGTAAACATGACTAGTCACCACCCACCCCTGAGGGTATGATGCAACAATATTTGATTGTCTGATTTCTTAGTAATTCTGAATGCCCTGCTGATTAGAAACATTCCACTCACTGGTCAATTTTTAAGCTTCACTAATCTTATAGGTCATTATACGTGTACATCTACAGACCGTAGCAATACGTCACCCCCTTTCTGACAAACTGCTTTTGTCCAGACATTATTTGAGCAGCAGATCATTCCCAGCACAGCAGTGACACTGAGATGGCAGTGTTGTCCTGCTGGTGTGTGTATCTTCTACTAAGTTTATTTAGCCAAATAGTTTTCAATGTCACAGTTTCTTAGGGGTTTAAAGTGAACCTTAAAGTGATGGTTCCGTGAAAAAATCAAGCATACACAACTTTCTCCTTTCTCCTTACCTCAAATCAGCCAAGACATTTTTGGTTGATTTAGTTTTGCACCAGAGTTGTGTGGCTAATGTAGCCAACAAGTAATGGAAGCTGATAACTAAAAACAGCAGCAACAAGCCTGAATATTGTCTATGTTTATGATGATTTAAACAGTAAATAGCTGATGTAAATTTACAGAACTGTACTGCATCCCTCAAACAAAACAGATCGCTTTAGAGGTCAAGCTTCTTGTCAAAGAAGCTAAAGTAGTGGATTTTACAGTAATTGGCTGCTAAATGCAAAGCATGCTGGGAAACTGACCAGTACTTTGTGCAGTCTTGATCAGCCTGTCTCTGAATAGTGTGACTTATTTTGTTTGTTTTAACCTGTTTGTCTCCCACAAATATACATCTGCACACATTTATATGGTTTGGTTTTCTAACCACGGTGGTGTTTTGTGTTTCAGTTACTAGTTCATCCTGTAATATAACAAATAATCAGTGTTTATTGCCATCTATTTAATGCAGACGACTGATATAAGTGCAGGCAACTGTACTGTGATTGATAAACATTACTACTCTTGTGAAGAATAGCGTGATCGTTCTCGTGAAGCTAGCTAGATAGTTTTGTCCTGGTTGCATACAGAATGTTTTCTCATGCCTTCTGTTGTATCTGACTATGTGTGTTTCTGTGATCAGCTGATTGCTATAGTGACAGACAGAGTGACGGACAGCGCAGTGATCGCGGATCTTCACTGCGCTGCATCGCGAGGCGTTCCGGTGTACATCATCCTGAACCAAAGATCCGTCCAGGAGAACTTCAACCCAAACCGACTCAGACACCCGGTTAGTCCCAAACTCATCAGCCTCGGTCATGGTGTCACCTATAATAATCAATGCTTTAACGCTTAGGAGACTATTATGGTTATTTTGATGCAGCGCTGAACTGAAATTACATAATTACAGGTAATTATGTAGTAAATTACTTATTAAACTATATTTACATTCACTTAGCATTCTGTATCGACTGATTCAAGACACCTTTTTTCTAATTGGACGTCAACAGTGACAAAAACCTGGCACAATTTACACAAAACACTACACAACAATAACTTTGTCATACTAAATCATAATAAAATATCATCTCTTATATACTCAGTGTTTAGACTAGTAATTCTGTGTTTATTTCAACACATTTGGATGTATGTACAGTCGTATGCAAAAGTTTGGGCACCCCTAGTTAACACATCCTCTATAGTGAACACACTTCTGCACATTTTAATTCACAGTTACTGTTTATTTGCTGAATTTGGCATATTGGGGAAAAGTCCTGTGTAAAAGTTATGGCACATTTTATATTTTATGCTATATTTTTTCCAATATATTGAACAAATAAATAGATTTTTGCACTAAAATTTGCAGAAAAATATCACATTTATGTTTGTTCACTGCAGAGGACATTTTAGCTTATTTTCACTTAGAAAATCAACAAAACAAGTCATTCAAACTGTATATGTCCATAATCTTCTTCAATTTGAAAGTTTCTGCAGTATATGTGATGGCTACATCGTATGTAAGTCTATTTAAATGTCAATGAAATAGTAATTTATGTCATTTCCTTCTTTAAAAGTTTAGCTTGATAATCAAAGTTGATAGAAGCATTTATTGAAGCTACCAAATAAAGCTCAGACTAGAAAAAACAGCACTTCTTTACTGAGCGATTAGTAAGAAATAAATAAAACACATAGGAAGAGGCCAATATATTTCTAGCCTATTAAAGCTAAACAGTGAACTCTGACATTTCAGCTTTTTGTACTGTATTTGTATTTTTTAACACTAATTTACTGTGACCTGAAGGTTTTGCTTTGCTTTCCGACTTCAGAGTAGCACTAACATTTTAATCATGCTTGCCATGTCAGACATAACACACAGTTTTGAGACACAACAAAAGCTTCAGCACAGCTTTGCAATGCTAAGACGTGTGTACAGCATTCTTTACCCCTCTGAGTATCAAAGAAAAGAATGTCATTGTTAAATGAAGCTTCACAAAAAGCCAGGAGTAACAGGTCGCACCGCATTCATGCGGACAGGATGAGCACAGGAATGACTTACTATATGTGGCTGCAGCTCCAGAGAAATTCACAGTAAGTTCTCAACATCTAAAGGTAATGTCTTTGGAATGTCCATATACGAATTCACTGGAAAAAAATGTACTCTGAATGTAGCATACAGCATTTCAAAGAGCTCCATGTAACTCCAAGGAACCTTTGCAAAAAATGTACAGTGCTGTGGCAAAATCAGAGACCACCCTTTCATTTACACTATTTCCAGGCAATAGAACCATTAAGCACAGGTTATCCATTTCTCAGTGTCTGAAAGAAAAGCAGGAAGTTAGCAGAAAAAAAACTGGCAGAGGGGATATTTCTGAGGAGATTAGATATAAGATAACCTACTTGCATAAGGAAATGGAAACTCAAAGGAAAATAAGTTAAGTAACAGGAGTTTCCAAAACTACAAAGTATTGAAGGATATAGAGAAGATGCAACCATGGTAGACCACTAAAACTGTCCATCCTTCCATTGTGAGAAGATAACTAGACGATATGGGTCTGAAAGGATGTGTAGCTGTCAAGAAGCCTCACCGAGAAAAGAGAATAGACAAAAAAGAAGTAAAACTGCGGCAGAATACTGAAACTGGATGGAGCCTAAAACTCAAAATCAGTGTTTTTGGGATTATATGGATCGTGAGAAGCAGAAAATGCAACCAACTTCTAAGACTGAACTTTAGAGCTGTGGAAACATCCCAGCTGATTTCTTAGAAAAACTGAAAGCATGTTTACTAAAAATAAAGGAAGCTGTAAAATTGTCAGAGTGTGGACACAGTAAATACTGAAAATTTGGTATATTTAGTTGTTGAGACTTCAGTGTAATTTTCTGTTAAATATGTTTTCTGCTTGTCTCTTGACAATTAAAAGAATAACATACTTAACTGCAGTTTTGCATTGCATTGCATTAAATAAATAAAGAGTGCACTGTACATTTTTCACAGTATATACCATCCTATTCGCACTTTTGACAGAACATAAGAGTTCGGGCTGTGGGGGGAAAGACGTTCTTCTCTCGGGATGGGAAGATGGTGGTAGGAGAGCTGAAGGAGAACTTTATCCTGGTGGATCTGCAGACAGTGGTTCTAGGTAGCTACAGGTATGATAGAGATACATTATACCCCACTTCATTTCTTTCATAATAAACTGTGGAAGCGTGAGGGATTTTGCAATAAGCAGGGAGTAACAACTCCTCCTTTAGTCTACACCTGTAGACCGCACAGTTAAAGGAGAAGTATGGTCAAGAATCTAATTTACACGATTTTCTGCTTGATTGACGTCCAAAGTTTGCTTCTTTAGTTTTGCCTTAAGACTACAATTCTAATGCAACTAGCAAGTAATGGAACCTTATAGTACCAAGTAGCACTGTGCAAACTGCACAACTAAATCTCAGAGGCATGCAGTTTGTCACATTCTTGTCCAAATCACATTGAAGTGCTAAGTGATCTCAGACTTGTGAATGTGGTTCCAGGTGCTGTATGACACACTGTTATGTATTAAACTGGTCAAAAATGTGCTGCACAGCTGAAGACAGTAGTAGCAGCCGTCCTGAAGCCTGAACTCTGCTCATAATTCTGAGGCAAAGCTTGTCTTGAATGCAAAATGTGTAAAATTATGTACATTTGTGTAAAAACTGCCAAATTATCACTTTAAATGTCACAAGTTCACTAATTCCAGACACTCTCTAATTAAAGCTAACCTCAATTCTCTGATTTTTCAGTCTCACCTGGACTGATGCTCATTTGCACCGGCAGCTCATCACAGTCATGAGCGGACCGGCGGTTGAGTCTTTTGATCGGGAGTTCCGCGTCCTTTACGCAGCCTCGCTGCCCATTCCAGATCAGTGGAAGTCCTGTAGACCTGTGGAGCTCTCCAGTGCAGATGAACCTCACACTCTTTACCAACCAGAGCACCTTGAACCATACAAGCACAAATCAGCACTTACAGCGAAACCTTACAGCCCCCCTCCACCCCCAACTGACTGCCTTCTGGATTGGGAAGCTCTTGGGGTCGTCCATTGGAACCAAGGCATCCCAGAAGGTCCGGATAGATTGCTGGGGGTTCGTGAGAAGCCGCTCCAGTGCCACAGTGCAGGATTAAATGGGCAGCCTGAGGCTGCTGGAGCCAGAAGAGGAGCTGGCGTAGAAGAGCCTGGTTCCACCGAGTTCCAAGTTGAGCATAAGTGAGTTTTTTTGAAGAATCTTCATTTGACACATGTCTAATCTTTTGGTTTTAGGAGGTTAACTTTATTAGGACTTCATAGGTCCTAATGCAACAGTAGTGGAAAATAATAGACTTATTATGTAAGGCGCACTACACGGTGGGGTTTTTGTTTGTTAGGTTTGAAATGAAAAAGCATAAATTTATCACTGAAAAAGTCAGAGCTTGGCTCACAAGAGCCAAGGCAGTGCTGTACGGTTACAAATCTGTCATCACACAGTTTGTTATCATTTCCACTGCTAAGTGAGCCGTGCTGTACCTGAGAACCCGTGCTGAATTTGGTTATGCATGTTGAGCCAGAATGTATGGGTGAAGTTAGTAACGGTGCAAATCACTGATTAATGCAGTCTTCAAAGGATCGTCTCATGGTGTTCACTGGAATCAGATAACCGCCATCAACATGAACTTGCCAGAACTGCTGTGACTCACACACAAAACCAAATGCAGAGTAAAAGGTGTATCAGAACTTGAAGCTCCTTCTTTGTTGCTACTGCTGTTTGTTTTTACTGTTATAACTAGATTTGCATGAGAAATCACATGAACCCTCAAGCTAAAGAGAACATTGGCTACTTTCGCGTTTCTTTTATGTGGTGGGAAACGGACGTCGGCACTCAACCAGGGTACGGACAGTTCTGGGTTCAGATTTGTAACTGTGCTGTGCTGTACCGCACTGTACTAAACTGCACGGTGGAAAAACACCATAAGTGTTGACACTATGATCTCCATATCACTCCAGGTGATGCTACCCAACACAGGCATCTGTTACCTGACATAAGCAGTTAATATTCTCCTCCAAGCATGTTCAGAGGTCCAATGACATTTTGTTAGCAGCAGTTTGCATTGTGTGATGAGATCTAGCTAGCAGGTTGGAAGCGGCCATGACTAAATGAAGAGGATTAATTAAATTAAGGAAAATACTAAATTAAATTAAGAGGAGAAATCTCCCCCCAAAAACAGACAAAAAAAGAAAACTTGGGACTGTGGATTCAGATTTGCCAGGATATTCACCAATTCTGTTATATATCAGACTGACATCACAGTCTTTTCCACCAGAAGTGCGGCGAATAAGGGTGATCTCACATTTCGACATACACCTGTTGAATTTGGTTACCTTTCTTGTCGGAGAACCGAGAGTACCAAACAGGGACATATGAACAAACCTAAAAATGGTGAGACCACTGATTGGTTCAATGTAAATGCAGAATTTTCTGAAATCATTAAATCAAAAAAATACTTCTACTTTTAGAGGTATCCTTACGAATAGTTCTAGATTTGGAACAGCAACATTTAGGGCTGGGTATTTACATTTTTGGATATAGATACCTTGACTTCAGTACTAATACCTGGGCAATACTTTTTTCAAGACTTACTTTGAAAATTACAAACCGAAAGTGGGTGTGGTGTAAACCGGACATCAATGTGAGGTGCATGAAGTGGGTTTATATATGGACCGCAGTGGATTACAGACGCGTGAAGAAGCACTAATGTTAATAACATACATTCTTATAGAATGTAATTTGGAATTTGGATAAGTCTGATTTTTCAGGGATGCTAGTAAGGCTGACTGCTTAGGTACCTAAATTTGGTAGTGAATGACAGAATTTTTCAATACACAACAGTACTGAAATAATTCTGTCTGTACCATATAAATATAAACGTTCATTTCCCTAAACCTACTAACAGTACAGAGGTGTATCACAATGCCTGGTGGATAAGCAGCAAACAGGCTTACGTAGTGATGCTTTAAAAAGCAGGAGTGAGAAATGTCTAAACCCGCTAGCAGGTCCATGAAAGTTAACGGGTAATTCAATTACAATATCTGGCACTGTACTGTCCCACCAAGCTAACTTGAACTAGTGTCCTGGGAATTTTTGTCCTAAAAGCAGGCCTGCTCCTAGTACAGGGTTTAGCACTGTCCTTTCTGAAAAGGTTTTCTAGGGTGTGGAAGAACTTTGACCATGCACCTCTGACTAGAAATCTTTTTAAAAAGAGCACAGCTTGACCAAGGAACTGCAAACTATCCCGTGATAACTTTGGTGTTAAAGATGACCACACAAAATATCAGTGCGTCTCTTATCGCTTCCATGTTTCTGTGTACTGTTCATTGTAAAATCAAAAGTGTTCACACCTCTTCGGCTGTCATTTCTTTATGGCCCAGGTTATACCCCAGTGTTAAAGCTGAGCCGAGACATACAGCGGATCATCAGACAGTCTTCGGGTGAGTCAGAAACTTTTCTATTTGCTGAACACTGCTTGGGTTTAGTTCCAAAAAAAAGTCTTGGTCTGATTGATATGCAGATACATACAGTAGATAATTAGTATTGCAGCCTAATGGACAAAAAACAAATGATGGTAATCGAAAAAATCAAACGCACAGTTTCCCCCTGACCTCAAATATAGTCTGATTCTTTAGTTTTATACTGGAGCTATGAGGCTGATGGAAGTATATGTTACCCTCTTAGGGTTGCCAGGTGTCCAGTTTTGGACTGGACAGTCCAGTTTAGAGCTCTGTTGTCCAGGTGATTCTGTCAACTAGGTGTTAAAATGTCTGGTTGATTCTAACACTAAATGTTTAAGTAGATAAAGTGCCGCTCTGTCATTGTCCTTTTACGCCATTAGCAGTACCACTGATTACTATTCTAACTCAATTTGGTGCAGTAATATACGGACTAAGACAGCCTGTGTGTAGGCACATATGCAAAGTTAGGCTATGTTATGGGTCCCTGATAAAAAAGTAAGTGGACCTGTAATTTCTCAATTATCATTTTTATTAGCAACTTTCAAATAACACAAATGTGTTATCATCATCTGTTTTATGAGTTTATTAGCTTACAGCTTGGCTTCTCCTGGTCTTACATCAGAACAAATAGAGAATGTATTCGTACAGCATTTTTCGTGTGATCAGTTTTGGTATTATTTCTAACAGATGTTACGAGGAGCTTACATTCCTCTCCAATGCAGACAAACATTAATAAGTACAGTCAAAATTACAGTCATTACAAGCGCAGACACAGTCAGTGCCACACCACCTGAGAACGACAAGCATAGGATGAGTCTAATGGACACTCGTCTAATGGGGCAATACTAAATCCTTCAAAGCTGATGCAACTGTGTCCCACGCCAACACCGCTTTATCACTGCAGTACTCTGCTCAAAGGAAGCAATATCATAGAATTTGTACAGGATTTAAATAATATGTACTAACAATATCTGATAGAATCCACATAAGCAAGTTTATTTAAACTCATTACACAACTTAATGCAGTTTGAGGATCAAATGTATGTTGTTATTTAGACACACTGTATGTCCAGCTATTTGTGCTAAATGGTACACATAAGCTTTCACTATTAACTTCATGTACTTCTGTAAAAGGTTCACACGAAAACCAGAGAGGCTCCCATACAGGCGTCTTAGTCTAGCACTGGAAACAGAACGTGAGGACTGGGATGGGATGCTCAGGCTCCACGAGCACAGGAGGAACATGATGCCAAGGGACGAGTCTGAGACCTTTTCACATGCTCACAGACGAGACTATCCACTGCGGGTGGAACGGAGTATGGGAGAAAATATGATTCCTGAGGAGGTGCCGCCAGAGCCTGCTGCCAATCACAAGGTCCTACAGCAATAAAACACACCTGTAGATCTATTTATTTACAGTGCTTTCCTCCTGTGAAATCTAACTTCTGGCAAAAAAGGGGTCCATATAAAACAACATGGTACAATCAAGGACTGTTTTCGCACATGTGCAGACTGAGAAATCTGATTACTGAGCTAAAATCCAGCAGATTTCTAGATCGGAGTATGCTGCTTACATGACCATTTGAATAATCAGACAACTGCAGAAATCTGATTATGGTCGGATTATTAAGTGCATGTAAACAAGCTCACTGAAACGTTTACATGCACTTAATAATCCGATAACTGCAGAAAATCAGATTTTGTCAGTAACCCGCTCAATTTGTTAACATGCACTTGAGTAATCAGATAATGGGAAACTCCAAGTCTACATGAGTCAGACAGTATATGTACTTCATAATCTTATAAATGCAGAAAATCTGATTTTGTAAGTAATTTTGTAAGTACATTTACATGTACTCGAGTAATCAGATAATGCGGAAACTCCGGGGCAACATGCGTCAGGCAGTAATCAGATTTCTGCTTTGCAACCAGCCAATAAACTCACAGAAGAAGATGTGACGTAAACGTAACGTAAAACTTCATGAGTGGCTTATTTTTTTAAAACATCGCACCACTTTACCTGAAAATATGAACATACATCATCTAGAAGATGAAGAATATTTAAAGACTTTATTTTGCATTTGGTTTCAGCGCCGCTCCAAAAGTGTTTTGCTGTGTCTCGTGGCAACACTGCTTACTTGTTTCTGTTACAGAAGTCTGTTCTGCACATATACAGACTAAGAAAACCGAAAGAGATCAGAGTAAGAGTTTACATGTACTGACAAATCTGATCACTTAGCTAAAATCCAGCTCTCTTTATCGGATTTCTGGATCGGAGTATGGTGTTTACATGATTATTTGAATAATCAGATAACTGCAGGAATCCGATTATGATCGGATTATTGAGTGCATGAAAACGCACTCAAGGACCTGGAATTCATTCTATGGTCTGAACTATTTTTAAAGACAAATACAAAAACCACTGGAATACCATAAAAATTAAATAAATTATTGTGATTTTTGTAGGTTTAAAGAAATTTGGAGTACTGACGGCAGACAGAGTTTAAGGTGTTATTGGACTAATAAAGACATCTCATTGGAATCTTGTTACATTAACAAAATAAGACTTTTTTTCTTTCTCTTATAGTTCTTGTTCTGTAGTTATGAAGTTTACATATTTTATTAGTGATAATAAATGAATGAATGATGTAATCTTGCTTAAAGCATATAATTGAACAAAAAAAATGATAATGTTTTCCATAACTGATAAAAAAAAACAGTTCTTGGCGTCTTGGTTCTTTGACCCTGTAACCTACTGTATCCTCCTTCATTGAAGTCAGTTCAAGTGCAACGCTATATAAAAGCCTTTTGTCTCTCCTCCTCTCTCTGCTTTCAGAAGCCGCTTATCCTGAGGGTTCCGCAGACGGAGGGCTGCTTCAGCTCTCTGAGCGATATTCTAAAAAGAATCAACTCTCGAAAGAGCGCCAAAGAGCAGCAGAAGAGAGTGGCTAAAACTACAATCAGCAAATCCATGCTGGACCTGAGCGCAGCAGGCACAGCGCAAAACACCAGCGTACGTCTAACCCCCTCGCTTTATTTGCAGAATGGATTTGACTGTAGATCTGACATTGGTGTTACTGTGTTAATGTGTAAAGCACAATTTTTTACAGTATGAATGATTCTGAATGTAATATTTTGCAGTTTTATTGTATGAATGGTTTTGAATACAGTGTTTACAGTATGAATTCTTATGAATGCAATATTTTACAGTACACTATTCTATATGCCATATTTGCCATGTTATGCAGTATGAATTCTGCTGAATGCAGTATTTTACAGTATTAATGATTTTGACTGAGTAATTTACAATGTTAATTCTGCTAAATGCAGTATTTTACAGTATTAATGGTTCTGAATACAATATTTACAGCATGAATTTTTGTGAATGCAACTATTTCCAGTATAAATAGTCTTGAATGTAGTTTTATGGTATGAATGCTTTTAAATACAATATTTACAGTATGAATTCTTATGAACGCAGTATTTATGGTATGAATTCACTGAATGTATTGCTTTACAGTAAGAATGCTTGTGAATGCATTATTTACAAAATGAAAGTTTTATGAAAGCAGCATATTACAGTATGAATGCTTCAAGGCAGTATGTGTTCTTTTGGTTGTTAGATGTCATAAAAGGATGTTCCTACATTAATTATTGGTATGATGTCATGAAATATCCGGTTTATGACAGCCTCTCTCTTTATCTCTGTCTCTCATTCAGTTCTATGAAAGCTTCCCCCTAACTCCAGCCCTAGCGCTCATTAAAAAGCGAAATGATGAAATCAAATCTGGACTCCTGAGGCCCCCGAGGACCTTCCTGCCGTCGCCTAGGCCACGCAGTTCCAGTTTTGCCCTGCAGAGGGAGCCCTGGAGATCTCCTCTCTTCAGAGAGCAGAGGAGTGACGAGGACCAGTGACGTAATTCTCAGGGTGGAAACTCCCAACATAGGGGTTACCTTACCCACAGCGTGATGACCTGACACTGCATTGACATTTACTTCTGTGTTTACATGGCCTTTGAAGTTGCTACGTCATCAAGCCACATTTGACTGACACAGCAAGAAATATTAGTAATTAATCAACGGAGCTAAATGAGATTTTTAATGTCTCATGAATTGAAATGAAGAATTATAATAGTGAAAAAGACATGGACCATAAACATGTCAGGGAATTTGGACTAACTATAATAATAATAATGGGTGAGAAAGAAGAAACAGGTCTAATCAAACTTTAAAATGTCATTTAAAACTGTTAGGCCAATAAGCCTTTATGATGGACTCTTATATGTTAGATTGAGCATCTCATTTGGCTCCAGACTGATTGAGGTGAAAGGAAGAGTTAAACCTTATTATGGAAACTACCAAGAAACTTTTTGTTCTTTTTAAGGAACCAGTTTCACAACACTGCTCTGGAATTTCGAGGGCCCGTTTGACAAAAATGAAACAGTTTAAAAGAATAAAGAAATTTTGCCTCACATTTTATCACAAATTATTTTGATTTTGAAATGTGGGGCAGATGTGCAATGTGCTTAACTGTACTGGGCCTGCTTTCCCAGAAATGTGAGAAGTGATAAGGTCAGTGCAAGATAGCAGGGTAACATTTGGCATTTGACAGCTTACTGGCATCATCTGTAACTATGAAATGGTGCAGCAGACCGATTATCCCGTGATATGAGAAAGGGAACTGAATACCACCAGAAACAGACCACATATAAGAGCGAATGCATGCTCAAACGCATGGAGGTACAATCATATTCTAGATGCTTGGAAATTCCACATTTGGCACAGCTGACTGTTAAAAACCTCAGCAATGCTGATGTACCAGACTCACCTGAACTACCACAACATGTGCTACTATGCCACAACCATGTTATTACGTTGCTGTGCTGAGAATGATCTGCCACCCTAATCAATCAATGGTGAAGCCATGCTGCTGTGGCAAAATGGACCACCCAGTCAATAACCTGTACCTATATGGTAAGCGTTTCTGATAAATTGGCCAGTGATTGTATATACAAGCTTATAACTAATAACTCACAGGTATGTAATACGAACCTTTCACTTTTATGCCGCTTGCCTGGACCACCGATCGTACCGGTGAAGTAAGAACCCAGTTCTATTTAAACTTAGGCCCAGTCCCATTTCTTATTTTTACCCCTACCCCTTGTTTTTGAGTGTCATCTTTCCCCTTAGAACTGAGTTACAAGAGTTAGTGGTTGAAATCTTCCCTATGAAATGGGACCCTCAAATAAAGAAGAGCATTACTTCATTAACGGCTACTAGCGCTGCTCTGTAGGCGACCCTGCCAGTCTGCAGTGACAGCAGAGGAGGGTAAAGTTCGGCTCCTCACTGCTGGGCTTTAGATACATTTAGGGCATCATATGCCTTCAAAAAGGGGGGATGGACAACTATCACCCATCTCTAATTCTTTAGTGATATGAAGCTGAAGTCAGCTATTCACCAGCTTCTTGTTAGAATTTTCCCGTTCCACCGTTTGAGGTGGAACAAAAAATTTGAGCTGGCTAGCTACCATGACAACAGCATAATGGTAGTGATTTTTATGCTTGTTATGAAGAAAAGGACCATAATACACTAAAACGACATTAACATAACAGAAAGTTTATTGTAATTTTTAACAGAAAATTCCCACATTTGTGGGTTTCTTCGGTCTCTTGCGCAGCCATCTTGCCATTTCTTCTTTTTTTCTCATATCACTCAGTTTGGAGTGGGTCTCCGAAAAACCTCCATCTGTAGGCCCATGTAGCCCCAAAACTTCGCCCTAGAGCTCTATCTCAACCAAAACCAGGACACCCTAACCCCTAGGAGTGAACACGAAAAACGGAGGGGTAAGGGCTAAGTGGCGAGGGGTGAAATGGGATTGGGCCTAAGAGGCTGTTAACTTATTACGAACTAGAACTAGGCTGATCAGCTAGCTGACAGGCTGAAAGATAGCTAAAAAGGCTTCTCCATTGATTTTACAAACTTTAAATGAAAGTTCTTACTATATGGTTCATTGTAAAACTGCAATATAAATGAGTAAAGAATGTGTCACTTTAATGTCTTACACACTTCAAATGTGTGTTTTACTCAGATCTGCTTTAAATAACATTAAACCCTGGCCAGTCTCAAACAGCTGCAACCTCCTATTTTGCTAGGCAAGTTGAGAAAATCTGGTTTCTACACCTAAGATGTTCATTATGTGTCCAGTTTGGAATTGTGTTCACCTGCCTGAACACCACACTGATGTATGTTAGACACATTATACACTCTTTGAGTGCAGGAGCCAGTATTTAAACCCTACGTAGTGCATTACGCAGAGATTTGAGATTCAGCCCCTGCATGTGGAAAGGGAGGCACTACACCATTAGCTTGTCGGTAAATAAGCTCATATAAAGTACTTATAAAGCGTATGCTTTTGCATTAAACACTGTACATTATTATATGACAAAAAATTAAAATGTTCATGAAATGACTGCACTGACTGTAAGTTCTTGTCCTCATATTTTATGTTGTCTGCCATTTAGTAATAAGGGTAAGAGGGGTTTGTGCTGTAGAAACGGCATATGGCAGAGCTGTAGCACCAAATTTTGGGCCCTCCCACCTCCACGCAAGACATTAAACGTAAAGGAAAAACAATCTATTTTTTATGCTGGGTTTCTTTATGAAGTTGGTTGTACAGCTGACAATCAACAATGTAATGTGCTGTGGCTCATCAGTCTTTCTGAGAGTTAGACTTAAACTTGGTCTCTATTCAAAACAATCAATGTAATTAGATAGAAACCCAAATGAGACCCCCCCCCAAAGAAAAACATATATAAATATATTAACTGTCATTTTCAATGAATCTGCTCAACAAAGGTTTGCTTGGAAGCTACATATTGGCTACCTACTTTGGTGAGCTCACCTTGCCTCATGTCTTCAGCTGCCTCAGTTAAGGTGGAGGTGCTGCTCTCTCTCCCTCAGTGACTGCGGCTGCTTCTGGAAATAACAGTGTGTGTTTTACAGGTTAGCTGCTGCTGGGCGAAGGTAACTTCATTGGGTTGCGATTGCAGAAATTTGCTATTTGCTATTTTAAAAAGTATTTACTTGAAGCACTAAATCTAATTCTGTGCTTATTTATCAATGTGGGTTTGTTACAAAAGACTGCTAATGTAGCTAATCATTGATTTACATACCCAAATGCGAATTTGTCTGTTGTTCTCTACGTGAGGCGATACGTCTGCGCGTCCGCCATATTGGTTCGGTCAGGATCCGCTTGTGAACAAATTCACTTGTATTGAAAGACGAAGAGTCTCAGGATTAAATCAGCCACAACTTCCTTATTACTCAACCGATTTTCACCACATTTGTTTAGTTAAGATCCTCAGGCATACATTAATCTAGGCTGCACGGGCTGCTTTCAGTAGCTTTTATTACTTTAATAACTAATCGTACTAATAGCCGTCCAGACTAGCAGGAAAGTATTCAGTCTGCACCAAAATCGAGATTAGCGCGAGAAACACAAACAAACACATCAGCAAATCCATCAATGTGTGAGTCGCGTCTAATCTTAATACACATCAAAATAAAATAAACCCCACAAAACACACTAAGAAGGCCGAAGCTGAATGGCTTCCTATTCGCTTCTTCGAGTTTTCCCGTTTCACCTTAAATTTCTGGTGCCTGAAGCTGCAGCATTTAAGGTGAAACGGGAAAATTCGAACAAGAAGCTGGCTAATAAGAAGCTGACTTCAGGGTCGTGTAAGAAGGTGCTAACGTTAATCTATTAATATGTACAAGGATTAAGGAATGCTATAATTTACCTACAAAGCAATAACCATGATTGTAAATGAATAACTACTACATAAAGTTAAGATCACCTGAATAGACTATTAAATGTAATTAGCTTAATATAAAACCAGAGGGAAAACAATCACATCAACAGGTTCTCTGTGCCTCATTAACCACACGACCATATCTACACATAAACACCACACAAACAATACGCATCCCACAAACGTGAGCGTGGATCACTGCGTTCCCTCCGTTATATAATCCTATCCTTTCTGGGTGTAGTATTCTTTAAATAGTGTAATTTTGGACAGTATATTACCTAAACTGCCGCTCTGTAATGGTACTGAATGCAGCCCAGCAGCGATTTTGCCCGCCCTAAAATGGCGGCGCCGTTGACGTGCCTAACTGGACCCAATGTGGCATCTAGGTATGTATATATGTAGCTAATCTAGCTAACTTTAGCTCGAGTTACTACTACATGTTTACTGTTCAGCACTTTTGGCACACCTGTTTTCTAAAAGAAGCGGGTCAGAATTTTCCTGCCCTTTCTTGCTTCCTCTCTCTGTCTCTCTCTGCTCCTTTCGTTTACAAAATCCTGATTTCGGTTTCAATTCAATCAGGCCAAAAAACGTCAAGAGCCGCTGGCTACCATCTACTGCCCACAACGTATCTATATCACTAATAGATGTGCGGCCAGGGGACCAAACCACTTTTTTTTAAGGGGGTGGGGGGTAACAGGGGGAAGATACATGGAACTTAAAAGCTTAACATGGAAAATTATTTTTATTATTATTATTTATTAGTGTAACAACATAGATTAAAAGTAGAAACCAAAATAAATTTATTTCTGAGGCTTTTGGGAGGGCCCCCTATTCCAGGTAGGCCCTGGTTAGTCAGGTCCGACGCCCCTGCCCCTGCCCCCTTTCACCTCTACTGTAAAGAAATGAGTCGTTTCTCCACAAAGAATCATTTCACATCAAACCACACCAGTGGGAGGGCAGGGTGCTGCAGCACCCCCTGATTTGAGCATTGCAACTGCTAAAAATAATAATATTAATTGAACGTTCTGAACATTACAGTAATTTGGCTGTAGAATAGAGCCCTGCGTGCTTGTTTTAGAGTGGATTTTGTCTTTTTATATGGTAAAAATCTGCAGTAGCTGCACTGTTTAAGTGAATGCCGTATTTTCAATACAGTGAGCTGAAAACTGCTGGCAGCTTGTGGGGGCGCATCGCTCATGCCGGCTGAGCTCCAAAGGAAGAAAGTCTGTGCAGAGATCAGTTCTGAACCCCGAAGTGGCCTAATATTGTTTTTTAAGCTTTAAAAAGCCACCTAACAAAATAATAAAGCTGTTTTTGTCCAGCTCAGTGTGTGTTTGAGTGAGTTTGTTTACATGCACTTAATAAGCCGACCATAATCGGATTTCTGCAGTTATCTGATTATTCAAATGGTCATGTAAACAGCACACTCTGATTTCTTAGATCGGAGTAAGGTCTTGAAATCTGATTAAGAAATCTGATAAAGAGAGCTGGATTTCAGCCCAGTAATCAGATTTCTCAGTGCATGTCAACTCTTACTCTGATTTCTTTCAGATTTCTCAGTATGTGCGAAAACAGACCACGGTACTGGAAATAAACAAACAGCGTTTAACACAGCACACAGACGGCAACGAAACACTTTCATAGTGATGCTAAAACCAACTTGACAAAATAAAGAATTTAATTTTTTTCATCTTCTAGATGATGTATGTTCATAATTTAAGGTAAAGTGGTTCGACATTTTAAACAAAAGCCACCACACAAAGTTTGAGTTTTATGTCACGTTTACGTCATGTCTTCTTCTGTGAGTTTATTGGCTGGTTGCAAAGCAGAAATCTGATTACTGTCTGACTCATGTAGACCCGGACTTTCCCCATTATTTGATTACTCAAGTGCATGTAAACATATTGATCAGATTACTAAAATCTGATTTTCTACAGTTAGAAAATTATTAAGTGCATATAAATGCACCCAGTTGTTAAATCTCAGCATGTGTCTGTTCGTGTGACACAACAGGTTACCACGCCACTTATCAACAATCTGATTGGTCGCCACTCAGCTAATTTAAAGTTTGCCCAGAACTGTAAAGCATATAGAGTGCTGATGTGCACCAGTGGTTTGATGTGTCAGTTATCTGTATATATCATCCTCTCTCGCTGAACACAGCAGTATATGACATGCTCAGATGTATAGAAATTAGCAAAACAAAACCAAAAGAATCAAATGAAAAACGACAAGTCATGTTGAATGACATCATTGGCTACATCACACTACGTCAGCACCCCCAACTTAAAGCCCCCTCCCACGTCCACGTTTATGTTTCAGTGACTGAATTTTTCAGAAATGTTGACAAATCGGTTTTATTCTTTGAGAGGTTAAATTATACATAGTATTTATAAAAGTGGAAGAAATATAAACTCTCAGAGCTGCTACCGTCTTCACTTCTGGCACTTTAAGATGGTCCAGATTGGGTTTATACAAACTTTCACTTTCCCTTACAGGCTTTCACTTCCCCTTATTCAAGCTATTTGAGCGATACGACTTCTAACTGTAGTGTCCTTTGGCTTAATTTCTCCTCATTGTCTTCACAGCAAGAATTTATTATGTATTTAGCCTTGTTTACTCTGTGAAAATTCCCTATGAGGTAGCCTATGTGTTAAGGGATTGCCCAAAGTCCAGCCAGTGTCTTAATTTATGAGAAGAGCACACACACACACACACACACACACACAAACATGCAAAGTTTACACCACAGGACATTTTTACAGTGACTCATCACTTGTTCTCAGCACGTGTATGTTCGTATTTGCTTGTTCGACTGTGTGGGCTGTTAGACTAAGGGGTTTGAGTGGTGTGAGGGGGTGTTAACAGTGGGTGCATCACTGTGACGTTTGGGGAACTTAGTCGAGGTCAGATGTGGCGATTCTTATTCTCACTCACAGGGCACTCAGTCTACACACGGCTTGAGGAGCAGCTTCACTTTAATTGCTTCACTGAGCTTAAAGTCTTGAGACATGTGGACTCTTGTTGCTTTGCTGCTGGTGCTGCCTCTGTCACTGGGACATAAGGTGGAATCTGGATGTGAGGACTGGAGTCCTAAGGACGGGCCTGGTAACAATGTATGCTGCAACAGATGTAAACCAGGTACGTTCCAGACCAGTTAGCTGATCCTGCTTTACAGAGCTATTCAATTTATAAGGGAAAATAAAAACAAACATTTGAGTTAAACAGAGATTCACTCAGACAAACAATTTCTCAAATAGGAGTGAATGAGAAACTTGTACTGAAACCTGTACTAAAGTTAAATTCGACATTAAGAATATGAAGAGTTTTACTCCAAAATTCTGTGGATCTATTTGTAATAATTTTGGATGTAACTTGGTATAACAAGAATAACAACTGAGGTCTAAAAGAAAATTCATTTTTATTTCTCTAATAAAGGTGGTATTAACCATAATATAGCATTAATTTTTATTAGGTGTTTTGGAATGAAACCACCTTATATATCACTTATTGTTCTTGTAATCCAGTCGGTATTGTTTACCATCTCTATTGTTGCTAGTGTTTACATTTTATGCCACAGTTTGTATAGATAGACAAATAGACATACATACATACATACATATATATATAGATAGATAGATAGATAGATAGATGCTATATTATGCTCATTATTACATGACTAAAAGTTAAAACATTCAACAGTAACATACTGTAAAGAAACTACAGTTAGATTGACAGAAACAGACAGCCAGACACATAGATAGATAGATAGATAGATAGATAGATAGACAGACAGACAGACAGATAGATAGATAGATAGATAGATAGATAGATAGATAGATAGATAGATAGATAAAGAGACAGATTGACAGACAGATAGAAAGTGAGGCAGAGAGATACACAGACCAACAGTCCAAAAAACGGACAGAGATAGATAGACAGACCGACCAACAGACAGATCAGTAGATAGACAGACAGAGAAAGAGACAGATAGACAGACAGATAGAAAGCAAGAGAGATACAGACAGAAAACAAACTGCCAAACAGAAAAAAGGCAGACAGACAGACAGACAGACAGACAGATAGATAGATAGATAGATAAAAGGAGACAGACAGACAGATAGAAAGAGAGATAAGCAGACAGACACACACAGATAGAAGGACAGACAGACAGACAGACAGAGATGAAGAGCAGATGTACAGTAAGCACTGCTGTTATGGCCGTACAGCCTGAGCTGGCGTCTGAGGGGGCAGCTGTCTGATACTGATGAGCTACTCTTTCCTCTCACCACATCCTGAACGTAGACACAGTGTGACAAAGCAGAAAAGTGAGTTTCATAACAGCCACATCAGACAGCCGGACTGATCCAGCGGCTCTGTGGACCTGAGCTGCTGAGCTGGATCAGGGCTGCCGGGGCAGGAATGAACGGAGGGGGTCCGCATGAGTAGAGCTGAGAAACACTGATCTGCAGGCCTGCACACACGGCTCTGCAGCAGAGCGGTAGCTGATGATGGGGTGTGTGTATGTGTGTGTGTGTGTGTGTATCTGCTGCAGGAAACCGGTTGGTGAATAGCTGTGGTGAGAAGCCTGAGACTCTGTGTCAAGTGTGTGAAAACGGGACATACGTCACTGACGGCAAGCAAAAACTGTGCCAAAAATGTCAACAGTGCAAAGGTACCTCACATGAGAACAACTCTCTCTCTCTCTCTCTCTCGCTCTCTCGCTCTCTCTCTCTCTCACTCTCTCTCTCTTTTCAGCAGAGTTCACTTATTATTATCACTCTACTTACACCACCGTTCAAAAACAGATATGTTGAACAGAGCGGCAGACGATATTGAGGGTTGAGGACCTGACAGAAAACTGAACAGATAATTACAGTTTGTCACTCATTTCAGGATTTCGGTGACACTTTATTTTGAGTGGTACTTTTAGATGAAACAAACACTCAACAGACTCTCAGTAACAAGTCAAAAACATATGAGGATTAGGATTAGGGCGCAGGATTAGGTTTTGGGCTAAATTTAAGATTAGGGTTAGGATTAGGGCCAGGATTAGGATTATGTTTTGGGTTGAGGTTAAGGTTAGGATTAGGATTAGGGCCAGAGATAGGATTAGGTTTTGGGTTGAGGTTAAGGTTACGATTAGGATTAGGGCCAGAGATAGGATTAGGTTTTGGGTTGAGGTTAAGGTTACGATTAGGATTAGGGCCAGAGATAGGATTAGGTTTTAGGTTGAGGTTAAGGTTACGATTAGGGCCAGAGATGGATTAGGTTTTGGGTTGAGGTTAAGGTTAGGATTAGGATTAGGGCCAGAGATAGGATTAGGTTTTAGGTTGAGGTTAAGGTCACTGTTAGAGTTAGGGCCAGGATTAGGATTAGGTTTTGGTTGAGGCTAAGGTTAGGGTTAGGATTTGGGCCAGGGTTAGGATTGGGATTAAGTTTTAGGTTGAGGTTAAGGTTAGGGTTAGGATTATAAAAGTATCTTTATAAGAGAACAAAATATTCTTCACTTGTAATGGAGAATAATGCAGTATCACAAGGCAAAGGGTAACTGGAGTTTTCAAATTATGCAACCAAAAAAAGAAAAATGACAAAAAAAATTGAGTTTTACACAACAGCAACAACATAGAAAAACACAAATGATTAAAAATGGCAAACTTTTGAACAGTGGTGTAGGCGAAATTGCTGCCTTTCACCTGCTGTGTTCAATGAGCTCACGTTGGTGCTCATCTGGTGTTTGGTCTTTGTAGTGGGCCCAATGAGAGTGAAGCACCCCTGCACAGCCAGTTCAGATACGGTGTGTGAGTGTGAGGAGGGATTCCTCTGTGGAGACGATCAGTGCTCCTTCTGCATCAAAAAGTGTGGCAAAGGAGAGCAGCCTGCGAACAGAGGTGAGTGACGAGCTACGATGTAGAGCTGCGAATTTGGTTAATGATTTTCTGTCCCATGGGAGTCACTTATGTTATCAGCTCTAGATTGACTGCAAGACATCTTTCAGTCTTTCGCATCAACATCAGAGGCTGAACCCACCATCACTTTTGCAGACAGCAAAGATTATTGTAAGCAAAACCATCATATTAGCACTGATTTAGGACAGATATTCAACCAATTGGGTTGTAGGGCCTGAATTACATATTGTTTGGCCAATAAAAGGAGGCAACATGGGAAATCCTGCTGATAAAGCACCGATAATGTCTCTTTAAATGTCAGGTCAACCGATATGAACATTTTGTCACCAGTAAAATCAGAGATACCAATTTGAAGGAGCTTTTAGTTAAACGGTGCTTTAGAGACAGGCAGTTTTCATTGGTCAAATAAAACCAATAATCAAATTTAATCTGTAAAATAAGAAAACATTTATCTGAATAACTATCAGCTTCCTAAATGGTTAACTGAAAGCTCCTTCAGACTGGTATCGCTGATTTTATCAACAAAATGTTCATATTGCTCGAGCTCTAATTTCTACATGTTTTCTTTTAGGCCCTGAAGGAAAAGTGCTTCCTTCACTGTACACTGTATATGTTTGGAATGACAAAGTTGTTCTTAATCTTGACATTGATCTCTCTGTAAATGTATCAGACTGTCAGGCATGCCCCGAAGGAACATTCAACGACAAGATTCATCACTCGTGTGTGAACTGGAGCAGCAGGTAAGATACGCCGCTAGCAAAGCCTTGCTTTGCTTTTGAAATTATACACTGTATATATGCTTGAAATTCAATAGGGGTTATTGCGATATTGGCTTTTGAAATACAAATATCGCAGGTTGCAATATGCAAAGGAGCCCTATTATATCTTGAACAACATCAGAGGCCCCAGATGAGTTGTTGTCTGGATGTCTGGAAGAATCAAGGCACTCATGTCATTAAATAAGCGTAAATAATTTTGGTCAAAGTAATCTATCAAGCTCATCTATCAAGGGGAGCAGTTCTAGATTCAAGAGACAGACTAACAATTCAAAAGATCTCCTCATTCAGCATGTTTTGATGTCAAATGGTGCATTTTAGAAACGTACTGTCAGTGGTGGAGATGGGAACCAGAAGTTGTGATTTCTATAACACAGATAAAGACATTTTGTGTACTATCCAGAGAACCAGTGGACTTACATGTGTCCTCTGAGTTTTCATATGTAATAATGAAAATGGTAAAATAGTCATATATCATTTTTTTTTTTACATTTTAGGCCAAACCTTTATCTCAAAACTATTGTAAAACAGTAAAACAAGCTTCAGGCAGTGCATGCGTTACCATTCAATATTAGTTATTATGTAATAACTTCATCTGTTATAGCTTTTATTGGTGTTGAACGCTTTGGAGTCTGGTTCCTATCACCACCACTGTGAGCAGTTGCTAAGTTTCTCTATAAAAACACATTTCACATTAAACCACTCTTACTCTTACGTTTTAATGACTGCATTACGCAGATATTAGGAAAAATCACTGGAAGTCGCTTAAACCTCATAACATGAAAGTGTTTTTAATATATTGCTCTCCACTTTTATTAGATGCCCATTGCCAGACCAGAAGATCATAGCCAAAGGCACGGCTTTCAGTGACATCATCTGTGGCCCAGAGGATGACCATAAACCCACTATGCCATTTCCAGATGGTGAACCCACGAAGAGCCCACCAGAAAGCAAGGATGACTGTAAGCAAGACAGTCATACTCGGCTGACCTCTCTCTGGGAGAGTTCTACACCATAAGACGGCCTACTAGCTATTCAGTTTCAGTGTGGACGTGCAATCGTTTTGAGTTTTTGTTTGAGTGCATGTTTGAGATTACATACATTATTAATGCTGTTTTTTATGTCTGTAGCTCCGTGGACGATGCTGGCCATAGCCATCGCTTGTGCCTTTCTGATTATGGGTACAGCAGTGCCACTGTGCATAGCTGTTATCTGCAAAAGTGGAGAGATGCTGAAAACAGCTCCTGGGTCTGAGGAAGCTCCAGAGGGTAAGAGTCCATATACTGTAAATAAGACAATTTATGGAGTACACTGCTTGTTAGTTTGCAATAACAAATACAAGGGGAATTCCACCAATTTTTTTCAGAATTTCAGCATAATTCAAAATGTAAACAGATGTAAAGAGATTGAGATGTAAACAGTCAAATGTAAACAGATTAAGATGTAAACAGTCATTCAAACAACAGGTATTGGGTCCGATTGGGCGGGGGTCTTTGCTCCACTTCATTTACGTATTAATGCCACATGCACAGGCTCACAATGAAGGTCTTGCTTGATGTCTCAAATGCAAAACCAACATTATACGGATGAATATATGATGACAATAGTGATAATTCACTCACATCCTCGGAAGACACATCCTTCACCAAGTTTTGACTGAGTTCTCTTTGAACATTTTCACTGCGCTTACAATCATCAGATTCATCTGCTTGGGGAAGGGGTCTGAAGCACAACCCATGTTATAAAATGTTGCTTTGTGCAATTACACATTTTCACCAGAGAGGTCTCTAAATCCCTAAGACTTACATTGTGCAGCTTACTGTCCAGAATTACTCTCCAAATGACCAGTGATCCTACAATTGTCTCCTGAGTTTATATATGTGATGCTGATAATGGTACAATAGAGATAAATCTAAAACAAAAATGGTTACTATTTTGCCTTAGAACACCCAGCATGCACCTCTCTGACATGAATGGATTTCGGAAATTACATTTAAGGCCAAAATCTGATCTCAAAGCTACTTTACAGAAGTGTCTCATTGCCTGGTATGAGGCAGTATATTCATAACAATTTCATGTAATAACTTCTCTGTGTAACAACGTCTCTGTGAGGAGATTTTAGAGGCATTTAACTCCTCAGACGCCTGGTTCCTATCACCACAGTGTAAACAATTCTGATACAGTCATTTTCTCTAGAACAGGTCTTTCACATCAAACCACTCTGAATGATGTCTTTACGTCTTAATCATGTATGGGGCAGACTTTAAAAAAAATAAATTGGTGGAATTCCCCTTTACAGGCCAAACAGGTTTATTTTAAGGAACACAATATCAGATTTATGACATATCAAAATTCATGACATTGGGAATAATGGCAGAGTCCATGCATTTTATCTCCCTGTTGTGATGTCAGCATGCAAACCTTTCAGGTGTGTAAACCATCTTTGGACCAAAAGAGTATAAATGTATGTTTTGAAGAAAAGTAAATTGTCACTATTTAGGCAAAACTTGCTCTTCATACTAAGGAATATAATTGATGAACATAAAGCTGAGTGTTGAAAAGAAACACACCCAAATTATTATAAAATGGCTCTTACATGTTCACATGAATTAAGATTTCAAAGGAAGGCAGTGTCACCAAACTTTTGCAGTCTAAGCGATTTATTGTAAAAGTACAAAAAATAATGTAGGTGATCTGATGTGAAACTTAACCTTGTCAAGTTGTAAATGCAGGGATGGATGCAAACTGTAATACTTATCTTGAAATATCTTTAGATGATTTAATAGATCCTGTAATACAATAATTAAACATGACTCTATTGCACGTGTGTGTGTTGAGCAGGTCGGAAGCTGACCCCTGAGCTGGAGCAGTGCAGCTTCTGTTTTCCGCAGGAGGAGCACGGCAGCAGCAGTGAAGTGTCGCTGGTGTCTGATGATAAACCCTTTGAGCTGGTCGTATAGTACTGTGCGCTTTTGAGGAACAGGCTTTCTGTAACACATCTGTTTGTGTTGTGTTTGGCACATAAAGTAACATTTGAATGCTAGTTTACTCCATGATGTATTGTTCCTCTAGGATAGTGTCCCAATGCTGGTACTGAAGCCCCTCTGCACTGCACATTATAGTGTCTCCCTGCCAGAGTTGGCCTGTGGGTCCTCAAAGTAGAATCTACCAACATGATTTTAGCCCAACCCAGCAAAATCCTTCTCAACAAATTCTGTCTTATTGCTCAAACAGAGTGCATTAATGTTATAATATGCATTATATATAAGGAATACTGCAGCACAATTTAGAAAAAAGGGGCAGATAAACTTGCTAACTGAATCAACGCTGAGTTAGCAACTAGCTAGACTAGATTAGCAACCTGCTATCTACCTAGAGAAGTTAAAACAACATTGCATCTTAACCAAAAATTCCAAGCCCTGTAGCAACAATAAGGTTGCAAAAACCTATCATTGTGTTGTATATAAATAAACGATCGAGTGCGTTTACATGCACTCAATAATCCGATCATAATCGGATTTCTGCAGTTACCTGATTATTCAAATGGTCATGTAAACACCATACTCCGATCTAGAAATCCGATTCAGTAATCAGATTTCTCAGTGCATGTAAACTCTTACTCAGATTTCTTTCGGTTTTCTCAGTCTGCGCTTGTGTGAAACAGACGGTGGTACTAGACATAGGAAAGCAGTGTTGCTGCGAGAAAAATTAAAAAAAGGATTTAAATATTCTTCATCTTCTAGATGATGTATGTTCATAGTTTCTTCATAGTTTCAGGTAAAGTGGCGCAATATTTTAAAAAATACGCGGGACAAAGTTTTACATTATGTTTACGTCACGTCTTCTTCTGCGAGTTTATTGGCTGGTTGCAAAGCAGAAATCTGATTACTGTCGGACTCATGTAGACCTGGAGTTTTCTCACTATCTGATTACTCAAATGCATGCAAACATGTTGATCGGATTACTGACAAAATCTGATTTTCTGCAGTTATCAGATTAGTAAGTGCATGCAAACACACTCATTGTTGTCCACCCTCATTTTCAAATTGTCTTAAAAGTGTAGCTAAACGTAGCTAAAAGTAAGTAGCTTAAGTTCACAAGAGGTTAGCAAGCTAGCAAGCACCAAGTACCTTCCTAGCACACTGTAAGATTAAGAGCAAAGTGTACATTTTATTCTGGCTTTATTAAATTAGCTCACATTCACTAGCGTGACTAGTGGTTATTTAGTTAGCCAAGTAAAGCTAACTTAACTACCATAATAAAACTGACTGGCTACCTAGACAGCATTAACAACAAAATTCAGGTCAATCTGAATGTAGCCCGTCTGCTTTGAGCTTGTTTTCTTCTTCTCTTCATATCAGTCAATATATAAAACACATCGTCAGCGAAAAAAGTGTCAGTGAGTGGGGAAAAAAACGTCAGTGAGTGGGAACAAAAAGCGCTACACAACGGCCCCCTCAGCATGTCAGGGACCTACAGGACCACCTACATCTTCATGGACATGTAATATCATGAAAAGCTTAGTAATGAGCTGATGAGTGATGAAAAAAATGGAAAAACATAAAAATGTGCAGTGCCAGGGAATTCAACGACCAGGATTGGAAAGCGCTTCTCTAAGATAAGCTTGTCTTTGCTAAGCTATCTGTGTTTTTAAGAGATGTTTTTTTGTAATATTTATATTTCACACCTGGACCTGTTGGTTGAATTTTGTCAATCTGCTTGATACAGTAGTATTTATTTGCATCTACAGAACTTCAATGTATGTTACATTGTTTTTATGTACATTACAACTTTACCACATTAAAATCAATGTCTGATGTATTGTTCGGTGTCATGCATTATATCCTGCTATAATACGTCAATGATCTCTCAGTGATTATACCGAAAGTAGCCGGGTTAAAGCAACATTTTCACCAAAACAATATATTTACACATTTCTTTTTTTTCCTCATTATAAGAGTAATTAACCAGCCATGTTCGGTGTGCTCTGGAGCTACAAGGCTAATGTAGCTAACAATAATAATTCTATTACTTGTTAGCTACATTAACCCTGTAACCACACAAACTACAGAAACAAACATCAGACACCAAATATGTTTTGGCTGACTGACTATGTTTGGGCTAAAGGGGGAAACTGTACATATGATGTTTGATTGATGTGTCACTTTAAAGTGGGAGGAGTAATGATGTAAAGTAGAGTAAAGTACCAGTGTGTGGGGGGTGGGGTGGGGGGGTGTGGGGAGAGACTGTAGGCAGAGAGACGTAACTCTGACACAACTCTGTGAAACGCCTAAACATTACAACATCACAAGAATTTCCCTGCATACAAATTAGGAACTACTGAATTCCCAGCACACGTTAAGCTAAGCATATTCCCATCAACACACACACAGGGTCTTTCACCAGTGTCACACTTTTTATTTGAAGGCTGAAGAAAAAAAACACTATACAGAACATCTACTCATCCATCTAAAGTGGATTTTTTCAATATTTTTTTATTCAAATTTAATTTTATAACTCTTTGAAATCTGTAAGTAAGTAGTGTTTTGTGAGTGATCATTTAAAAAGATTATAGAGGTTCATTGCACGAGCGTATTCAGACTCAGGGACTAACCATATAAGCTGCCAATACGACTTACTGGACATGAGAATACAAATGCACACGCTGTATACGCTAGAAGCAATGCTGTCTTTCCCTCAGGCCAACACAGACACCAGTTTGATTTGTCGGCCAGTCTCGGTGCATGAATCTAATGAGAACGTCATTAGTTACCAGTTTAATATTGTTTCACCCTAAATTAAACTGCTTATTCGTCTAAATTGAAAAGCGAATATCACTCAGCACCCTGCTTTCATTTCTATGGCACTGTGAGCTCACACTCAGGCTTGGGAAGTGAAAAGGCAATGAGGAACTTCAGAAAACACTGATTCAGCGAAAATACTCGAGAGAATATTCAAGTTACTGTTGCTTGCAGTTCTCACGTTTCTCTTTGGCTTTGGGTCGCCCTGGTTTGTCACTGTGGCGTCTGGTGGGTGGGACGAAGTTGGGCTCTGGCAGGTAATCGTAGAAAATACTGTGAGGGGTGCGGGGAGCCAGGCATATATCTACGGAGACAGAGAAGTGTTAATCAATGATAAAAGTCCTTTTATATAGCAGATAAGATAGTGACAGTTATCAAAATCAAGTGTTTTTTTCCATATTTATACTGTATGTTTCAGATAACCTCAATAAAGTGATCATACTGCTCTGTTCTGTTCAATCTGATATTACAAAAGCTTCAACTTTGAACAATTATTACTTCAGTATAACAGGTCACCTTTTCTGTTGACCGTTAAGACAGTTTTGTATATTGAATGTTAAATGCCCAGTGAAAGTGATGTCCTCAAAATGTAGATTATTATTTATACAGTACTCTGCCAAAAAAAAATCACCCTTCATTTCTTTCATTTCTAGTCAAAGCAGCCATTAAGTACAAGATATTCATTTTTCAACATCAGGAAAAAAGACAAGAAACTCAATAATAATATCAGATTGCTTGTTTTTTAGTGTGTCCACCCTTTGACTTTGTTACAGTTTCCATTCTTTCTGGGAGACTTGCTTTCTACAGGGATATTTTTTTCAACCCTCCAAAGGTCAGTGTGCTTCTCACTCACCTAAAAAGCAGACTGATCTTTGGACGTGTCTATTTCTCAGTGAGGCTTCTTGACAGCCACACATCCTTTCAGACCCATAGTGCTGAGTTGTCTTCTTAACACGTGTGTGGTGTTGATGTGTTTGTCACTCAGTGGTCTGGTGACCCAGCACATTGTTGTTTTTTAAATTAGTACAGCCATAACAATTTATGTAAAAATACCAGATGTTTAAAATATCACAAGTGTCCAGCGTAGGGTTCTCCTTTAGCAGCTGAAGCCAGTCAGCAGCTTGTCCATGTTGTCCACACTCACACACACACACACATACAAATACATACACACAGACACACTAACAGCAGGCCATGTAGGAGGAGAACAGAGTGAAGGACACAGCACCTCCACACTTTTACTCCCCACAGGTTCATCCAACACCACGTGTGTAATATAAACGTGTGGGGGGTGAACAGAGTGAAGACACTGAAAATGGGTTATTTTATATGTTCTTCACAGAAAATGAGCAAAGAACAAGAATCTGAGGTTGAAATAATAATAAATTAAATCATTTTCTCTTTTGGTAAACACTGAAAACGGGCCCCAAAGACCCCAACACCACACAAGGGTTAAGTGCTGTTTATCTAATGGGGGCAGTTGCGGTGTCTATCAGGTCTTGCACAGTTGTGCGGAGTCCCACTTTCTCTGTATGTTTTAATAATTTCAAAATCGAAAACGGCAGTTTTGGAAATTGTTCCTTTTTTTCCTCACATCTTTTCCTTTGATTTATTTTACATCTAATATCTTCAGAAATATCCCTTGAAATGAATAAGAAGTATTTATCTGTTCTATCTTAATTATAAATAATTTAACACTTTTGCATATTAAGCCAGCCTTTTGTTTTCTTCAGGGTTCAAAACACTATTAAAACTTAACGTTGATTAATCAAATGATATGGGAAATTATGAAGATTCTGTAAGAGATTATTTCTGGCATATTGCCCTATATTTTTTTTGTATGCTGTGTAACTACCTGATGACGGACTCCTGGACATCTGGCTGTCTCTCTTTCTGGCTGTGAATGTTGGGTCCAGCTCCTCTGCAATGTTATGGACAGGCTGTGTTCGTCTGTAAAGAAAAGGGAAAGTTGAAAAATGTCTGTGCTGATGGTGTAAAAGAGCGTGTGTGTGTGTGTGTGTAAGTGTGTGTGACTAACAGAGTAGTGCAGGCTGGGCTTAGTGGATGCTGCTCGAGTGTGTGGTCCTCTTCCACAGGTGAGTGAAGACCCTCAGAGTTCAGCCTTTCTCTTGGCATCTGCAGAGGCTCCACCTGCACACAGTGCAACACTCACAAACCATTCACAGACTACTGCCTCACTGCTGGATTAGTGGAGATCTGACCAGCTGAACTGAAAGGAAGAAGGAATAAACTCAAAATGAAATAGTCAAGTTGATGTTATTAAATTAAACTGATCTATCTATCTATCTATACTATACTATACAATACATCTATCTATCCATCCATCCATCCATCCTTCGATCCATCCTTCGATCCATCCATCCATCCATGTAGACATACTGTTCAATAATCTTATGCTACTGCAGCGCACCAGTTTCCATTTGGAGACCACTAAGGAGATTGTACCTGCCACATCCTGTTTTCAATAATTATTTTATATTATTTTTAACATCTTTAGTTCCAAATTGCTACTCCTTTGTCACTGTCTGGCCTACTCACCCTTCATCTTAGTCTGTTCAACAGTTCATAGACATTAGTGAATAATAAACCACAAGATTACTGATATTTGATCAGTATATAAGCAAATTATCACAGATGAATTACAACTGAAACTGAAATTTTTACATGATAATGGAAATTTTGTACATTTCAATGAAACGGTCACCCAAACCAGGGGGATTTCAGTGCAAAGCACAAGTCAGCTACACGTCTGGGAAAAGAAGTGGGGTGATTTCCACTAAATTTGTTAGTCAAATGTCTCATATTTGATTCTATCATCAAAGCAAGAAGACAAATTTAGATTCAGAGTCAAAGTTGTTCTTGAACGCTGATTTTATGTTTTCTGTCTTTAAAATGAACTTTCTTTGTCATAACGCATAATACTACAGTCAATGCTTGTTATCAGGCACGGTGACTTTCAACTCGTGCTGCTGCTCCAGTATTTCCCATTCTACTGGTCAATGCTTTACTATGAAGATTATACAAGCTGTGTGTGTGCAATTGAACTCCTGTGCCAGCAGTGAGTGCATCTTAAATAACTATAGAAGTTACAGATCTACGCTGAAGTTACAAATATACGCTGGTGCTTGAGGACAGATTCATACTTTTCTGCTTGTAGTGTTGTCTGCACCTCTCAGATCAAAAGACCTCTCCTGGGTCTCTAAGTCATGTGACCGTCTGCTGTTCTTTCTCTCTTGTCGTTGCATGTAGCGGGCGATCTCCTGGAGAACAGAAAGCCATGATAGTTCAGTCAGATTTCATTAAAGTCACCTCTCCCAAGAAGACATTTCAGTCCCACAGTATAATCATATTTCAAACTATAATAACAGTTCTATTCAACCGTCCTTTCATCCATTCATTCTCTCACCTCATCTTGGGCCACTTGAGCAGTACGGAAATCCACATCTGATCCACGGCTCTGGAACAAAGCCAGTCGAGTATGAGCTCAATGGTAACCCATAGAAACAGAGTCATCATCATAATTTTGATATACAATTTAAACGTAATTACACAATTACATGATTAAATAAAGTTTGGAATTAACATTCAATTCAATTTTAATTCAAATCATAAAAAATATAGACTCTGCACTTTCAACATCTCTTTATTATTTCAATGAGCTTTGAGTGACAAATAATTCATATAATACAACATAATTAATATTAACAATAATAATAATTAATATAATTTACAGTTTTCCTTTGTTATCGCTGGCTTTAACTGCTCCTGCTAAGTGTTAAGGCTACACACTGTGTGTAAGTGTGAGTGTGTGTGTGTTGGTGTGTGTGGGTGAAATGACCTACAAAGCCCACCTTCTGGTGAGGCTGCCTGTCTTCCTCCTCCTGCAGAATACGGGCCAGTTCAGCATCACGCACCAACTGCTCCCACAGCTCTAACCCTGAGAGAGAGAGAGAGAGAGAGAGAGAGAGAGAGAGAGAGAGAGAGAGAGAGAGATGAGGAAGACAGAAAGAGAGACAGAAAGAGAAAGTGAGTGAGAGAAAAGAGAAAGAGTTAGAAAGAGGAAGAGAGTAAAGAATCTTTCAAATATATTCTGTATTATTAAATAATGGGGAAATGCAACACAACAACGAAAATTTGTTACCTTCACTGAGTGGAGAGGCTCTGCTGTCTCCATGGTAACCGGCCTGTGCCCTCTGCCGCCGCATCTCCAACTCTTCCTCCTCCTGCATTCGCTTGGCCATCTCCTGCCACACAAAACAAAAGTCAGCTCCATGCAGGTTACAGAAGAGCAGAATGACTCTAGAGCATTTTACATGAATGTTACAGTATGTTTTATATTAAACAATTTGTTTTTATTTAAAATTATTTTTAAATCATTCAAGTATTCAGTGCCTGGTTTTTGCCGTTGTAGTTTTGGCATATTTTAAATAAACAATGGCAAAATGTTACGTAAAAATAAGACAAAAACACAGCTGGCCCACGGATTTGTTGAGATTTTTTAATATGGCCCTTTTAGTGGTTGAGTTTGACACCCCTGCTCTAAAGCCTATTACAGTAGGTTACAGAATGACTCTAAAGCCTATTACAGCAGGTTACAGAATGAGAGAATGACTCTAGAGTGTATTACAGCAGGTTACAGAATGAGAGAATGACTCTAGAGCGTATTACAGCAGGTTACAGAATGACAGAATGACTCTAGAGCCTATTACAGCAGGTTACAGAATGACAGAACGACTCTAGAACGTATTACAGCAGGTTTCAGAATGACAGAATGACTCTAGAGCGTATTACAGCAGGTTACAGAATGACAGAATGACTCTCGAGTGTATTACAGCAGGTTACAGGATGACAAAATGACTCTAGAGCATATTACACCAGGTTACAGGATGACAGAATGACTCTAGAGCGTATTACAGCAGGTTACAGAATGACTCTAGAGCGTATTACAGCAGGTTACAGAATGACAGAATGACTCTAGAGCATATTACAGCAGGTTACAGGATGACAGAAAGGCTGTAGAGAATATAACAGCATAATAATTAAATGGTTAAGATGCAGACAAAGTCTTTCAGAGTGGCTCGATATGAAACGGTCCATTGTAGAGAAACTTTATGACCTGATTTCTTTGGAATGGTGTTGATGAGAACCAGGGTCATTTCTACAATGCATAGTAAATAAAATAGCCATTTTATTTACTATCAAAAACAATCACTCAAAGTATACATAGGGGTACTATTTTGCCTAACAATGCCCTGCAGGCTCCTCTTCACCATGAATTGTCTTAAAAATGTGTTTTAGGCCAAAACATGTAATAACACTTCAGACATCTGGTTCCTATCAGCACCACAGCAAATAATTCTGAGTAACGGTTCATTTCACATCAAAAACCTCTGAATGACTTTTATATCTGAACCATTGAATTCCCTAGAAATTTAGAAAAATCCCCCTTTAAGACTTTATTCAGCAATTATTTAGTTATTCAGTAACCACTAAAACCTCATATCTCCAAAAAGGAAACTTTACAGGAGAAGGAAAAAACATATTTTACTTTTAATGTAAGTCAACGGAACCAGATTTTTTTCCATGTAATTTTGGAAAAAAAATTTTAATTATGTAATTGTCATTTCTGTTGGTCCCTTCATCATGAAATTTACCCATAATGTACAAGACCACAGTATTTTTTAAAATTATGTCAAAAACTGAAAAACTGCAAAATGGAGATGAGGTTTTGTTCAGACAGCAACGATATATTATTCAGAAACGAATAGGTCACTAATATATGTTCTGTAGTTATGAAAGTGAGAAAGTATAGGCCAACATACGGACTGTTCGTGTTTAAGATGTGGACATGACCATAAATTTAATGCTAAGGGCTAAAACTGGTATCTTCACCTGGAAGCTCTAAATGCAGAGACATCATTACTGTACAGCAGTTACATACAGTGGTGTGAAAAAGTGTTTGCCCCCTTCCTGATTTCTTACTCTTTTGCATGTTTGTCACACTTAAATGTTTCAGATCACCAAACAAATTTAAATATTAGACAAAGATAACACAAGTAAACACAAAATGCAGTTTATAAATGAAGATCTTTTATTATTAAGGGAAAAAGAAATCCAAACCTGAAAAAGTGATTGCCCCCTAAACCTAATAACTGGTTGGGCCACCCTTAGCAGCAACAACTGCAATCAAGCGTTTGTGATAACTGGCAATGAGTCTTTTACAGCGCTGTGGAGGAATTTTGGCCACTCATCTTTGCAGAATTGTTGTAATTCAGCCACATTGGAGGGTTTCCGAACATGAACCGCCTTTCTAAGGTCATGCCACAGCATCTCAACCGGATTCAGGTCAGGACTTTGACTAGGTCATTCCAAAGTCTTAATTTTGTTTTTCTTAAGCCATTCAGAGGTGGACTTGCTGGTGTGTTTTGGATCATTGTCCTGCTGCAGAACCCAAATGCGCTTCAGCTTGAGGTCAAGAACAGATGGCCGGACATTCTCCTTCAGGATTTTTTGGTAGACAGCAGAATTCATGGTTTACCACAGCAAGTCTTGAAGCAGCAAAACATAAAACGAAAAGCCCCAGACCATCACACTACCACCACCATATTTTACTGTTGGTATGATGTTCCTTTTCTGAAATGCTGTGTTACTTCTATGCCAGGTGTAACGGGACATACACCTTCCAAAAAGTTCAACTTTTGTCTCGTCAGTCCACAGAGTATTCTCCCAAAAGTCTTGGGGATCATCAAGATGTTTTCTGCCAAAACTGACACGAGCCTTTATGTTCTTTTTGCTCAGCAGTGGTTTTCGTCTTGGAACTCTGCCATGCAGGCCATTTTTGCCCAGTCTCTTTCTTATGGTGGAGTCATGAACACTGACCTTAACCGAGGCAAGTGAGGCCTGCAGTTCTTTGGATATTGTTGTGGGGTCTTTTGTGACCTCTTGGATGAGTCGTAGCTGCGCTCTTGGGGTAATTTTGGTCGGCCAGCCACTCCTGGGAAGGTTCGCCACTGTTCCATGTTTTCGCCATTTGTGGATAATGGCTCTCACTGTGGTTCGCTGGAGTCCCAAAGCTTCAGAAATGGCTTTATAACCTTTTCCAGACTGATAGATCTCCATTACTTTGTTTCTCATTTGTTCCTGAATTTCTTTGGATCGTAGCATGATGTCTAGCTTTTGAAGATCTTTTGGTCTACTTCACTTTGTCAGACACGTCCTATTTAAGTTATCTCTTGATTGAGAACAGGTGTGGTAGTAATCAGGCCTGGGTGTGGCTAGGGAAATTGAACTCAGCTTTCCGAAGATGTGATAAACATCACACTTTTTTTGTTTTTGGGGGGGGGGATCACTTTTTCACACAGGGCCCTGTAGGTTTGGATTTCTTTTTCCCTTAATAATAAAGATCTTCATTTATAAACTGCATTTTGTGTTTACTTGCGTTATCTTTGTCTAATATTTAAATTTGTTTGGTGATCTGAAACATTTAAGTGTGACAAACTTGCAAAAGAGTAAGAAAGGAAGGGGCAAACACTTTTTCACACCACTGTATATGACGTATGGCTTTTTGAACTCAATGCACTGCAGTTTTAAGCTCGGACTGCAGATGCCTAAAAAGAGTGGGTTGAGTAAATTTCCACACACCTCGCTTAGAAGTGTAAAAGCACACATGCACATATACAACACCGCACGCAGCAAGCAGAGGAAAGTACAGCTCAGTGCGCACCCACACTCAACCGCCCACACACACACAGACACATACACTCACTCTATATATACACACGCAGGCCTACAATACCTGAACGGTCCTCTACATTCACAGCCTGAAAGCCTCATTTGTTCTGCAGTTTCTATTGCGTTTCTGCAACTATGACATCATGGGAGCTTGATATTATTGCACTGAAACTGCACTTAGGTAAAGGCCCAAATCCTACATTTCTCTTGTATTTCATTTCTTTGCCTGAGGTCTGAGTATGACATTCGAAAAACAGTCATAATTCATTTCTACATAAATGGATGAATTCATCCAATGCATTTCTACTATTAAATTCTTTACACCTCAGATAGCGATGCTTTTGTTACTGAGCCTTTAAGACTGACATTTGTAAATGACCTCTGTTCTGATTGGCTGCCTTTTATTGAGCCTCATTTAAGCAGACCAGACTAAAACATTCCCAGAACTCCAGTGTGAAAGGGTGGGCCACACTACTGTAGGCTGAACAGGGAGATACATGTTTTAAATAAATGCTTTGTTTTTTTTTTTGACATCACAAAAAAATAATTCAGGAGGAAAATGAACATTCCCAACATAATAACCCTTTTTCCATCATACATATGAACTTATGTAGGACAAAATCATACATAACGAAATTTGTCATTTATAATCTTAAAGATATCAATAATAACCTTATTTAGACTCTGAGCTCTGTTTTATCTGGCATGTAAACACAGTCACTAAAGTAGCTTTTTATCATTTGAGGAACGTCGCTAAGTTCAGCCTTTTCTCTCTCAGAGCGACGCAGAGAAACTTGTTCACGCACTTGTTGCTAGCAGAGTTGATCACTGTAATGATCTTCTTACTGAACTTCCTGAGAAAACAATGCATCCTTTACAGCTCGTACAAAATACAGCAGCATCCTGACAAAAACAACACAGAGAGATCAGATCACTCCCATTTTAAAAGAGCTGCACTGGCTGTCTGCATCGTTCAGGATAGATTTTAAAGCTCTGCTACTAGTTTTTAAGGCTCTAAATGACCTTAAAGCACCGCTTACATCACAGAGTGTCTGTCTGTTTATGTTCCAGCACTGCAGATACTGACCTTCTGCAAAAACCCTCTGTATAATACAGAAAACATGGAGAGACTCTTTCAGTTATTCTGCTTCTAAACTGTGAAGCTCAGTTCACCTTTTATTAGTCAGTCAAGCTCAGTGCTCACTTTTAAGAAACATCTAAAAACGTATTTCTTTAACTTAGCGTTTAATTAAAATGCTGCATCTTGTGGTGTTTATCTATTTTTTTGATCTGTCATTTTTTTAGATGATTCGAAATTAATACCTGTATTTCTTGTATTACTGTTTAGCTTTATCATCTGTCTGTAAAGCACTTTAAGCTGCCATCGACATGAAACATTCTGTATAAATGTGCAGCGCCATTTCTGTAAAAATATAACCTCAACACGCACTTTTTTACAGATAATTAAATATTTACTAATACTAGTATATATTTAATTATCTGTAATTAAAAG